GGGGGGGTTGGGGTTAGTGGGAAACTCTGGGGGTTTGATTGAATGGAAGTGGGGCAGGTAAAGTCACATACATAGGAATGGGATGCCAATTATGAAGTTGGAGATGACGAATGATAAAGGCCCGTAGAGGCCATTGGACCTTTCTTTGATGAAGGTTGCTCGATCTTCCAGGAATGAGGGGACGTATGCAACGGCCATAAAGGACATGAACGCGGACGCGAAGAACTGTAGTTGGTTGATTTTTGTTTTAGTGGAGTGCGCAACAAATAGAAATGCTACGGAAGTGAATATGCTTACAATAGAGTTGATGAACGGCTGGATATTTGCTTGACCTGAGCCCAGTCTGAGCCAGACTGTGCCCACCAAGATCGCCAATCCTAGAAATAGATCAGTATTTGAGGGCCATATGTGGTAACCACAAAGTGCTGTAGGAAGGGAAATGTTTGCGACGCACCGAGATACATAATTATTCGAACTCCATATGCGATTACATCGCGATAACTCTTGATGAACGATCTATGGAGCAGAGTCATAACGTTCGAAAGGGCTCCCGCATGGCTCAATGAGCCAGAGGGTATGTGTTGTTTCTCCGTAATATTCGCTAGCTTTTGTATCTCGGTTTGAACCCTCAATGACTCGTCTGAATTATCCCAATTCATATGAATCTGTGCAAGCTGGGAAGCCGCTGAATCTTGATCATATACGAAGTCGATATTAACCAAATCCAGGATAAATTCTGCCGGGTTCATTTGTAGGGGCATCGTGTGTCCACTTTTGTCTAGATAGGGTTTCATTTCCGAGCCGGGTCCAAAGTAGCAGGTCCTGCCTGCAGATAGAACCAGGAGTTTGTCAAAGGTCTCGAAGGTAGCCGTGGACGGTTGGTGAACACTTGCGATTACGATGAGCTTTATGGTTGTCAGCAAACTGAAAAAAAAAAAAAAAAAGGACCGGCTTGCATGCCCTTCCTCTTCCTGCCAAACGCCCAAAGACAAGCTTTCTTTGCATAACCTACATTGTTCTTCTTGGCAAGTTTCTGTACGAAAGACATCACTTCGAAGCTGGCCGTAGAGTCCAGACCACTGGTCGGTTCATCCAAAAACAGTATTTTCGGACAGGTAATCAGCTGGCTAGCCACGCTTACACGACGTTTCTGGCCACCGCTAATGCCTTTGCGAATCGGGGTTCCGATCAGGGTCTTTGCCTGTTTTTGTATTCCAAAGGCGTGAAGGAGACTAGATATACGTTCTAACCGCTCCTTTTTCGTAATTGTGCTTCACATGACGGGTTAGAACTGGTTCCACTTGAGAGATGGATGCCATGTCTGACATACCTGGGGAGGGACAGCTGAGCGGCAAAGTGCAGGGTCTCTTCTACCGTCAAGGCTCCCACAAGAACATCTTCCTGCTCAACATAAGAACTGATATATCGAAAAGTTTCGAGCGAGAGTTTCTGTCCGTTGACTAGGATGTCTCCTTGTATCTCGGCGCCAGGAGCAGAGTCGCGATGGGCGAGTACGTTTAATAAAGTAGTTTTCCCGCTGCCCGAAGGGCCCATTAAAACCATCAATTCTCCTGTGAATCAGGTTAGAGGAGACCGATTGATTGAGACAATTAATTTGCAGTACAAACCTGGGCTGACGTAACCGTTCGCATTCTCAAGGATGGCCTTGGGCTTCTTTGTTTCATGATCCTTCACGTTGACAGAGACACCTTTCCAAGCAAAGGAATGGACAGTGCGGTTCTTAAGAAAGGCATGTTCACCACTGTTTGCCTCGAGGTCAGGGTCAATAGTGTTAGAATCCACCGACATCGTTGTTGCGAGTTAAGGAGATTTACGGCCCTTTGGTGAGAGGAGGAACAGGGGACTAATTATATAGCGTAAAACAGCAAGGGAAGGAGTATTAACATGGCTCCATATACAGCAGAGAGATTGGCAACAAGAAGAATGTCATATATATATATATATATATAAATATATACGCTGCACATCACTTTGCCACTTATCAGTTGCTGCTAATGCTTGTATTTAGCTTCCGCAGCCTACCACCCTGACGGCGGCGGTGACCAGGTGGATACCACAGCAAAACGGTAACACTGGTGAAAGCCCGAGACTAATCCCCGAACAGCCAAGAAAGTTTTGCACATTATAGCACATATAGCACACATAGTATACATATTTGGGTGTCAAAATGCCAGTCACTGGGAGGTATTTTGCCAAACCATGACGGAGCAAATTCCGTAGAGCAAGACTTGGGCGATTGTTTGCTGAAACCGCCCAGCTCTGTACGCGAGCTTGTCAGCCTCACCATACCTCGGCGAGTTAGGCTCTGGCGGCGGGGGAGGGGGGGGGGGCAACAACTGCTGACCGTGAGTGCATGCTGCCAACGGGGGATCGATAACGTACAGTAACCCGCTCAAAGTAAGATGTTAAATGAAGTGGCACGACACGGGGCGAAAATTGTTGCAAAACCCCCGCTAGCACAGCAGTAGTCCAAAAGCTTGAGAATCCATAACTAACGGGGGAGGTTATATAAGCAGCATGGGATAGTCAGGTAATCGATTCAGACTTAGTTGTAGTTACGATTCCCAACTGGGCAAACTTATTAAGCCTGGGCAGCAGAAGCATTGAAGCAGAGTTTAGAGGCGGCTATCTAATCAAGGTACAGAAGGGGGAATATGTGAAGCCAATTACAGAGAGAGTCAACCAGAGGCGAACGGGAGTGTGTTTGTGTCTTGTTGAACACCCCGCCACGCGAAAGTTAAGCATCACGTTGCTGCAACCGAATAAAAGAAGCATAACATGTCATTGCCATCCGGCTTCCTCGAATCACAGCAGCATCCGCCATAGCTTGTTCCTGCTACGGAGTTTATACGGACGGGTTCATTGGGGACGAACGATGGGAAATTGAATGGTAACTCCAGAGGGGCGCTGCGCTAAACCGAAAGGAGCATGCATATCCAACATTCAAACCGCTGCGGCGCAAGGGTTTTGCCGCGTCAAAAAATGCGGACATTCGGTGTCTATACAGCCAAGTAAGTTATAACTATCGGATTATCTTGACACTTGCTTGTCCTTGAGCTTCAATCGCCTGTCCAGGCCCCCAACCTTGTGACCTCGGCATGGCTCTTTTGCTGCCATCTTCCAGCCCTTGCTCAATGATATAGCCTTTCTCCGCCTCGCCTCACCAACAGCCAGCCACCAGTCTCTGACTCTAGTCTCTCATTCATTCCTGGGGTTTCAACGTCAGTGGATATTGTTTTTCTTTTCTTTTTCTTTTTTCTTTTTTCTTTTTTCTTTTTTCTTTTTTTTTTTTTTGTTGCACGATGTTGGCTAGGCCTCTCAGAACGTTGGTTGCATTTTCCCTTGTTCTCCTGGTCTTCCTCACCTTTAACTTGTTCAAGTCGTCGTTGTATTCCAAAGTATATGTGCTGCCGTCTGGCTTCGAAGCCCGGTCGATACAAGCCCGCCAGATCAAGTTCTGGCAAACCTTTCTTCCGATCCTTCATAAAAATGGCCCGGACTGCCCTTCGCCAGAACGATCTGGCTCAGTCCCAGCCACTGGATTCAATGCTGAAGAACCTCCCCCGCGACCGTCTCTCGTGTCTATGCCAGAGGCGAACGTGCTTAAGATGCAGCAGGCACATACTGCCTTCCTGCAGCAGACCAAGTCTTCCCCCGATCTGAAGCCCGTCTTCATCCCCAACAGTCGCGGAGCGGTATACACAGCTGGAGGGAAATATCTACCCGTCTTCGTCATTTCGCTGCGGATGCTCCGACGAACCGGCTCGAATCTCCCCGTCGAACTGTTTCTCAAAGACCATGACGAATACGAAAGCAGCGTCTGCGACGAAGTCATCCCCTCACTAAATGGTCGCTGCATCGTTCTATCTGATATCCTCGGTTCTGCCGTCCCTGACAGTAATGATTCCAACAAACACCAAGCGAGCAGGAACAGCAATGGAAACAAAAACACAAAGGTCGAAATCGGCCACTACCAACTCAAAATCTTCGCCATGCTGTTCTCCTCCTTTGAAGAAATTGTCTGGATAGATGCAGACTGCTTCCCTCTACATAAGCCGGAAGAGCTCCTTGACTCACCCCCTTTCAAACTAACGGGAATGGTTACCTGGCCGGATTTCTGGATCTCCAGCGTCTCCCCACTATACTACAACATATCCAAACAACCGATTCCGCCAATGGGATTGAGAGCCTCCTCGGAAACGGGTCAGATACTTCTCTCCAAGAAGACACACCCAACTACCCTCCTCCTCTCCACATACTACAACTACTACGGACCTTCCCATTATTTCGCACTCCTCTCACAAGGTGCGCCCGGTGAAGGCGACAAGGAAACCTTCCTGCAAGCCGCATCCGCGGCTGGTGAACCGTTCTACGCGACCAGCGCACCCGTCGCAGCAATTGGACATTTGAAAGCAAACGGCACGCTCATTGCAGGCTCCGCAATGGTCCAATTTGATCCTGCAGGCGAATATGGCAATCGTCAAATCTCCCTCACAAACAAAAACAAAAATAACGAAAGTAACAGCAAAGGGGACCATGGCAGGAGCAGCAGGAGGCCTGTGAAGCCCATCAACCCGCCGCGCGTCTCTTTCATCCACGCCAATTTCCCCAAATTCAACCCCGCAACCGTCTTCGACGAGACCTTCGAGACAAAGCCCACATATAGACCTGATGGCAGCGACGGGCGCGCATGGGTCGTGGCGCGCGATACCATCGCACGCTTTGGATACGACGTTGAGCGCACGTTTTGGGAGGAGATATTGTGGGTTGCTTGTGAGCAGGGGGGGAAGTTTAAGTCGTGGGAAGGGAAGCAGGGGATATGTGAGAGGGTGAGGAAGTATTGGGGGAATGTGTTTGGGGTTGAGGGAAAGGATGAAGATGGGGTGCTGGGGCTTTGGGGTGCGGGGAGCAAGGCGGGGGCGAGTATGTAGTTCTCTGGTTTAAAAGCGACCGACGGGAAGATATTCGTTGTATATACATAAACATGCGGATCTATGGACTGTTGAACACGGTCATGCACGGAGTTTATTATCTTTATTTTATTATCTTCTTCCTTCCTTTCTTTCTTTCTTTATTTATTTTGGGTTTGGGTTTGGTTTTGGTGGGTGAGGGGGGGTGGGGGGGGGCATGCTACTTATATTCTTCGCTGTATTTACTTGGAGCGATGGTGGAATTTTTCGTTTTTATATCCCACTATGGATCGATCCATTGAGGGCGGTTGCATTTTCCCCAGTTTATAATCTTTCATTCCCATTTTGCCCTTTTCTTGACGCCCCCCCTGTTAGAATGACTATTGTGATGTGTGTATGCATGTTAAACAATTTAAAAAAAAATATATAAATAAAAATAAAAAAATAAAAGAAGAAAAATGAAAATGAAATAAATACGAATAAAATAATAATGAACTATACATCAGAGCACATACGCATTTAACGCCAAGCCTACCTGAAGTGTTCCCCTTTTAACACTCCCTCGTTAACTATTTACACACAAGCATCCGTTTCCAACGGATCCATTAATAAAAGCCCTTGCCCAACCCATCAATCCCATGATCTCATATAGCTCCCAGCCCGCTTCCGACTCCATTGATGCTTCTCAACCTTCCTCGCATCCCTAATCTTCTGTTCATACAGCATCTTCGTAAGCTGCTTATACAAAAACTCGCTCCCTCCATTATACCGAATGCTATGGTCCGAATCCGTAAACCACTGCACCTGCATCTTCTGCGGAGACACCCCAGCGCCCATCAGCGTATCAACCAACGCCGCCGAATGCTGGAAATGCACATTATCATCACCCGTGCCGTGCTGCACAAGGAAGCCACCGGCAACATTATTAAAACCTGCAGCCCTGCGAACAGCACTGGCGTTGTAGCCAGCCTCGTTGAGCTCGTAGGTCTTCATGTAGCGTTCCGTGTACATGCTGTCGTAGAGGCGCCAGTCAGAGACGGGCGCTGTGATCATACCGAAGGAGAAGGCGCCGGAGTTCGTTTCAAGAACTTTGGATGTGAGGTAGCCGCCGTAGCTCCAGCCCCAGATTCCAATGCGGTCCTTGTCCACGAAAGGTTTCTTGCTGATTTCCCTGGCTGCGGTGACTTGGTCCTCGGCTTCAAGGAGGCCGAGCTGCTTCGCGACTGTAGAACGGAATTTGCGACCTTTGAAGCCCGTGCCGCGGTTATCGACGGTGTAGGTGATGTATTCCAACTCACGGTCTGATGCAACGTAGGCTTTCCAGTCCAACGCTTTCCAGGATTTGCTTACTTCTTGGGCTCCAGGACCACCGTATGGGATAAAAAGGACAGGGTATTTCTTTCCGGGTCTGAAGTTCGCTGGAAGGCGTTGCATAACGGAAAGCGTGTAGCCGGATTTAATGGGGAGGTCGAAGTAGCTAATCTTTGGCAAATTGTACTCTTTAATCTTGTTGACAACAGCCTCGTTGCTGGTGATAACCCGGAGGGGTTTAGGTGAATCGACCGAGAACAGCTCTTGGTAGGGAACATCGGGGCCATTGTAAGAAAGGATGTAATATCCACCTTTGGACGAGAAGGATGCGGACCAGTATCCGGCGACATTGTCATCAACAAGGGCTTTGTCTTTGAAAGTTCTGTAGGAAACGGAATATAGGTGCCGTTCTGTGGGGTGATGCTTGGTGGACTGGTAGTAGATCAGTTCGCGCTTGGTATCAATGCTAAGAATAGCTGTGACTTCCCATTCCCCGGAGGTTAATGCAACTGGTTCACCTCCTTGCACAGGGAACAAGTACAAATGTGCCCATCCCGACTCATCGGAGATATCTACGTAGTAGGAGCTGCCAGGTTTAAATTTAGGATTTTGGATCTCGCCAACGTAGGTGATGGACAATGGATTGTCCAGCCACCCATCAGAGCCATCTCTCTCGCGGACGACTAAAGTTTTGGAAGACGCTGTATCTACCAAGACAATCTTTGAACGATCCTGGACTCTGTTAAAGGAGCGGAACACCACCTTGTCGTGGTTCTCAGTGACCCATGCAACTTCACCAATGATCAGATCATCCTTAGGGAACGCATCGGTGGCAACGACAGTGCTTTTGAGGGAATCCATATCCAAAAGATGAAATTGGACTGTAGGATTTGTTTCGGATACCTTAGGATACCGAATATCGAGTTCCCGGGGGTAGGGTGGAGACACCTCCTGGTTGTTCATATAATATGGAACGGTATAGGTTGGAACTCCAGTTTCATCGAATCGAAGGAAAGCAAGAGACTTTCCGTCAGGTGAGAACCAAAGGGCATATCGATCACCAAAAATTTCTTCTTCGTAAACCCAGTCGGGAACCCCGTTAAAGATGTCAGCACCCCCGTCTGAAGTAATTTGAGTGGTGGTACCGTTCTTCCAGACAAACAAGTTGTTTCCGCGGACATAGGCAATCGTGTTTCCCACAGGGCTCCACGTAGCGTATTGCAGATCGCCGGCTTGATCTTCAGCCAAAGGAGTTAATTCACCGGTCTTAACGTCCTGAATAACGTAGTTTGAGAAATACGAATGGCGATACTGCTTGGTGTGATTGGTAGCCCACATAACTGCGGACAGGTCAGGCTTGATGAAATATCCATAAGCATCCTCTGGCACTTTATCAGCGGCAATCAGAGTCTCGTAGGTTTGGGTAATGATGTTCTGGATGAAGAGAGCTGAATCCGATCCCTGGAACACATACTGGCCATCCTCGTCGGTAGAGATCCAGTCCACGGAGATAGATGTAGGAGCAATTGCTCTTTTAACCACAGTATCGTTGTAGGTCAGAAGATTATTCCCGCCTCCAGAGGGCGGAAACGGCTTGCGCGGGGGCACAATCGCATGGCAAATGCCAGCAAGTAAAAAGAGTGTAATCGTCTACATCATAACGTTCACTACTTGGTCAGTGCAATGCATTCCAGACTGTTCAATCAAACCTACATGGAGGAAATACAAGCGATTTTTGACAACCGTACCTTCATGTTGAGGTACCTGGACAGGGTGTTTGTCAACTATCGACTAGGAGCATTGAACAGCACGCTCTGCGACTGACAGCTCTCACCGCAGCGACTCAGGAATATAACGAATGGACCGTACAGATATGAACGAAGAGGCGACGTGCGGAGGTTCTTCTTCAAGGAGGACAACTGGATGTTCTCCACGCTCCACATCCACAGGTGCCCACAGAGAATCCATGCTGATCGGAAGGGGATGTAACAATGATATATGAACTCCGGATCAACCATGCTATTCCCCCTGACTAGGGACTCTGCCTGCTCATTTCGATCATCGCTGGCACCTTCTCGTTCAGTTGATCGGCCGGCTACTAATTCCTTGGGGTCCCAATCGAGTTCCCTTTGGGCCATGAGTTAGGACGCTTGGGGCGGAACTTGGAAGATGTAACATCAGCGCAACCATCAGAGAGCTGAGAGATGATGGTCTGCAATTGGCCGGTGACATGCAACCCAACGTTGTTTGAACATCATGACATAGCGTGAGAAATATAAATAGTAATAACAGGATGTAATCTGCTGCTCGTATCTTGCTCAGGTTCTGTTGTACAAGGGAAATGCAGAAAGTATGAAATGGAATTGTAAACATGGGGTTTCGTGGCTGAATTAAGCATAGATAACGTTATCGAAGCTGCTAACTAATAAACTTAACGCCCGGCATATCTCGGCAATTCCTTGTTCCCCCAACTTTCTACTCTACCGACAAAATCTTCGATCTTTATGACATGATGGAGACAAAGGCCTGCTTACAACAAGCAACCAGGAGATAGTTACCCACGGCATCTTTACTTAGTTACCCCAGAATTCATTATGGTTTGACCTTACTGTTCGAGTTCTGCTCCAGTAACTAGTTATACCAACATTGGCTGGAGGATTTCCTATCTAGGAAAACTATGAACGAGTCCAGAACTTATGAATGTGACATAGTTAAACATTTAATTTGCCCTCTTGGCTTTTGGGTCTGTACTATCTTCAAGAAATGCTCATGTGCCCCTTTCCGGCAAACATCGCAGCGCGGGACAGAGGTAACGTCGGTTGTGATGGAACCCCACAATTCCAATTTACGAAATGCACACGCACCTGGATTACAGCGGGGTTGATGAAGGATTTTGGTTCTGGAAACTTGGGTGTGAATTTGTGAGATGTCGGAGTCAAAATTTGTGCCAATCGGCGCGTATACCCCGCGTACATTACTGCTTCCTTCCAGTCCATCCATTGATCCCATCATCCAGCTCGTGATATCTTACCATGGTTAGTGAGTCATGAGCTTGGAACCTTTTCGGATCCTGTTGGTTGGGGAATTTGAAACAGTCGAGATGAGAAACGGACTTACATTCCCTTATAATGATGGCAAGGGAATGATGATATTGAACTAGCTTGACCCCCGGCTTTACCAGCATGTATATCCATGGATTTATTCATAGGATTCATGTCCTTTACATCGTTCATCATTAATGTTGTTCAGTCGCCTCTGTCACCATGTGCCATGCCCGGGTCGAAATGACAACCTACCTCTTTGGATCCGGAAGAAATCCCCTCGCGAATACTATCGGTTATCATTCTATGCCTTTATACTTATTACGATGGGGTTATTCACATGAACAGATGATAACAGCGGGCATTGAAGGGTTCAATTTTGTTCCTCTTCTTATACTGTGTGGGGGTATAGCCCTTGTCTCTACCGTCATGGCTCTGTGGAGCATTTCTCAAGGGAAACAAAGTGCAGCAGAAAATTAATTACAAGAAAAAGAAGGGAAGTTTCCAAACACAGTTTCCTTACAAGGTCTTTTTTTTTTTGAGCTACAACAACTCTTGATTTCCAATCTCCCTCACATTTCAAGATTTACAAAATTTCGTATCCACCCCCGTGCATTTCCTTCGGGAAGTGGCAATTTGGTCGGTGACACGGAGTGTGTGGGCACCTATGGCCCGAATAACAATTTTTGTTCTTACGCTTCAGGCCAGCAGGAGAGGGTGCGAATCGCGCTACATATTGCAGAGTTTCAATCATTCTTTCATTTAGCCGTTCACCGTGCTCATGTTTGCAAGAAAGAAAGTGGCAGGTGCCCAAAAGGTGGTATGGATTGCAAAAGCTTTTGTGATTTCAGGCTTTTGAACGATGCTTGGTGAGGGTTTGATGGGAGAATCCACCCGCTGTCCCTTTTTATTTCGCAGCAGCATGATGCCGGAGTTCACGCTGCCATTACTATTCAACAAGGTCGATGAGTCCGCGTTATTGGGTGAGCCGGGGCTTTCTCAGATGGTGCGGGGGTTGGTACGGCATATCCGTTATGCGTGGGCGGCGAACTGTTAAAAATACAGCAAATGCATGACTTAGTAGTTTAAGACGTAATAAATAGATAGATGTGGCAAAAAATAAAACACATCGTGTTGGAGGCAGTTTGGTGTCTCGGAATACCGTTGGGAACGAGGTGGTGTGGCATTTATCCTTCAGCTCTGCCAGCTCCCTTTCGAATGGAGGTCCCTCAAGCATTGTCACACGGTTGCACACTTCCGTACTGCTGTAGCTATGGTCCAAGAAGACGTGCGTATCCATTGTCGGTGGAGCCTGCAAATACAATGTGTTTACGATGGACATTTCCGGCATGCAACTTGAAAGTTTCTACGAATGGTGATTAATCGGTGAGCTCCTTTTTTCAACTTAATGGCTGTGGGATCCTTGGAAGATAACTATATAATAGTGGTGAGAATTTACCTCAAATCTTCTCGTCGGAGCATTCCTTCTCAGCGCCCGCATACATGAAATCACACATGGGATGGCCGATGTTGAACCCACGAACAAACAGCTCAAATTCTTCTTCATCGTCAAGTGTTTGAGCCTCTTGGTATGTCCTCCTCTGCCCTTTCACATTTACAAAGACACTGACCACTACCGTGAGGTCAAGATCCATCAATTCGTTCTGCATATACTCTTGAACATGGTGGATGAGGAGTCGGGCAGCTTCTTGACCCCTGACTTGCCATCAATTACAAACTTGTCCATAAACTATGGTTTAGCATCCCGTATTAGCAATTGACAGCGTCTCCAGAGGGGAATGAGAGAGGATTTCATAAATTCATAAGGTTCCCATCAACCAAAACGGACACAAACGCATTACGTTCCTAGATATCACCCAATTCCCGTACAGTTAGCCCCAATTGAAAATCGAGTTAAATTGTGAATCATCAACCATTTTGGAAAAATATCAAGAGACTAACCATATTTTGTGGGGTCTTCATCAGCTCTAACTTCGCCTCCCTTGAACGTTGATGATACATATTTGCCATATCTTCCTGTTTTTCCAGAAGCAGTGTCTTCTTATTAATGCCTTTTTTCGAGGCCTTTGATTCTTTTTATCAATTCCTGTCTTGTCCCAAGTTGCCAGTTCAAAAGAGAGTTTTCAAAGTATGGTTGGATCGAGTAGCAGAAAGAAAAGTGAAGCTCCATAATGAAACTATAAATGGCTTCATTTTTTTCAGTTTCATATATTACCGCTCGCAGTCTGGACTAGCCATCTTGACACTTGTGTCTCATAACGTGGCAGCACACAATTGTGCATCGTTCAGACTTAAGCACTGCATATTATACAAGGATAAAAGAAAAGATAAGATAGCTTAGCTTAAGCGAAGATGCTGACCTCATGGGGGTACATATGCCAGGCGGGCTACCGTGGTCAAACAAAGGCTACCCGATCCACATCCTTAAAACGCAATATTGGCATCAACACCTTCCATTTCATCTCAGCAAACGGCTATTGTCAGATTATTCAGCGTGAGATCCCTCCAGCGAATCATAACAATGCTGCTGATTTTATTTGCCCTATATCTTAACAGTTAACAAAACCCCAGCTTGAAAGGCTTGCAGAAACTTCCCGTGTATGGTCATAGATGTAGAGAAATGGAAATGGGGGAAAATGTAAAAAGCCCCACCATCCTCATTAATTAAGAGAGGGAGTTAGGACGTAACTAGCTTGCGGTTAACATTAGCATTGACGTACATTCCTATCAATAAAGCGGATATGTTTCCGTTCCTGCGGGTATGAAATACTAACGTTTGCATTTTAATGCAACTTGTTCTCTTCATCAATGCGTTGTTCAAACTGCAATGAATTAACTGATTCTTCTAATTCCTCTTAACGAGGTAGTTTCGGCCTGCTGCATATTCTCTGGAGGTTGTGATAAGAAAAATCCGAAAATAGTAAATCTACAATACACACGGCTAGTAATAGCCGAATCAAGAACAGAGAGTGAACCTGAACAGCCAGGCTCGACTAGTGCTGGGTTTTTCTGCTCAATGGATATTTATCAGTTCTAATGGAGGGAGAGAACGGGGGCCCAGCTTCACAACTTGCGCAGCAGGCGGGAGACAAGAGAAAACCGTGTTCATCCCTTGGCATGTATATATGTTCTTTGGTAGGCTGCTGACCAACATAATAACTCCAGTTGTCTATAGTGTTCGTACGAAATCCTCTGCTTCATTGGCCCAATTAATATCCGGAGGATTAGCATGCCAGGTATTATATTGTTTAATGTTGTAGGAGCATTCCGGAGCGGCCGGGTCTTATTCCCTAGTCGAAATGGATAGGTTGACAAAAACCGTGAATAGGGACAATATGTAGTCGACATTATCACTTGCCTCGATAGCTAATATTCGAAACACGAACATATTTTTTTCTCATTTCTCTCTTCCCTCAGTCCAGAGTAGGGAGGTTCTCAACACCTCATATTCTTTATCAATACACAGCAGATTCTGTCGCCCAACAACTAAATTGAACAAAGAGTTTGTACACGCAATTGTTGTATATATAGACCCGAACGACAAGTTCAGGAGGAGCCACATAAATTGAATCATAGTGTCAGGTATAGTCGCGTATCTCTTGCCAATGAACTTTCTGGCGATGTGTAAGGAACTCTCTCAATGTTACCCATGATGAGTGGGCCACGAAAACGTGTCCGTTGATGAATGCCATTGTGTCAATTGACTTGCATTTCTGTCTCTGCAATGACGTTATGCATCATGTCCAAGGCTCCAGCCCTCGTAATAGATTAAATAGGCGCCTTGGTAGTTAGCTAGCCCCGTTTTTGAAGCTCAGGAAGATCCATCCGCGAACACCATGAACGAGTGGACTGTGGGCCCTTCAAGTTCGTGCTTGGGAGCTGGTGGTCTGAATTATGACCATCTGTCCGAAAGACCTGCCATTTTCCGGAATTCTTAGGCTGACGCAAGGAAATGATTAGTTAATCAGGTCCATACTACTCCGTAGTTAGTTAAATAGTTATTGGCCCTAATTGATAAGGAGAGAGCAGAGGAACTCTACAGGTTCTCGACTCAAACGCATAACAACACAGTTTAGATACCACCCTTCCAATGAATTGATATCAACGTTTCAAAAGTGGGAGTTAAGAGGGGCTGAGTAGGTGCAAATCTGCATTTCACTATTTTGTTTTGGGGGAATACGAAGATATCAATGACAATAGGGATAGATATTCGGGCTGCTGTGCCCAGACGACCATAACGTTATCCTCAAGGTTGTATACGTCGAACGCATAACAGTATCGGAAGATCTATATAAAGCCCAACTTGAACTGTCAATAAATAGAGAAATATTGTCTCAAAGTGAATTCCAAGCTCATTGAAGCCATTTTGTTTATCACCTCCGCAGAAATTTACTAAGTAACCACTAACTACCTACAAAGCATTCATCTCGCTTTTATAACAATTATGCATCCCACAAACAACTGGTCCATTCACTCCATCGCGGGAGCTTTCATGGTCGGTCTAGTTCCCCATGGATACTACGTCCTTAAACTCGCCTCAATAGGAAAGTTATCCAATATACTGTATGTTTCTCCGTTATCGTTTATCAAAGAGGAACGGAAGACGAAATGCCTCAGGACCCTCCATCTTATCTAGTTATGCATAACCGGGCCCCGTTATACACCATACAGCGCTAGCTAACAATAACTCCTTTTCCCATCCCAGCCCTCGAGACCACTTTTCCTCACTCAAAGGGCGCATCCCAACAGAGACATGGAGTAAGCTTTGTCGTGCACAAGGTGCGCATCTTAATGCTATGGAATGTCTTCCTTTGTTTGCAGCTGCAATGGTATGATGCCCCTCACACCACCCTCCCTCCGTGCTTAGCATGTACGATCTATGTATGCACACGTGCGATAGGCCTTCATTTATTTCCCAAAGGCCAAATATCCCAATCAATTTAGTCTAAAACGAGCCAGACAAAGACTCTTGAGTCCAGCTAATACGGGTCGTTTTCCCCATCGTGTAGATCGCAGGAAATGTCGCGAAACTCCCAGCCACCGACCTGAATACAATTGCGGCTGAATACATCGGCGCACGCGTCATCTACACTGCCTTATATATGGGTGTCAAGTCGGAGGCCGTCAGTTATTTGCGAACTGGAGTGTGGGCGTGGAGTGTCGGGTTGCCCCTATGGGGTCTGATTAAGGCTGGGAGAGCGCTTGCGGCTGCTGAGTGAAGAGATTCTCCCCCAATTGCTATATATATATGTTATTTTTTTGTTTTAGTATCAATGTATATGATTATGGATTTGGTGATGGTAGACACTTTTCTTTTCTGAACGATACATGTATATAGTTTGGTTGATGTGCAAGATTTCCAAGCTGTGAGGGAGAAGATTGAATTGGATTTTCATACTAGCTTTTTGTCTTTGGCCATAGTTAACTAGATAGGAGACGCGGTTTAAAGTGAAAATAGTCATCAAGGCAATCATACACGTAAAATGTGAACATCGAACTTTGGATAGCGGGTGATGTTTTGAACTGATGTTTCTTTACCTGTTATCTTCCACAATAGAGGAGATTGATAGAACCGCTTCGGAGCTAAATAATAGCGAAATCAGAGGCAGGTGTCCAATAGCCTGTACACGCACAACTTTGGTGTCATAAACGCTAAACCACGGGGTATTTAGTTAAGAGTTAATTAACCCAAACCTTTGAACAGCAACTTCAACTTTTCCCCTCCCCCCCCCCCCCAAAAAAAAAAAAAAAAAAAAAAAAAAAGGGGAGCCAGAACGACATGCCTCGCGCTGAATTTGCATGTGTGTGCATTCAGCTGCAATGCCTTTACGAAGGCTCAGACAAGAGAACCTCTCTCTCCTGACAAGCGGAAGTGCACGCAACATTATAACCTGACAGTGTGGTTAAATTCGGCACCCGCTTATGAAGGATATCCAGTAACAAATGAGCAGCTATGCATGGTTGATAATAGGTCCGGGAGTTTCTTTCAACTTGTTCTGAGATTAATGTGGGGAACCAGCTTCCCCAGACAGCAAATCGTCCCACTTCATCAACTTACTGGGACGACATATTATCAAATATGGAATGACTATCTGAATTTGACATCTGAAGGAAGTAGTTTCAACCTTTCCCTTTACGTATCAATTTCACTTTCTGGTTCAATTTCTTCGTTCTCATCCAACAGATTGCCCTCCAGGATTAACCGTATATTAATATTACTTTACCATTTAGTACATGACCGCAAAGTGTTTCTGTGATGACCTTTCAGAAGGGAAGATATCGATAATTCTAATCCATGCGCTGCAGAATAGCATTGCGGCCGATCATATCAAACGGCTGATGTCTTATCGTGGAAGCAGAATTGAGCTTTCGAACGAGCTGAAATCTTACATACTCTCTGAGATGATGGCAGCAGGGAGTTTTAGATTTTACGAAGGGTGTTGCTTTACAACTGTACAATGCCATGTTGAAAACCTTGGATGAACTGGAGAATATGATGGGGGAAGAATAAACTATTGAGGTACGTTCTTGATGTGTAGAAAAATTTTAAACAGATGGTATCTGCGAGACTCAGGAGGACTGGGATTGTAGAATCTCCCTATTTTATGTCTTGTTTTCGCGTTGTTCTAAGCCCAAAAACATGGGTAGCCATCAGCACAAGACAAAGTCATACCGTCATATTAGCAAATTTGGCAACCAGTTATCATCTGTTGGTTCATATATGATCACCATACACTGGAAGCCCCCATGATGTTGAAACTCATACCAATCAGCTAGATGAAGTCTTCCCAACTCCGAACGCCTTTAATGGATTCCAAATTGCATTCGACACCTGTGCATTCATTCCGACGTTCAAATATCTCCCAGTTCTATCTTTGAAGATATTCCCCATTTAGATACAACTGCCTCTCAGTGCCCATTGTCATTAACTGAAGTTTACCAAGACGGAAAATCTGCCCAATCCATCAAGTAAAAATACGAAATGTCCGCTGCTTTAGAGTCCTCGCCAGCGAGCGAATAACCCCTATTAGAGCCCTGATATGAGCAATGGGGGCCAGATTTTGACCTCGTGGCATGTAACCGGATGAACGAGATATCCCCGCGACTCGTGATCTGTGCTTGCGAATAAGACCTGTAAAGACATTCTCAACGTCATTATAGGTTTTAGATGTCAATTCCACAAAGTTACACCCGAGACGGCGCGCAAGTTCTTGCCCTTCCTCCGTAGTAACAGCCCGTGGTTTGGCAGGCGTTACAAATGCTATCTCAGCGACGATACAGAATGGCTTCCAGAATGTAAAGGTGTTTTCCTTCCAGAAGATTCACGTGCCTTCTTCATGGAAGAGCTTGCATACTTTCAGGATATTTATATTGATCCCATTGATGTGCGGTGTGGGGAGTACCACGGGATCAGAAGATACAAGGGCCGCGCGAAGGACGGCAAGCTGCAGTTCATGCGGTAGCCGCGGGAAACATGTGAATTGTTTCAATGACTTTGAACCTTCAAGCCGGTGGAGCCGTTTGGTTGACTTCACATAGAGAGGCAAAGGTGGACCTAGACAGCAATTCGAATGTTGATGCACTGCGTGTGTGGCGAAGGAAAGTCTCATGGATTTCCAGGATACAACTCAATCCCTCGCGTGAGGTGACGTCGTACAAAAAGATAAAACCGTCGCTGCTCTTGGCACATTGATGTATCACAGGCCCAAATTCATCTTTCCGAGAGCAGATTCCAAGGGAGAGGTTTAGAACGTCTACCAAAACGACCTTACCGTCTATAACTGTTTGCTTGCAATAGGTCCCAGACGTAGTGGGATCGTATGTGTCGTCCCAGTATTGGAGGAGATACTGGCAAAGAAATACTTTAGCGATGATATCCTTTGCTGAAACGACATGATCAAATGATGATTGCTAGAAATGTGGGACATAAGCCCGGCTATGGATACCTGATTACTGAATATCTCACTCCTGAAATGGCATTGTCTCATAACTATGATTTTGACTGTGTCTGGGAGAAAACGAGATGCTGATGACATTTCACATGCGGATTTGGGGTATCTGAGATAATTTTGACAATAAATTTTAAGAAATTATCTGACAATGTTTATGTTTCTTTAGATTTTTAGATTTTCAGCTTTTAATTGTTTTAAAAAGGCCAACTATCCATCAGTGGTTATTCAATTGAACAAAATAGGCAAATTGGGGGAAATGTAGGAGGTCATGGTAACTAATGCTTTAACTAGTTACAAGACAAAGTGGGGTTTGGACGTTTATCTCAGGTATTTAAGTAGACGCTTCGGCGATTTCACCAAGTGATGCTTCAAGTCGACTAGTTGTTGATATATTCAGTTAACTAAAATATTACTTGTGTACATACTGCAACCTTATCAGCAGATAACTAGCGGGAATTTGTGTGATTGGATATTAACTATTTCCATCTTTCCATAGTTACACACACTTCATCCAGTTAAACTATTTACTAGTTACTCTTGTAAAACACCAAAAAAATAAATAATAAATAAATTAAACAAAAAATTGTGTGACTCCTGCCATTACACAAAAGAAAATATCATACTTCCTGCGCAGACATACCCTCCAAGTTTCTGAAACCCTGACCTCAAATTTTACCTATGATCGTCCTCTTTGATTTCTGTGCTCCCAACGATTCTGTAGGTATATTGATTACTGTTCACCAATCGAACCGTCGCATTGGATGCCATTGGTGAATTTCATATCATTCAAGATTGGTGCTTGCGGTGCAGCTGCATATTTAATTCTGGATTTCAGTTCTCGATATCCTTCGGCACATTCTCCTGCGACTGGCGCCATAAAAACAAAGTACAGGTTGCAGATAATGCAAATAAGATGCTGGCAAGACAAGTCAGCTCGTGTTGCAAACAAAACAAAGACTGAATGCAAAAAACTTCGGCGTTCCAGACAAGCCAGGCGGGGAGGGGGAGCAAACTCACCATAGAGCAATGCTAAGGCCCCAAATAGACTTCATCTCAAGACAATATGCCTTGGATGCTCCGACCCAATTTGCATAGCCCAGCTTACTTCCATCCTCGTCCAAATTTTCCATCAAGGCGGAAGTGAAAGCAAATCCAGATGATGGAGAAACTTTGCCTATCAACTTGCAATCGAGATATGACAGCGGCTTCCCGACAACAACTGCGATCACAATCACCGCGATCAGATGAAGACCGTCCATGCCCGCGGAAACGAGAAAGGGGAGGATCCCATCCAGGTAGAGAATGAAGGTAACTACGCAAAAAAGGGTAGCAATGCATGTCTGAATTATACAAGTTAAGTTGTTAGCCCTTGAGTTTGAAACATTTTGCCTCCTCACCATCTCAACGCTATAGATGTCTTTTCGACCACTCACCACGCTGATAGTGCCAACAATCACTTCCGGTGGCGAAACGTGGCTCTTGACCATGTCGGAGATGAAGTTGGCGGTCATACCGATAATTGAGATCAAGCAGACCACTTGAAGAATTCGAACAACTTTGAAGGTATCTCCAAGGGCGCCATTGTGAGAGGAACCCATATTGACTGTGGTGGGAAGTGGTTCGGTTACACGGAATAGGATTAAAAGAAAGGTCGAATAGTTGAAGATATAAAGATCGTGGAGTTTTGCGAAGCCGACTGATGGAGGCTGTTGAAGGCTGTCTGGATCAAGGAGGATATAAGGAGAAGACACTATGTGATGGGGAGCTTTATTCTACTGAGAAGCAGTGAAAAGACAAAAGAAGCAGAAAAGGATTTATGAACGACAATAGATAACGAAACTATAGCTTTCCAGAGCCTACAGGCAGGAAGTTTAGGAAAAACAAAAGGGGCAATTGAAATCGAAGGGAATTATTAATGTTGCTTCAAATGACAACTGAGATGGAGGCAAAATACTGAAGCGAAACCTGAAAGACAACTGATTAAGAAATTCGTGAAAGAGAAAGGAAAAGTTAAAAAAGGAAAGGAGAGGAACCTTTGCAACGTTGAATGAGTCTTGATGACTGATGATACAGAAAGAATGGGAAAAACGGGAGAGATGAAGGTGATCTTGTCTGATTTATATACAACAGTCCGCTGACCTGTTGAGGAACAGCACGACGCCGATCACATTGTCTGGACGACTCTTTCTTTTCTTAGAGCTCTCTATCCACATCAGCAGTCCTCAAAATCCTAGCAAGAAGTTATCAGAAAGCAGAGGAGCTGCTGAACTTCGAGCAATCAGAACGAAATCTCAAATGAAGCATGTTTGAGCTCGATCTAAGGATGCGCCGCTCTGCAGCCAATCAGTAAGCTGAAGAACAGATTCAGAGAATACCCAGGTCCTTGCGGGCCCAGAGCCAAACGGTTAGGTGCCTTTGTGGATACCCTTACAACCAGCACTAGGATGTCAAAAATAGAGGGAGTGCCAAGGCGGGTGGGCCAACTCTAGGGCCAAACGAACGGAATATGGCGGGGCTGGCCCTAACAGCCTAACAGCCTAACAGCCTAACAGCCTAACAGCCTAACAGCCTGAAGCCTGAAGCCTGAAGCCTGTGGAGCCGCCTGTTGAACAACTGCCACTGGAATCAACGAGGGAACTTGGCGCCCGTCTGATTTCAAGTTTCGAACCACAAAGAGACCCCCACCACAGCGCTTCGGGACCCAATCGTTTTCACTGGCGATGCATCGACAACCACACAACCACGATGAAAAAGGATGTTTTGAAGCACCGACGACATGGTTGATCTGCTTGAGTGTTTCTCTATGCGCTCTCCACTGTCATTGACTAAGAAGTGCCAAATCCCAGGTGAGCTATTTTCGAACTGTAGTTTGGACCTGGGAACTTTCCCGTCCTCTCCTCCTCGGGTGAAAATATGTGGACTTGTATGCATGTAGAATGATGTAGTTATTTTTGTTGGAGCTGTAACGTAGCTTTGTGTGGATTGGCTTGTTTTCAAATTTCAGCATTTCTTTCAGGTCGTTGTTCGCTTGAAACCGTTCATGGCAACTTGCCGGGTCAGTAGGTAAGCATCGGATTTTTAATAAAGCTCTTTGCTCATTAACAGTGATTCCGCACAAATTTGCAGGCATCTCCTACCCACAACTGGCTAATTGTTATCTAGATGAGTTCGACAAATCGTGATCTGACTGTGCAGTTTCGTATTTGCAAGCTTTGCGAATAGATCGACAATAGCTTAGCCCAATCATATCCAATTGTATGTGTCGAACGGGATTAAACAAGAGACGACCAACCAGTGATGAAATTGGCTTGGATAACGAAACCTTCGGTTCCGTCTGACCGTTGAGGGAGAGTTTTGCAAGGCGCAATGAGATAGATATTCATCCTGCATGCCGGAAGGTAAGTTGGCCCGTCTCAATGTGCCGTCCATTGTCGTTCTGAAGAGTCATATCGGACATTTTTATGGTCAGATCGGGGCTTTCTCCGCCATTTTGATGTTTAGAGATATCTCCATTGAATTCCACTCCCTCTTCACTGATCACCTCGCGTGTCAGCCATTGTGGAGCTTGGGTGGAGTCGCTCAAGCTCCTTGGACTGAAAGTGACGAAGCATCAACCACTGAGTAATATAGTCATATCCGCGTATAGATACTGGCTGTTACCCCAAATGCACCCAATTTATATGTTATCTTGAGAGATTGAAAATACCATAGAGGACATCGTGCCAAAAAATATTGCGAATCGGAAATTGTTGTACGAAGTAGCCGGCACGACCATGTAAGAAAGAGAAATCTAACGAATTCCCAACACGGTACTCCGTACAAGGCCAGTACATTATCAATTAACTACTGTTCTTATTTCGCCGCAAGGAAAAGTAAGTATTTCTGACAATCCTTTGAATCCTCGACGGAGATTCAGATATGAATTTATAGAGCAAATGCTGAGGGATTGGATATATGCCAAGACATCTATCAAATTCGGTTAGTCTTGCTCAATGGTAACTAGTTAGCTAGTTAACTAAATTCAAAAAGTTAAACGCCTTTAAAAAAGTCCCGATCAACAAGAATTTGGAGATTGCGACGATCTTATCAACCATCCAGAGGTCGCCGCATTGCAGTCCAGCATCACGCTCGTTTAGCTACCTTTCGAGGATGCTCTCTTCTTCCTTGTGGCTCAGAAATTCTCGACCCGCCGCGCACAATGGACCAAAACTTTGGAGTCTTGTATGCCTACGGCGTGTTAACGGATGGCAGCGAAAGTTTCATTCAAACGCTCTAGGAGTGACCTCCTCTTCGCATGGCCTTTCTGTACGATCATACATCTTACAGGATGCACAGCACTCGCAGTATCGGGGCTTTCACAACACTAAGCTTGTATGTGGTGTCCTCATCTCCACTTCAAGAAGGATCGCTAAATGTTCTCAAAGCTCTCTGCCTACACGTCAAGACCTAACTGGGATACACTGCTCAAAACTGAACTGTCACAAGCAGAACTACAGGGAAATGGAGATATATATGATTATCTTCGCAAATGGCAGCAGAAGAACAGACCTTTGATCAATGCGATGGACCCGATACGGGTACCAGATGACGTCAAGACGGGAGAATCACGGAAGGGAGATATGTTGAAGGACGGTTTACAGTACCAGGAGGAGAATGTTGATTTTTTTGACGCCGATGAATACCGCCACCCCATTCAGGAGGATGCGGGCTCGCGATTTCTTCAACCGGGAGACTTGGTCGTGCTGAAACTGTAAGTTTTCGTTACCAAGATGCCTATCACCGATGTCGCTCACAGAAACCAGGGAATCATCTTTCACAGACGGTCAGTTAGCCATATATGTGCGGTCAGTGGATATGCAATACCAGTTCTACACCATGCGAGGGAAATGGCGCGCCACAAACCATACTGGAATCCAGTTTATTGCCAGCAAGGTTGCGACACCTGATATGGTAAAGAAGGTCCTGCCATATTTTCCAACATGCAGAATCGAAAAAGCCGCACTTCCACAGTTAGGAGAAGAAGGCGGTGTGCCGCGACCCATCGGGGCCGAGCTCGTTGATTTGATGATGGATTTCAGCAATGCCGCGGAAGAATTTCATCGCAGCCATGCAACCGTCTTAAATGACTTGTATAATAAACTTGTCGCCAATGGAGACGTTTCGATAATAACCCTCGATGAAATTGCCCAAGTTGCCCTTGGTCTTGATGCCTCCAAATTAACAAATCCAGAGCGATGGGCAATTCAAAGGGCCATTGGCCGTTTGTCATTTTACATCACTGGCAACATGCTTGGACCATATACGGAATCATACACGATACGGCCAAGGGAAGAAGCTGTGAAAGTAGCTACTGTGATTCGATGGACTCGAGATTACCAGAATCAGATGAACAAACTCTCTTCGGGGAGATTTAACATGAGGAGACATCCGATTGAGCAGTTTATCCAAAAGGCTCGACGTATTATTCTACAAAGCCGACGATCCAGATCACCAACTCCCTCATTTTCACTGGGACCATCTGGACAGAAAAAAATATCTTCTACACATGGATCTGATGACTCCTATTCCAGAAATGATGTTGAGCCATTTTCCGATACCGACAAGTGTATACTTGACTATTTCCGCATGTGGACGCTTCCTCCATGTCTCATGATGTCTGGAGATTTAAGATCCTCAGGGTCTACTATTCTACGAGCTATCGGATTGTACAATGATCTCCGCTTGGCGCCTCCGACCGGATACTTGTTTTTGCAAGAAATGGGTGTTTTTACCCCTTGGCAAAATCTCCATGTACTTTATGAACAACTTGCACTTCCAGGTCACGGAATTTCACAACCGGCTGACAAGATCGAGGAGGAGTCTAATAAATTCTGCGAGAATATTGGACCAGGCAGCTTGCCGGATACGATGAAACAACTAAGGAAAGATTGGGGCGATCTCCCTGTGTTTTGTGTTGATGATATTCATGCAGCGGAAATCGACGATGGCTTTTCAATCGAGCCTGTTCCTGGGTCTGACGACACGTACTGGGTTCATATTCATGTTGCTAATCCATCTGCTTTTGTCCCCCCGGACCACATCGTCGCTAAAAGAGCCGCAGAGTTTAAGAGGTCATTTTACTCACCTGAGAGGGTTTATTCCATGCTACCTCCATCCCTTGTCCAAGACTTCTTCAGTCTAGCACCCGACCGGCCAGTTATCACTTTCAGTGCGAAGCTCAACATGACTGGAGATATACTTGAAACCGATATTACAAATGGATACGTCAGGAATATAATCTATATCACCCCGAACAAAGTTCAAAAACTATTTGGTATTGATCGGGATACTCCCCCTTCTCTGACATTGTCATTTTGCAACAAGCTTCAAGAACCAACTTGTGCAAGGCCACAAGGTGATATCTATGATGAGCATCGATCTTCATTCTATATTCTGGAAAAGCTTATGGCTGCTCGTCGTGAAAAGCGAATGCAAAAAGGTGGCCTCGAATATCTATCCCGACAGAAAACTCAACCTAGAATATCCGGCGGGAAAAATCGAGAATCAATATACTCAGTCGACAATACCACAGGATACCACTACACCGGAGACCCTACTATTCATTTGAGCAACTTAACAACTGACCCATTCGAGGTGAATGAGTCGACGAAGGAAGACCTTGTCAGCCATGTCATGGTGCTTGCTGGTGAGATTGCAGGCCAGTGGTTCAAGGATTGGAGAATCCCTACAGTTTTCTCTGGAACATGGTACCATCCCGAATTCACCAAATCAACGATTGATCAACTCTCCAGAGAGATACCCAGCTCGTTTCATCTTGGACTTCCCCGATCCTTTTCGTGCAAAGACCCGATGCCACATGCTGCCCTTGGTGTCGACCAATACGTGAGATGCACAAGTCCTCTCAGACGATATACAGATCTAATTGCCCACTGGCAAATAGAAGCTGTGTTACGCCAGCAGGCAAATGAATCACTAACCTCTAAAACTCAACTTGAGGGCAGTCTCCCGTTCAATAAATCTGATATTGAAAAGTACATCGCTCGTGCAGACTGGCAGAATCGCCTTAAAGACCGAGCACAACGCCGATCCCGTGACTTCTGGATCTGCCAAGCCCTTTTCCGGTCCTACTATTTCAAAGAGGCACAGTTACCCCCAACTTTCCAATGTATCATTCAGACGCCGAACTTTGATAAGAGGCATGAAGTTGGATCCGAACGGGATGAATACTTTGGCAGACTTCAACCCTTCGACCTCCCGTGCATAGTCACGACTGAGAAGGCGGCTTCACCGATGCAAATAGGTGACTTGGTGGATGTGGAACTCGTCTCAATAGATATGTACACTCTTAGGGTGACAGTTAAGTTTTCGCGTCATGTCAAGCGGCTGGAGAATGGCGCTCTTGCATCAAGGGGAATAATACTCAAATGAGCCTTTCATGTTAACCAAGCACCGAACATGGTCTTCCTGCTTCTTGCTCAGCCCATGGATGGTGGCGGATTCTTGACGTATCTGGGTTGTCGGGCTGGCTCGATCTACATCTTCTGCAGTGGAATGAAGCTGTCCCAGTGGAATATTTTATGTCGAATGTAAAGGGCTGCTTGGAATTCGAGTGCCCGGGGATGTGGCTGGTCTGTTTTGGATGTCTAGGAATTTGTTGACATGCCTAAGAAAACAAACGTGGAGTTTGCTCTATATTCAACCTGTACTAATGATCATCTGTATGAATAGACGGTGTGCGATATTTTCTTGTATAGATAGACTTTGTAAATATACCCTTTCTGGCTACGGTTGTTATATGGTTTTGATTTGCCTTTCGCACCCATATAGAAATGTGAAGTTACAAAATTTTTATTCTTGAAAGAATTATCCTGTATGAATGGAGAAGAGCCTGTCGACTCCATGTCGCTGAAAATGACGAGATTTGTTGAACGTCTAGTTAATTCGGCAAAGGATACGGTTAAGCCCGGGCAGCAAACCACCCTATGACGTCAAACCCGCCGAAACATTTGAACTAGATCATCCCTGCCACATCTGTTACTCCCACCGGCATAAATATACCGCGATCTTACCTATCTCTACCCTCTATCGAGAACATTTTAAAAATCCTCATCCTGCAACAATGACTGCAGTCTTCCGTCCCAACGCCACGGCCTTGATCACGGGCGGAGGCAGTGGGATAGGATTCGCCATAGCCCAACTCTGTCGCTCGCACGGCATGAATCTCGTCCTGGTAGATATCCATGCTGACAACCTAGCCCACGCCCATACGATGTTGGGCAACACGGCAACTGCAACGACGCTCACTCATGTAATGGACGTTGGGGATTTGGCTTCTTGGGAGTACCTCCGCTCGAAAGTCGGACAGACATTTCCCGATGGAGTGGATTTGCTGATGCTCAATGCGGGCGCGTCCGTGAAGCCGAAGGACCCTGAGAAGCCGTGGGAGGATCCGGAGTATTTCCAGAAGGTCTGTTGGTGCCTCTTCTCTTTTGTTCATATGGCATTTTGAAAAACTTTCGTTTCTCTATGTAAACGCTGTTACAAGGTTCCCATTGTTAAGGATAGTCATATGCATATGTATCTAGACACTTACAACCAATGTCATGGGCGTTGTCAACGGCTTGGCTACATTTCTCCCAATTGTCAGCGCTTCATCCGAGGAGCCGCGAGCCATCATAATCACCGGCTCAAAACAAGGCATCACCAATCCACCCGGTGCCCACAATCCAGCGTACAATGCCAGTAAGTCGACCGTGAAAACCATCGCAGAGCACCTTTGCCACGATCTCCTCCCGAACAAGAACATCTCGACACACCTTCTCATTCCCGGGTGGACGTATACTTCCATGACCGGAAACACTGGTGTTGTGCCAGACGGTAAAAAGCCAAAGGGTGCTTGGTTACCTGAGCAGTTGGCGGAGTACATGTATGAGAAGATGCGCAAGAAAGACTTTTATATTATTTGTCCCGATGATGATGTGACTGAAGAGCTTGACCAGGCGAGAATGGCATGGGCGATGGGGGATGTCATGGAGCGTCGTCCACCGTTATCTAGGTGGAATGATATGTGGAAGGACGTTGCTGCGGAGTGGATTGAGAAAGAGTTGGAAAAGAGGAGAAAGTTAAAATCTGGTTGATATGCTTTTGCGATTATTCGAATCTTATATTGGCAGCGTTTTGTGACTTCAGACGTTCAACCCAAAACACTCCAGTAACAAAGTATGACGAAAGGGGTTGAACAAAATATGCCAAGAAGTTAGGAGTAATGTTAAAACACAATTATATTGTATATATGAACCTGAAACGAGCGAATCCCCCATGCCACCCTGAACAGCTGGGTATTTAAACCACAGAATCTCAGGGGCTTTAAATTTGATTGAAAAAAAAGGGACAACTCCAGGTGCAATTGCCCTAGAGGAACATTGCCATCTATAATCTATCGTGCAATAAAGCCAACCATCGCGAGAAAAAGCCCAAGGGCGTTTAGTCCTTGCCAACTACCCGTTCCCTCCATATGAATGGATGTATACATGTTTCTCGCTGCAGGGAGGTGTTAAAGTGCAGGGTATGATATATGATATATGTTCGTGAGAGCCAAGGGGTTTGCGGAATAATAGGGCACAGTGTTCTATTATAGTCTGATTGAAAGAGGTTAGGGAAGATCGTGGATAGCGATAGAAGCAATATCTGATGGGGGGGGGGGAGGAGATATGAAGTCAGACATTCACTCAAGGATTCGGCTTTGACTTGAGCTCTTCTCTGCTTCTTTTTTTCCGGAGACGAGGAACGGGGGGGAGGGGGGGGGGAAGCATAACGAATTCAATCTCCTTAACTTCGACATCCCCATAGAAAAGACTTACTGAGGAATAAGCATCTCACTAAGACTGCTATGCAAGAAAGCAACGGCCGCCTGTGACAAATATTTATACATTAGTCTACTTGAACTCCATTAAGTTATCTGGTGTGCTTTGCATGTTGCTCATTTATACACAACGTACCCCGAATACAACAACACTTCTCACAACAGAAGCGTTCTCAGAAGATGTGATACCGCGATATGCGGCAGTGAGATAGCCGACTTGCTCCGGCTGGCGCTTCTTTGCCGGCCGGGATTGCACGACAACGCGTTGCTTGGGAGCCATTTTGAGCGATGCGTTTACAGATGTGGGAGGGATATATTTCCCGGGTTGTAAAGTTGCCGTGTTGTTTGTTGAAGAGAGTTATTGCAATATAGGAGAAGATAGAGTTGTTGTATGGCCGGAAGAAAATCCCTGAGCAAAGGAAGTCCGCGAACTGCGCAGGTGGTGCGTTTAGTGTGACGTAGAACATGTTATTGGAACAGCAAGCTCCATTCAGAGACGTGATGGAATACAACTGTAATGTGTTATAGTTTTTGATATTTCCAACTTGTCGCCCTTGAGCTGGATACTTCTCTTATTTTTCTAAGCTCCGTGTACGGAAAGTTTTGAGATTGCGGACGCCGCCCCTCTGCGCCTCACGAGCTCCAGCCTCCAAAGCTTCCCTACAATGGCCAGCATCGATGAGTTATTCAAGGTATTACGACTCTCTGAATATACCAAATTGCCGCGCTAACAAGTATACAGAAACCATTATTGCCATCAAAGCGCAAATCCGAGCCGTTACGAGATGCCAGTATGTTCTACTCAAACACCCAGTCACTGTATGGTTATAGCCAACCCGTTATTGCTTCCTGTTAGGTGAAGTCTACAAAAGTACGAAGATAGATGTCAATGGGGTTGCAAAGAGCAGTCGGGTAGCCACAATCGAAGATGCTGGTGACGAGGAAGATGAAGCCGGTCCCGAGCTCCCTCCAGACTTCGATCCAGATGAGGGTGACGCAGACGACGAGGGAGGGCGATTTTTCGGTGGTGGCATATCGACTCAAACGGCTGGCGCGTTGGACTTTGTTGAAAACCTGGATCAGAACGATACTGGGGTGAGAATACCGGGAATTTATTATGTTGGAATGCGCTTTGGAATATTGAGCTAATGTTTGGCCCTGGTCCGTTGTATCAGCCAGAAAAAATCGACTTGGCTTGGTTACGACGATTGGCATTGACCTTCGAGAAGAGGATATCTAAGAATGCAGAGCTCAGGGCCAAGTTTGAGGATGAGCCCCAAAAGTAAGTTATTGATTATAATGGTATTACCTATTGTACCCACCGCGTTGCAGGTATATATTCTAATGTGAACGAACGATATCAGATTCATGGCTTCCGAGGCAGACCTTGATGCCGATATCAAATCTCTTTCGATTTTGTCAGAGCATCCAGATTTGTATGAAGAGTTTGCGAGCTTGGGATGTGTTGGTTCTCTCGTTTCGTTACTGTCCCACGAAAATACGGACATTGCTATTGACGCAATTGAGATTCTTGGTGAATTGACCGATGAAGATGTCGAAGCTGAGCAGGAACAGTGGGATGCTTTGGTCACTGCTATGGTAAGACTTATTGGACTTTTTCAATGGGGACATTTTACTGATTTTTTGAAGGTGGATGCGGATGTCATTGCGCTACTGGCTCAAAACCTTTCTCGACTTGACGAGGATAATGAGGCAGACAGATCTGGTGTTTACCATGTCATGAGTGAGTTTTTTTTTTTCATTTTGTGGATCTCTTCATAGCTGATATTCTGTTACAGACGTTCTTGAGAACCTGGCCTCGCAGCTTACCGTTGCAGAGAAAATTGGGCAAGATTCGGATATGGTAACGTGGCTCAAAAATCGAATACAGAAAAGGGAGAAACAAGTAACCCAGAATAAACAGTATGCGGCCGAAATTCTAGCAATTTTAGTCCAATCGTCATCGAAGAACCGACAAATTTTGATCAAAAATGAGATGGTGGATGTTTTGTTACAGTTGCTCAGCCCATATCGAAAGCTGGACCCTGAGAAAGATTCGGACGAAGAAGAATACGTGGAGAATCTTTTCGATTGCCTTACATGCTTGGTAGATGAAGACGATGGGAAAACAAAATTTATAGAAGCCGAAGGTGTGGAACTTGCCCAAATCATGCTCAGGGAAGGCAAAATGAGCAAATCAAGGGCGTTAAGAGTTTTTAACCATGCCCTGAGCGGGAAAGGGGGCGGACCTGCCTGTGAGCGTCTTATCGAAGCTGCGGCATTGGGAACAATATTTGGCATGTTTAAGAAAAAGGTAAGTGTGCCGTTTTCCCTTTATCTTTTGAGATCAAAGGATCTAACCCCCGCATAGCAAGACCACCAGTCGATAGAGCACTTGTTGGGAATATTCTCTTCACTTCTACGACTGCTACCTGGAGATTCTCCAAGTCGGATACGGACCCTTGCAAAATTCATGGAGAAAGACTACGAGAAGATTGAGAAGTTAGTTAAATTACGGCGCGAATACGAGTCGAAAGTTTCAGCAGTTGATCAGACAATTGAGCAAGAGCGAAAATCCATGGATCAGGATGAGCAGGAGATTATGGCGGGAGAATGGCTTTCTCGACGCCTCGATGCGGGATTGTTCTGTTTCCAGGTCGGAGACTCCACCTCTTATGTATTCTACCCGTTTATATTATCACTAACACCAAGCAGACCATTGATGTTATTCTCGCCTGGCTAGTTGCCGAAGATGACGGAGCAAAATCGAAAATTAATACTTTGCTCTCAGATCATGATGAGAACCTGGAGGTTATTAAAGCTACACTGCAGGGTATGGTTTCTGCTGCTTCGATTCCAAGCAAATTAACTGAGCTGACTTGTTAGTTCTAGAGCAACTAAATGACCTGGATGAAACGTCAACTGATGAGGAGGATACACGAGAGATGCTTGGAACACTGCTGCAGTTCCTACGGTAAAGACTCTATGTAGCTTTGTATATAATAACTTCATCAAATGTAACATCAACATGCGACAAAGTTTTAACTCACGTGAAATAAGACTTTATAGTTTAGAGGCGCGCTAATACATATTAGGTAAGCGCGTGTGGCGGCTCTGCGTCAGAATATCGCGCCCATCACCTGGAGAACCGTTGCTGATAAAATTTAATCAACATCAACACCCCCAATCTTTGCTTCGACACCCTGCGGAGCACCGTTGCTGTTGTATTCTCGTATCAGCACTATACGGAAATTGTTTCTCGTCTACGTACGTCTTTCCCACGAATGAAATAAACCCGTCCTGCGCAGGGAGAAACCAGCCACTTTCTCAAAGTCCTGACTTCCGGGGGGCTCCGTCGCCCGCAACTGCACACCGGAATAACGCCCAGCATGGAGGACTACGAGGAGGAATATGGCGAGGATGTCTACTGCGAGCAGGAAGAAGGAATTACATCTGAAGATTGCTGGACGGTGATTTCGTCTTTCTTCGAGTCGAAAGGTTTAGTGTCGCAACAGCTCGATTCTTTCGATGAGTTCATCTCCACAACGATGCAGGAGCTGGTGGAGGAACAGGGTCAGGTTACACTCGATCAGACACTAGCTCCTTCCGAGGATGAAGTGGATCCCGTTGTTTTGCGTCGTTATGAGCTGAAATTCGGTACGGTGATGCTTGCACGGCCATCGATGACGGAGGGCGATGGCGCCACTAGTATTATGTTGCCCCAGGAAGCACGGCTTAGAAACCTCACATATGCTAGCCCCCTCTATCTTGGTATTACGAAACGAGTAACTGAAGGCCGGGAACGACTTATTTCTGAACGTGACGATGCTGATCAGGATGAACAAGATAACGATGAGGATAGACGGAATAGAGGAACGTATCTGCACTGGGAGCCCAAAGCTTTGAATGAGGATGAGCCGGAGGAAGAAAACGTTTTTATTGGGAGAATGCCAATCATGCTGAAGTCAAAATATTGTATCCTCAAGGACCTCAATGAGCAGGCGTTGTACAACTGGAACGAGTGTCCCTACGATTCCGGTGGATACTTCATTATCAACGGAAGTGAAAAGGTGCTAATCGCCCAAGAACGCAGTGCTGGAAACATTGTTCAAGTGTTTAAGAAAGCTCCTCCAAGCCCCACACCATACGTTGCGGAAATCCGAAGTGCCGTTGAGAAAGGATCTAGAATATTGTCTCAACTGTCGATTAAGCTTTTCGCTAAAGGAGACACCTCCAAGGGCGGTTTTGGCCCAACGATTCGATCAACGCTGCCCTATATTAAAACAGACATTCCCATCGTCGTCGTTTTCCGGGCTTTGGGTGTTGTGTCTGACGAGGATATTCTCAACCATATTTGCTATGATAGGAATGATACTCCAATGTTGGAAATGCTTAAGCCGTGTATTGAGGAAGGCTTCGTCATTCAAGATCGCGAAGTGGCCCTTGACTTCATCAGTAAACGAGGCTCTTCACCTACGAGCATGAACCACGAGAAGCGAGTTAGATATGCCAGGGATATCATCCAGAAGGAATTCCTTCCCCACATTTCGCAAAGTGAAGGAAGTGAGACGCGGAAAGCATTCTTCTTGGGATATATGGTGCATCGGCTTCTTCAATGTGCTCTTGGCCGTCGCGATGTCGATGATCGTGACCATTTTGGGAAAAAGAGACTGGACCTGGCTGGTCCACTGCTCGCTAACCTTTTCAGAATCCTTTTCATGAGGGTTACGAAAGATCTTTACAAGTATGTCCAGAGATGTGTGGAAACTAACCGTCAGCTCTATTTAAATATCGGTGTAAAGGCGAGCACCCTGTCTGGCGGTCTCAAGTATGCTCTTGCCACTGGAAATTGGGGTGAACAGAAGAAGGCAGCCAGCTCCAAAGCCGGTGTTTCGCAAGTGCTTAATCGCTATACATACGCGTCTACACTTTCACATCTTCGCCGTACTAACACACCTATCGGTCGTGACGGCAAGATTGCTAAACCCCGACAACTTCATAATACTCACTGGGGTCTTGTATGTCCAGCTGAAACACCAGAGGGACAAGCTTGCGGTCTCGTGAAGAATCTGGCCTTGATGTGTTATATTACTGTCGGTACGCCAAGCGAACCAATTATCGATTTCATGATCCAACGGAATATGGAAGTCTTGGAAGAATTTGAGCCCCAAGTGTCGCCAAACGCCACAAAAGTCTTCGTCAATGGTGTCTGGGTGGGAGTTCACAGAGATCCTTCTCACTTAGTGAGCACCGTTCAGTCACTGAGACGACGTAACATGATTTCCCACGAAGTCAGTTTGGTGCGAGACATTCGAGACCGAGAATTCAAAATTTTCACAGATGCTGGACGCGTGTGTCGACCTCTGTTTGTCGTAGAGAATGATCCTAAGAGCGAAAACTGTGGCTCGCTGGTACTATCTAAGGAACACATTCACAAACTGGAAGCTGATAAAGAAATTCCAGCAGATTTGGATCCCGAAGAACGCAGGGAACGGTACTTTGGATGGGATGGCCTTGTTAAATCTGGTGTTGTTGAATATGTAGATGCCGAGGAGGAAGAGACTATTATGATTGTTATGACACCCGAGGATCTGGAGATGTCGAAACAAGTTCAAGCTGGATATAACCTTCCGGAAGAAGATCATACCGATAGGAATCGGCGTGTCCGATCAAATCTTAGCCAGAAGGCGCATACCTGGACTCATTGCGAAATCCACCCCAGTATGATTCTAGGTATCTGCGCAAGCATCATTCCGTTCCCTGACCACAACCAGTCTCCTCGTAACACATACCAGTCGGCTATGGGTAAACAAGCGATGGGTGTCTTTCTAACGAATTTCGATCAACGCATGGAAACGATGGCAAACATCTTGTACTATCCACAGAAGCCCCTTGCTACAACACGGTCCATGGAGTTCCTCAAATTCCGCGAGCTTCCTGCTGGGCAGAATGCTATAGTGGCAATTGCTTGCTACTCCGGATACAACCAGGAAGATTCCGTCATCATGAACCAGAGCAGTATTGATCGTGGTCTTTTCCGAAGTCTTTTCTACCGAACTTACACCGACTCTGAGAAAATGGTTGGTATGACTGTTGTTGAAAGATTTGAGAAGCCGATGAGATCCGACACTCTTCGGATGAAACACGGTACTTATGATAAAGTCGATGATGATGGCATTGTTGCTCCCGGTGTTCGTGTTTCCGGCGAGGATATCATCATTGGTAAAACAGCTCCTCTTGCACCGGATGCAGAAGAACTGGGACAGAGAACTAAACAACATACCAAAGTTGACGTCTCTACTCCTCTGCGTAGTACCGAGAGCGGTATTGTTGACCAGGTCTTGATTTCTACGAGCAACGATGATCTCAAATTCGTTAAAGTTCGGACGCGAACGACAAAGATTCCTCAAATCGGGGACAAGTTTGCGTCCCGTCACGGTCAAAAGGGCACCATTGGCATTACATACAGACAGGAAGATATGCCCTTCACGCGTGAAGGAATCACACCAGATATAATCATTAATCCTCACGCCATTCCATCTCGAATGACAATTGCCCATTTGATCGAGTGTCAACTCAGTAAAGTTTCGTCACTACGTGGCTTTGAAGGCGATGCAACTCCCTTCACCGACGTGACAGTAGACTCCATCTCCGGTTTGCTCCGTGAACATGGATACCAGTCCCGCGGCTTCGAGGTTATGTACAATGGCCACACAGGCCGAAAGCTAGTTGCGCAAATTTTCCTCGGCCCAACTTATTACCAACGGCTGCGACATATGGTGGACGACAAGATCCATGCTCGCGCACGTGGTCCAACCCAGATTCTTACCCGCCAGCCTGTGGAAGGTCGTGCTCGAGATGGGGGCCTTCGATTTGGAGAGATGGAACGCGATTGCATGATTGCTCATGGCGCCAGTGCGTTCCTGAAAGAACGATTGTTTGATGTCTCTGATCCTTTCCGTGTCCACATATGTGATATCTGTGGGTTGATGACACCCATTGCGTAAGTTTGTTCACTCCAGAACCTAAAATAGTAGCCCTCTATACATTTGAAACTAACATTGTTGCATAGGAAACTCAAGAAGGGAGACTTTGAATGCCGGGCATGTAAAAATAAGAACAAAATTTCCCAAGTTCACATTCCATATGCTGCCAAGCTTTTGTTCCAAGAGCTGATGTCGATGAATATCGCTGCACGGATGTTTACGAAGAGGTCCGGAGTGTCATTGCGTTAGCCATGTGCCGTGTTTAATGCGTGCATTCGTGCAATGATCAGCCGACCGGAAATTGCGGAGTGGGGTTTGTCATCCAACTAGCCTGCAGAAGTAGCCGTTTTGTGTGGCACACACATCCCTGCAAATTGCAAATCCAAGGAATCAAACCTGTTCTCGCAACATGAAGTTGTTCTTTTAATTGACAAGTCTTGTTTCTTCTTTGTCCCGTTTTGTTTACTCGACCTCCCAATTTCCCGATCTCCCAGCGCCTCTTTTGTGCTTTATTTGAGGTGACTCCGTTATTTTACTTTCGTTTTTCTCATAGCATCTCGAGATAGAGAGTTCACAGAACAGTCAGTTCAAGAGACAAATGCCCTACTACCCTTTCTCTATTTGGCATTGTCCATTGTATTTTTTTTTCATTTCTTCCTTTTATTTTCTGGTTCAAATGAGCGAAAGTTGGGAAAAGTTGGAATGTATCCTAGAAGGAAGGAAATAACTGATTCCCTCGATAATAATGCCCGCCTTTTTTAAAAAACATCTCTGAATTGAGCCTTGTTTTTTTTCTGTTATGTCAATTACAATTCTGCACATTTGCAATAGATCTAAAATACGCCCCTCACCATGAAATCCTCACGCAGAGTTGATATGCTTACCTTTGCTCTCTACGCAGCGAAGTGTCTTACAAAAAAAAAAAGGCGGTGACAGCTCCCACAATACAACTGAAAGGAAAGCAAATTGCCTTGGAAAACCCTAAGATATATATGAGTTGCACTATGTCTAGCCATTGTTGAATTGGCATCAGAGCAATCTTGTTTCACTTTTAACAGCATCAAACTTAATAACTGGCTAGCAGTGAGGAAAGGAGGGATGAAGCAAACAGAAAACAACCGCACCATTTTTTGTCCATTAGCCTTCCGAGTGCACTCCAAGAACAGAAAGTCAAAAGGTAAGGAGTGTCAGTGCCAGTGGAGGGGGGAACCCACCATGCTCCATCCACGGAACCATGCCAAAAGGATGGCAGGTTATTTATGGGGCCAAGCTCCTTCGAATCTTGGTAGGGTGGATCTGCTGGATATGTGTGTAGTTCTCGCTTGCTGGGGTGGGCCTGGTTGCTATTGGTCACTGGTCACAGGGGGGTCAGTCGTACCATTGACAAATTGTTGCATGGATCCTTGTTAGTCTTCGATGGAAAATATTTCGTTATGCCACCATTCATGCGCATCTGCTGTGGTGGGGATTTTGTGTATGTGAATGTATATCAGATGTGTTTACATGGGACGGGGAGAGAGACGTCATGGAGAGAGCATGAGCTCGATAGTTGGGCTGAGGAGGGTCTGTATATTTTTGGTGTTCGGATGATGCACTGTCCCGTTTAAGGGGGATGTGGATCAGAATAAAAAGGGTGCATTGATGTCTGGTCGACGTTTTAGAATTGGCACTCTCGAACGACGTTAGCAACCGGTGTGCGCAGGAGAGGCTACAGCAGTATCCAGCATCCAGTTCTGGATCATTCCACGCGCTGATATTGAACGTGTCATGCAGGATCCTCCTGAAGCAGTACCTTTTTCAAACAGGAATCGGGCTTTCGACATGCTGATAAGTTCTCAGACAGACAATCTTTTGACATGCAAGAGTGCGACCCCTAACCGCCCGGCGGAGATCGATATATATGACTGTGAAGACACGCAGGTCCATTTTGTCGCTGCTTGGTAATAAATACAAGGGAATAATAATAATATACGACGGGCCAATTCCAGAAGCATCATGGAGCAGAATCCATCTCAAGGACACCTCACATCATCGGCCTCGTATATCCCTGGGGGAAAGATGCAGAATCCTGCTGAGAATTGGATGCAGAGGCAGGTTTATTCAACCCCGAATGAGAACTAACGGACAGTGACTGACGCAATGTGATGCAGTGCATCATCATCGAGTGTGCCACTGCCTGGCCACTCTCAACCGCCCCTAACGCAGCCAGCGAATGGGCTTCAAACCCCAAGAGTCACCAACCTGCACACCATGGTGCTGCACACCCCGCAGCATAATCGGGCGAGGCTTGGTTGGAGGTTGCGCAGGGCGGATGCTCATTGGGCGTGCGACAGCTGACTCCCACCGTCCTGCTGCTGATCTCGGCCAATGATAGGCTCGCCTTACCCGCCCATGTCGATTACGTCAGTGAACAGAGTTTATCACATTAACCCAATACGGATTAATGTTTATGGTCCCGTGTTTCTATTCTTAGAGTCTGCTCTGGTTCTCACATTTATACAACCAACTCCGCCGCCCGCCTTTTGCTTCATTCTCTCTTTTCTCCCTTTTTCTTCTTCTTCTTCTTTTTTTTTTCTTTTCTTCAGCAGGTCTTGTTTGTCTTCCCGAAGAGCTATTCCTTTAGTTTCGAGGTACCGAATTTCCGTTGCGTCTTTCTTCTCCTTTTTCTTTCTCGTTAATTATTCAAAGAAGCTGTGCTTCTCGTTTCTTGAATCTTTTTCATCTCGGTACCTCTTAATTAATTCAAATCCTCACCTCAAATTGCATTGCCGTTGCCGGTTCGACGTCTTTGTTTAATAGCCTCTTCTTCAACGTTCGAGAGAAATTCTAAGATCCGTCCGCTCTATTTTATCGATTCAACATCTGCAAAAGCGACTCCGGTAGTCCTTTGACCTTCGATAAAATCTGTTGTCTATTATTAGTATATTCGATTTTCTATCTACACATAATTCGATCATTATTATTATTATTATTATTATTATTATTATTATTACTGTTCTTTTTTTACTACACCCATTCATTAATATCATATTCTTCCCCTTGCCTTCATTATTATTCTTACAACTCACACTTAATCCAACCTAATATCCCGGAAATACTTGGAAAAATGGCCGCGGTTCAGCTTAGCTTCTCCATCCGCACCTCTCCCAATGTCAAGACCATTCATCTCCTCGGTTCCTGGGACAATTACACTGGCCAGCTTCCGCTCTCCCAGGATGCTTCCGCCAAAGCTGGCTCGTGGAAGGGTACTTTTCGCTTCCAGGGCAATTCCCTTCAACTGGGACAGCGATACTGGTACTATGTAAGTAAAATTTCTCATGTCTTGTCTCAGGAGTTTTATTTTGCTTGGTTACTTCTTTTTCTTTTTTTGGCTTGGATTCTGACTTCTTGACAGTACATCATGGACGGATACCACGTCTCTCATGATCCAACAGCAGAATACACTGTTGAGCCCACCACTGGGCGCAAGCTAAACATCCTAGATGTTCCCAACGGAGCCCGCAGTAGCAACAACTCCTCTGCAAACAGACATTCGTCTGGTGGGGTCATCAAGGGTCGAGCCCTCTCTCCCTCCAAGATCCTGTCCCCAAAGCCCTCCAAGCCCTACGCCTCACGCCAAATTCGGGATGCCCGCTACTCCCCACCGCCAACTGTCAGCGAACTCACTAGACGCTTTGGCAATGTCGATATGTCTGATTCTGATTCAGACATCTCCACCAGCCCGCCCTCGTCTACTGGCTCTTCCATGTCCGGACGCTCCGACAGTTCGTCTCCATCATCCATCTCCTCTTTGAGCGATAACAGCTCTGTCTGCAGCTGCGAACGATACGGTATCACTCGAAAGGGAGATCGCGTCAAGCTCGATTGTGGAGGTAGCCGATGCGGAGTTAATTCTCCCGGTTCAGACTCCAACTACTGCTCAAGCGACGACTCTGAAGACGACGACTACCGACAACCCCGTCCCACGAGCCGTCGTCCAAACTACGCCCGCGTCAGGTGATCACCCGTGCTCTGCTGGATGATAAGATAGCGATTTCCCCCTTTTCCACAGAACATTCACTTTGACTACACTCCCCCCCTGACTGACAATCTTGGAGCCACTGGCACGCCCATCAAAACCACCCGTCCCGCTCCCTTTCTTTTTGACCCACGACCCTAACGAAGTAAGAATGTTTTCAAAGAGTTGGTTTATTTTGCCTGCGACTGTGAAGTTGGTTTAAAATGATTTTCAAATTCCATGCGTCCAAGCGGGAAAAAAAGTTGTCATGCCTCTCTTCGACCGGAATGATATTCGCGTACAGCCTTCAATCCAGTCTACCCTTGCTTCCCCTCACACGTCCATGTGGGGGGGAGGGTGTTTATACCTGCTTGATTCTGATTACCCAAAGCTAATGTTTCTCGCCATTGTCGCTCAATTCACTAAATCTGTGCTTTTTGAACTGTCCAAGCAAAACAATGCCGTAAACAATCAACGCAAAGCATAAAAAAGCTGCCAAAGAAAAAACACTCTTGTTTCACGTTTCGTCGCTTTGCATTGCATCGAAGCAATATTTGTTATTCTTCATTTCTTCGGAGCCTCTCCCCAAACAACATGAATAATCTCAAGTCAATATTTGTTGTTTTCAACCTCCTTCTCTTTTTTTTTTTTTTTTAATCGCATGCGAAATTGCGTACAATTTTGTGTCTTCGTTTTGGTTTATACATAGGTAGAGAGCGGTCTTTCCCCGGCTTTTTGAAAGTGGTACCATCCCTTCGTAGCAGATTCGTAAGGGCCCTCTAGGTTGATACACCAACCCTTACGGTGTGCGCGTGTGGGTGACTCGGTGACGATATGTTGCCGAGGGAAGAACAGAAGGGTTGAGAAGGAATGGGATGAATGTGGGTGGTAGCGTTGGTATCGAAGAACAGGGGTCGAAAGCAAGGAAAAGCCGTGCGCTCGAACGGCACGGTTTGGTGGGAGTTGTGGTTCAGGTGAAATATATCAAGAAAGGAGGTTGAAATTGGATAAAAAGGAGGACGACCACGATCAAGCAAACGAATGTGCTTAGGACAAGCTAGCCAGTTGACTTTGTTCCTTTTTTATTTTATTTTATTTTTATTTTTATTTTTTTTTTTTTTTTTAAAAAAAAAAAATAGTTTTCCGTTCTCAAGCCGACCTATCTGCTGTCAAATTTTGTCTTCGTTGGTAGCGTTTGTTTTGTATCTATTCATAGGTGGTAGTATGTATATTCGGCTAGCTTGCTGGCAAATTCAACGGGTTCGTCTTCAAAAAATGTGTTCAAAACTTTTGAAATAAGTCTTGTGTAAGTTAGCTGATTTATTTATTTTATTATATTTCCCATTTCATCATAATGAAATTCCTATCTGCAAACTTCGCGTTGGCTAATCTATCCATCTCTGAAATCGTCCATTGTCTGTCCCATCCAGATGGAGTTCCCCCCAAAACTCCTTGAAATCAATATATCTCTACTAATTACAATGCTGGTCTTTTATTTTGGCTCCTCACTTTCTTTGTGCATCCCTGTCACCACATTCATACGTTGTTTTTTCTACCCCCTTTCAAGCCATCTTAGGGAATACCACATTTCTTCTTCAGCCATCTCAGACCGCCCCCCTCCCCTCCTCCTCAAATCTTCAGTCTGCCGTCTTCCTCCTTGCCTCCGTCTCCATCATCTTTCTCCTCCTTCTGTCCTTCGCCTGACGCGCCAGAGACTTCCACGACCCCTCATAGTGATGCGTAACAAGCACGGGCCCCTGTCCCGTCGGATACCCATTTTGCTTCGCTGCAAACGCATTACCAGGCATGATAACCACATCCCCCAAAACCCTCGGCTTTTTCCCGCGAGAAAAATCTCGCTCATCGACACGCCTACCCAACATACAGCTTAAGCTCTCCAGAATTCCCAATGTCATCCTCCACGGGCCCGTAACTTCCACAACATCGGAAATCATATCCAGCGTAATTCCTTCTGCAGTGACCCCATTCTCCAACGTAATGTCATTAAGGTGTCGAACGATATCATCCACGACTAACTGCAGATGGCGTGAACCGGGACGCGCCGCAAAGACCCAATTCGTCAACTGGGAGGATAGCCCGCTGCCCTCTCCTTCCCACTCACCGTCGAATTCAAGACCAACAATGAGGCCTATTCCCTCCGACCAGGGCGTGTGAGATGTGACATTTCCTCCCGCAAACATCACATCGTTGGCATCTGCTGGCAACCAGTCTGCAACGGGCATTGCGCAAGTGGCGTCGATGTCGCTCCAGATCCCGCCGTCGGCCAGAAGAATAAGATATCTCAGCAGATCAGCCTTGAGAATCGCTACCTGAAGGCCCTTGAACAGCGATACGATGTCAGGGCGTATCGTTCCATATTTCTTCTCCACATACTGGTTCCATGTGTCGTCGGTTACGAGCTCGTGCTCGAAGGAAGGATTTTTTTCCAGCCAGGTGGAGGACCATGCTTTTTGCTTCATGGAAAGGTTCTCGGATTTGGCAGACTGCCAGATCTTCGCCGGGATGTTTGGGAGGCCGGGAATGCAAGGGACATCCGGATCGGGAACTGGTTGCGATCGTGGAATTTGAAGTTGAGCTTGGTCTGTGCTGCTTCGTCTTAAGCTCCAGGTCAGTTTCTTTTTAAGTTTAATAAATGTTTGCAGGGGTGCATACGGTTTGCGGATCCAGTTGTTGTTTGTGCCGAAAATGGTAAAGCAGAAGAGGTATAGAGAAATAGATGCTGAGACCAGGAGGCGTAGCCGGCTTAGGCGGATTGGGGGTCGTCTTCGGGAAGAGGCACGATACATCGCCTCATGGATATGGGTATGGACAATGGAGAGATGTTTCTGGGTCTTGATTTCCAGTGTCCGGGAACCACAGAAAAAGAAAATGAAAGAGAAAGAAAATGAAAATGAAAATGAAAATGAAAAAAGAAAAATTTGTTCTCAATGGATCACCTCCCTGGGCATGATGCTGACGTATTCTCTGTAAACCGCACAAGAGCAGATTGATCAAGGTGCCGAAAAAGCAATGATCGCCGAGGCAACAACATATCTTGCTATCCGTATCTGAAAGGGAAAGACATTTATATAACGTTCCAGAAGTAACAGAGTGGGAGATCAGAGAATAAAAGAAGTGCAAGATATGGGAAAAGGAAAACACAGGCGAAAGTATTCTTCTTGTGCCATTTTCTCACACTGATTATTCAACGACATAGTTGGATATAAACGGAATAAAACAAGGGCTCCCCACCAGGGCGCTAGGAGGGTGCTTAACGAATGCTTTGGAAACCTGGAGCCAGAGTTCAATCCATCCCTCTAGTCACAGGGCTTTTGTTGCCTCCAGATTTTGATTATTTATTATTCTTATTTTTTTTTTTTATTTTTTTTTTTTCAGACACCGACCGTCATCGACAAAAACGTCCGCTCAGGAAAGTCGGTAAGAGAAGTGATGAAGAAGAAGGCTTTAGCCGCAGTGTCAACATTTCAACTGTCTTCCTGCATCATAACTACCAGCCCGACAACCTCAAACCAATTCGAGCTCTCTTACAACTTTCTATGACGCAGGTGAATCGACGTGTGGAAGCGTATCGTAGCCGCTGGTCGTTCCCCGTGTGTTAGGTATTTCTCTTCTGGCGGGCTCATATGCGTTTTAGCCTCTGAGGCTGGATAATTGTGGATAATTCTCCTTGTAGGTAGGTAGCAGCTCATTGGACGTAATTGAAAGAGAATAGAGTTACTCGGCGGGTTGATCAATGATCACTGAGGGGTGGATATGCAGAACCCTTTGGTTTCCCCCCCCGCCTTTCTCTGCAGTTCTTCTTCTCCGGTTATCCAATAAAGTAGTCAACTTAAAACCCCCCCTTTTTAGCCTTACTTCAGTTAAAAATAGTTAGTAAACCCCATCGACAATACCCGCTAGGCATATGTGGGCGCGTATGTCGACATATAATCACTGCTCCAAAGCTCATAGGCACTCGGGAGCTACATAACTATATGTTTCTCTGTGCTGCTGCATACATGTACACGTCACACGGGCCATATTGGAAAATGAGCAAATGCCCATGATTCAATTCAGGATCTCTGTCACTTTATCCCTTTCTGGCTGTCGTGTGGCGAAGCATATCTGGGCTTGTTGGATGCCGACGGGTAATAGCTCGACGGTTGTGGTGGGGCTTCCACGTCCGAAGAAGACCGGTGGGCCACTGACAGATTGTAAATAAACTATTAGTTAACTCAAGAGTTGAGAAATATTTCATGTCGTTATCTTAGATGTTGGGGGTGATTTCTTTCTCTCTTCTCCGGCTTTTATTGCGATCTGGCCAACGAGTGGCTTTATATTATTAGACGAGAATAACGTGGAATCCCGCAAGTGCAATAACCACCCGAACTCTACTCTGCTCTGCTCTTCTCGCTGATATCTGTGAAATTCCACCCAGCTTTTATGGCCACGGATTGTTCGCTTCACCCCCCCCCCCCCCCTCCCCCCTCTGCTAAACTACATCCAAAAATAAACGTTCTAACATGATTGTGGCCAGCAATTTTCTGGGTTCGAGAGAAATAAAGCAAAAAAAAAGAAAAAAGAAAAAAAAAGAAAAAAAAAAAGAAAAAGAAAAAGAAAAAGAAAAATTTTAAACAATAGCCTAGTTTGTGGAGTTTCTGGTGGACCTTTTGATTTGACATAAGTACATAGTCAGTTACCCGCTCACCGAATAATCCCGCAAAATGTACAAATCACCAAAAATAATGGAATAATGAATAAAAACAAGCAAAATAAGTAGCACTCTTTACAACCAGACCGCCACCCGTGATACCGAAAACATGCACAAGATTTCATACCGCCAGTTTCTTTTGAAGCAACGTTGGGGGCAATGTCCCCGCAGTCAGTTATCTACAAAACAGACTTCAACGCAGAAACCATGTACTGTTCCTCCTGTGCCCTAGCGATCGGTTGACTTTGCGAAACTCCAGGGGGCTGCTCTTTGGAGTGGGGCTATGACTCATGCTGCCATCTTTTAACCTACAGTCACCGGGTTTGGCAGGGCCAGCAGGAAGAAGGGGGAAGCAAGTGTTTTAAAATGACTACGGTCTTCCGCTATCGCCAAGCATCTCTCCTGTTCAGCAACAGTGAGGATGAGGTAGATATTTGCCCTGTTGTGATGGAACAACCAAGCTATTACATGCAAGAAATCCGACAGAGATTGTTGAGGCCCTGGGACTGAACATAGCAGCATCAGCCACTGCCAGGTATTGGAGAGATCCTTGGATGGGAGGGCTTTCTGAATGTGCAGATTGAAACCTGGGCAGTTTTCAGTGATAGAGTGAAATTGGAAGCTAAGGTGAGGTGGCTTGATGAATGGAAAGAACTGTTGCTCAACACTGGAGAATAAGATGAAGTGTCAGAATGACAATAGCTCATTGACTTCATTAAGTGCAGAGGCGGAGTGCTAACATATTTTCAGTGACTGCAGTCAATCTCTGTTGATTGGTGATCATGAGATATATTATTCATTTTGTCAACAGCAATCATCCCGGCGGAAGTAAAGTCAGTGTGACCAGAAATAATAAAGAGAGTAGATGAAAGCCCGAAAAGATTTCCCCAAAACTGACAACGATAGTAATGGGTCAGGACAAAGAGTTGGGTATACAGCAGAGCTCAAGAGTGAAACAAAAAGGAAACAAGAAATGGGGCCATGTTTCTTTCTCCCATTTTTACCCTGTTCCCATTATTTTCTTTCATGCGGAATAGAATAAACGCACGAAAGCAAATAAAAAGTACAGCATATGATGCAATGTTTACTAATGCCTGTTAGTTATATATTTCTGGAGATGAGAAAGTCTCCCAAAGAGCAAAGAAGGAACATGAATGTATTTATAACCCAAGGGCCGTCAAAGTTTCTAGTCGCAATAATAACTTATTGCCTCCCTTCGGCCCCCAAACCAGAAATCACGAGTGCAGATGGCGGCTGCGCTCACACTTCCTCTGGTACATAGCCAAAAACTTTCGACCGCCTACCCGGTATTCCAGTTATCGATATATCTCCCGGTTTTCCCGATGTCGTAATGCTAGGGAGACCCCGCAACCGCCTCCACCGATCTGTCTGGCGTCTCATATCGGGGCTTATCAGGAATCCCCACTTGAGCCAAAAGTTATCGCCAATTTCCCAATTGCTTGGGTCGCAGAAGTGGCCCCCGCCTCGAAACTTGCCCCCTGCGTCACAAAAATCGATGATTAGCTCCATCTCGTCGATCAAGTGAGGCGCGTGATAAATGGCGAGGATGATGGCGTCACGAAGCTGGGGAATGGGGACTGTGTCGATCCAGTACGGGTGTGGGTATTTTATTTGTGTTGCTGTGGGGAGAAGGGTGGCTAGGGGACCGGTGAATCGGGACAAGATTTTTGGGGACAAGGTTCGGGTTCCTGATATGAAGAAGTCGGCATTCCACCATTTCGGGGCCAGAGGTTCCTTTGGGTTGGAGCGGGAAGGGAGGTAGAAAAATGGTGACATTTGCTCGCCGTTTAGACCGAAGAATTCGCAGCCCTTGGGGATTGCAAAGAGTTTTTGAATTTCGCCGCCGAGATATAGTGTTGAGTGAGCATTCGAAGATACGATGCCAAACGTTTTGTCTAGAGGGACTTTTATGAGCCATGTTTCATAGCTGATATTCAGTTCTGAGTTGCTAGATTTTGTAGATTCGGTTGTAGATGAATATGGCGAATCGGAAAATCCTCCCAAATCATAGATTGTCTCGGATAGATCATCCCATGATTTACCAAATTTCGATGGGATAAAGCTCCAATATTCGCTGCCCGCACGCTTTAAGGGACGTCTTAAATATGTTTGGGCAGACTGTGGCTCGGGAGAGATATTCGTCTCTCCTGTTGGTGGGGAGTGGTCCATGTTCTGCTGTGGAAATTTCGATTCATCGGACCCAGGGATTTGAAGAACCGCGTGTCCAGGTAAATTGGTACTTCGCTGGTTCTTACTTGAATGTTGGCTATGATAATCATCGTAACTTTGAATAGACGAGGAGCAAGATCTTGCTAAGGGAGCTAATCGGTTACTTGAGATGGTTCTCGATTGACCCTTGTTTGGGAATAGGGCCACATTAGAATCTGTCACGATAACGTTGGCTTGCGGCATGGAGAAGTTTGATGTGGATGCAGGAGATAACTGTGGCGATGGGGATAATGACAACCCATATGGTTGATCTGGCTTGTATAGTTGGCCTTGACATGGACGTGTCAGCAACATGCGGTAGGATATTTATCACCCAGAGCAAAGTGCATCGCGGTCGCGGCACAAGTCTTACCAAAGATACGAATAAAATCTATGCGGCAATTGTATGATGAGAATTTATCATCATAAAATGCTGGGCATATTTTCGTTTGATATTCTTCGAGTGAGCGAGGGGGTGGGATTTTCTGTCAAAGCAGTGTGAGCCTGTTGGACAGGAGAAACAATGCAACAACTGTTTAAAGGGGGAGATAGGCTCTATACTCCCGTTAAATATTCCAGGTCATCACACGGTAGCAAAACATCTGAGGGAATCGCGTGTAATGTGAAGTGCGGTTGCAGCCGGAGGGAGGCTAAATATCCATCAAAAATATAGAGCTCCCACCATGTTCTTCTCCAGCTCTCCTCGTGTACCGAGCAGGCATCTCCAGAATTGAACTGACGGCTGTTCAGGCCTAGCTCCACTGCAAGCTCGATGGCTGATGAAAGAGTGGAGCTCGCCAAGCTCGATTCCATTGCCATGTGCAAAGCAATGGCAAATAAAAGCAGCGTTTGAACCATGTACACATCAGGAGTAAGGCTTCTATTTAACAATGCCGAGTTGGCGGCATTTCTGAAATAGTCCGTCTGCATGACTGGATCATGGAAGGATGCGACATACTCAATCGCGGCCTGTAAGTGCTCCAAATCCCTCCTTTCAAATTCTTCGACAAGGTATTTGCGAGGTAGGACAAACGGATGGGAGAAGAAGACCCTAGAGTAAAATATATCAAGCAAATGGCCGGAATGAGCGTTCTTGGCTGGTTTGATAATGGGAAATCCATCCAGTACGTCGTCTACCTCCGACGTATTATGAAGATCAGCAGAATCAAAGTGGTCTGGCACACTTGTCATCCATTGGCGGAGCTGCGAGCCTGGAGAAGAGGTTTCCGTTAAAAAAATAGTTTATAATGAAAAGGCACTCTCCCCAATAGAATTGAAAACGAACCAATCGCTCTCGCAAACGAAGAGATAAGAGGTCAAACTCACTTGAACGAGTGGAAGACCGATTCGTCTCTTCATGAAGGGCGGATTCGGATCCCGTTTCCACATTATCTCCTTCGGACTTGCTGTTACTGCGCAAATCAGACAGTTGCGCGGCATTACTTATGGTATCATGTTTAACACTGGGTCGTCGCCCTCGCCTGGAGAGAATGAAGATGCACTGTCGACCATCCACGCGGCAACGCGAGCAGACGGGCCCGCCATCGCATTTAAGATGTCGTTCACGGCAGTTTGTGCAGGTGGTAGAGACCCTTTTCTTCGGCTCTTCCAGCCTCCTCTGCTTTGGTTGATTCATGGCGAAGCTAGATCAAGATAAATGATACAGACAAAGACAGACAAGTAGAGGAGGCGTTTTCTTCCCCGCTGAGACTTTCTCCAGCTGGCGCCGCTCTCCGTGCCGGGCTTTCGACAATGCGAGAAGTGGGTGCTTGGATGCAGACGATGTATCTCAAGACCAGCTGTATTCCATTTCTTCGACAAGATCTCGAAGACGGCGATGGCGATGCGACAATGAGCATCGGAGTAAAATGTTTGCTTACTTGCTGGAGTCGTTGCTTGAAGTCGCATCCAAGCACCATTGACTGTTCCCTTAGGTGGGGTTTGGGCTGCAGCAACGAATGAGAAACCCCAAGACAAATTCTAGTTACCTCGAAAGGGATGCTAAGCGATGGGGATCGCAGGCTACGATTGGACTGGTCATCCTTGTTGTCGGCCCAAGCAACCCTTTTGTTCTGTGAAGGAAAATGGTGGCAATCCAAGATCTGGAACCTGAAGAAGATGAGAGGTGAAGCCCCCTAGATATTTGCGATTTTGACATTGTTGATGTGTTGATAAATCCCAGCATATGCTATGGTGATGTTCATTGGCGTATGGCTCCCTCAGCAATTCTTCATTAATCACGAATGGTGAAGTTCCATGTATAGTTACATTCCTGGCTCTGCACCCTGAGAAGTGCCGTGATCTAAAATATCTAGTAACTATCCTCTACAAATCCCATCATCAGCACAGCATAAATGCCCGTGTTGAAAACTAATCCGGTACATAACTACCTAGGTACATACTTAGCTACACCGTATGCACTTCGACGTAAGATCCGGCTTATGCATAAGTAGTTATACATATGAAAAATTTAGCGGCCAACACTAAACACCGAGTATCGGTATCAGTAACGGGAAAGGCTGGTTGGATTTGTATATATTTAGAGACCCGAGGTTTGTTTAGGATATTCAAACATCATATCGATGGCTACGAGTATTGGGTGTGGAGAATGCAATAGGCCAAGTCCGTGATATCGGGCATACGAAGGTTGCGGAGGCAGAAGAGTAGTTAGTTTTACGAAGAGAAAAGAAATAAGTTTGGTTGAGAGAATTCGAAGATCATGCTAAATGTGCTGCAGACTTCGATGACACTCGATCAGTCAACAGTTTGGTGACAAGCCAATTGCCCAAGGATGCATCAGAAAAATGATACACTGTTTAACAACGTATGCGAACGGCGCGAAGTGCTAACTACTAAGAATAAACAGTATAACAGGCAACCATCAGGACGGACTGGAGAAATTCCGCTCTATTATTATATTTGACAAAGTTACCTATCTATTTTTAAACGCGTCATTCTCACTTCAAATCCCCGCCTCAACCATCATGTCGCAATGGGGAGCTGCCAAAGGAAGATATGCGTGGCCTGGAATGCCTTGCACAGGCCTTACGAAATATCAAAGGAGGAAAAAAAAAAAAAAAAAAAAAAAAAAAAAAAAAAAGATCGCTGTCCAACTCAACCCTTTTCCCGGCATGAGAATAAAAAAATAAAATAAATAAAATAAAAATAAAAACCAAAAAAGTGTCAAGCCAGGACACTTCCTTTCGTTTCATTGAAAATATCCTCTTTCCCCGGACCCACACCCTCCCGTACTATTTCGCTGTCTAAGAATAGTTATTTTTGAGGGCTCAACCAGCGAACTCTATATCCACCGGCTGGTCCAGTTGCTGACTTCAATTTCTCCACCGCGCGGTCAACGTCGAAAGTGGGTTTTCAACGAAACCAGCCTGAAGAACGTAACTCAAGTAGCCAAATGGATCCCAACTAGACTGCCCAAAATAGCAATTGGCAGTCGATGCCAAACTGTGAGGCGAGGGATAATCCCAACGACCCTGCGCTGGAACATGGGTCAAGGTCTGCGAGAATATGCTCGACAGTATTGGAGCGAAATAAAGAGGGGTGGAAAAAACTTATCAACAACGTTTAGAAATTAGATGAGCAAAGCAAACAAAAAGCAATTGCAATTGCAAAACATAAATATCTCATGAAAATGAACGCTTTCAGTTCCTGGTTCCTTCATTCAAAATGCGTATATCTCATTTCACATCGCCGGCTCGCTACATCCACGAAAATGACTCGAAGACAGAATAGATAAACATATAGGAAAATAGGCAATGGGCGATAGGTTCCCTGACCAGCAGGGAGATGTAGGGTGCATTACTCGCATCCAAGCTTTTCCTTTTGGTCCATCGATCAACAATTGCCTCAGAATTTCTATATCTTTTTCTCCTTATCATAACGAAGGAAAATCAAATAAAAGGAGACAAAAGGACAACAAATTATACTCAACGAACAACGTCAGTCACGTCCCTTAGGAAAACGCCAGGAAACCATAGAAATAATGTAAAATTTAGTAAGGACGGTGTCGAAATCTTTCGTGGCACATAAGAATTCGTAGTCGACCGGTCGACAAACGGTATTGATGTTCGTAGAATATTGATGAATAGGGCCGTGATAGATTATGCAGTAAAATTATCAACCATCCATCAGAAATGAGCTTTCCTCACGTCTGGAGTGAGAGGAGATGTAATTGGGAACACAGGGGCCGGTAAAAATTGTGAGACGGAGAAAGAAACGACCTGCGTTTCTGGAAAGCTCGTATCGATAATAATAGGGGTAAATATGACATCCGCAGGAGACCGCAGAAGAGAGGGGCTCAATAATGGAGGTTCACGAAGGCCAGTAGAGGTGATGACACACAGTGCAAATCAGTCTAACGAGGCTTCAAGTCGGAAAAGTACACTAATTAATATCCACCAGTTAGTGTAATGACTCCCAAGATATCTTTGGCGGTCAACATCCCATCCCCACACTGCACCGCCTCCGATATCACTTGCTCGAGCATGGAAGAGCTATGCAGTAGCCAGACTTTATGGAGATGCACCCTTGCCGCTTGAGTACCCGGAATCCGGCCACTTCGCTGCTGATGTCCCTCTCGATGCTAAATGAGCTGCGCACGCATAACCAACAAGGATCGTCTTCTCCTGCACGACATGGTCACGCTGGCCATACGACTGGCACGGGTCAACCGCATGGCGATAGTAGAGACAGCCACAGACGGAATATCTCTCGATAATTCGGTAGCACATTATTGCTATTAAAGTATTCTTCCCCCTCTTTTTTGTCGCTATAGAGCAGAAATACGTGGGGGTGTGGTGATGATGTATAAGGGGGGAGGGGCTAAGCAAAATTCTTAGAATTATGAGGCACAGCGTTAATAATTTGAACTTTCAAGCTTCGGGAGCAGTTTCCAAGGACACAATTAGAAGAAGTAATAGAGGATAATCTTGGTTGCCTCCAATGTGGCGCAGCTAGGGGTATTTATATCAGTTCCTGTCTATTGGAAATGGAAAGGACTCGGAAGTGAGGAATAGGATGAAAAGAGAGAAATCTCTAGGGAAAAATTGAAGATATTAAAATGGTAAGATAGTATACTATCTCAATGAATGGAATGCATATAAAGAGAAATTGGACTGAAGGAAAATAAAGCTTGAAGAGGAGAGAAACCGCGTCATATATACCTATCGATTCAAAAGACACACAAGGCAGCTACCAGCGGAGCGGAGACCTGAGGCATACGAAGAGAAGCAAGGGATAAGCAATGCAGGTGAATTTCAGCAATGTAAGAAACATCTGGATCGTCTTCAGGACATGGATGTGCCGATCGCTCCTCTGCAGCACTATGACCCCGCTTGAGGGAGCGAAAAGATTACCATACACACTTGAGCTGGAAGAAGTCGACTAAACCTCCGAAGATCCCCTCCAACAGGAGTGGGTGAACGTTCCGCAGAGCGGTGGAACATTTGCGCAGCCAAAAAAGCACAGGGCGCGGATATACCCGAAAATAGTTCTGTGCCCTCTAGGCCCAGCTTGGTCATGTCTGTCGAACCAGCGAAACGTTGATAACAGGAGTGTCCGAGAGTTCCGAGGGGTCCGGGTGCGTTGGAGGATGAGTTACAGCCGCCAAATCCTCAGCCAGGGCTTTCGCGATCAAAATTTATCACCCATTTGTTAGTTATCCACTTTTGCGGAAGTGTGGCTGTTGTGTCCATGTCAACCTGTTCAGTCCTGGCAAGCAGTGTGTGGCTTGCACGAAAACTAACAGGCCGTTGTTTAAGAAGTGGGGAATTATGATACGAAACCGAACAGATAATAACCCGTAAAAAATACTCTGCAATCTGCAGATAATAATAATTTTAACAGTACCAAGAACAATCCACCAGAATGTCGGCTACTTCGTAGCACAAACACTAATAACGAGGCTGATGGATGACCAGGACAGGTTCGTTATGAATGCGGCTATTCATGCCCTTCAAATGATGTAAGGAAGACGCTTGCTGGGGAGCCTGGTATTCTCAGCCTAATTCGTGATCGACACCATCATCCACTGCCCTGGAAATAGTAACGGTGACCTAATGGCCTGCAACAAGTTGAAATCTGACCGATGAACCCATTGAGGCTGCCTTCTGACAGGTACATGCAACGGTTATTAGCGTTAAGCAAGGATCCCTATCATACAGGGTTGCAGTTATTCGCGGATTCGGTGTTATTGTTATTAATTATCTTTCCACTCCAAAAGACGGTCTGGCCAGACCTTGGTAACATTAGTTACCGTACAATGAGGGCAACCTGCATAGTTACCCTAACGCACGAGCTGGACTTGTGAGCTGATGGTAAAATCAAGGAGTTCCGCGATGCCAATTTTTCCGCTGTATTCATATCGAATCAAACATGAAACATTTCCACATGTTGAAGAATCTGCTGACCCACGAATGATATAGAAAACATGAGATCCCGCTGTCAGGAGCATACTACTGGCGCGGACCCTGAGCACCGACCCATTGCAAGCTACAAAGCTGAAAGGTTGGAAGGAAGAACTTCACAGAGTAAATATAAGAACCATGTCCCTGTGTTACCAATACATGGTTCCGCCCTGAAATATTGGATAGGGAATGTTAATATTGACATCATTGTGATATCGGATCCAGACATCTGTCGGAGTAGCGGGGTGAAAATGAGGCTCTGCCACTGCAATAATATGACAGATTAACCCTAAGCACCACCTCTTCCTCTCATATCCAGTTAGTTAGTCCAATTTATCCAATAGCAAAACCGAACAGCAGATTAGCAAACAGGCATTTGCAAAAATTCTGTTGAACGTCTCGTTGTCAGGTTCGTATTCCTCACTTTCCTCCGGGAAAATAACAGCAGAATTGTACAGAACGTTGTAGTATCGGAATACATATGAAGAGGCAGCACTGGGCGGTATAAATGGACGGTAGTCGAAATGGAGAATATTGAGCTGAAACGCTCTGTCCGCATGTTCGTTCCGATAGGTTTTCAGATAAAACAGGCGAAGATATAGATAGAAACCTGAGGGCAGCAGAAACATAACTCGCGCGGGTAGCACACTAGAAACTCCAATCAAACGCATCAAAACAAATCAATGTGTGGCAGAACTAGCAGAATCCCTGGTGTTGGGTCAACTACCACGAAGTAACTACTCACAATCTTTCGTGCATGGTGCTAACCTTTTTCGTCCCTTAGTCACTGATATGTGCTTGGCAGGGGACTCGGGGGACCGATTGGTAACCAACAGGAAACCAAGAAGCAAGAAACAAGTTAAAAGAAGATTGGTTGCGTCTGGGCCTCCAACCAAAGTGGATAAATGCTCTGCCTTCCACAACGACAATGGAACTAGGTGCATACGAGGGAGTGCCTTATTTGTCCCACGCAGCAACATAATGTCTAACTTTTGGTTGCAATGCGGGATTCAAAATATATCGTACCATTAGTTTTGGCATTCCCTAGAGAAAAACTTCCCAAGCCCTAGCATATGGTGGTGACACAAGATACGTGGTTGATGAGTATTATTTTGCAATAATGCTGAGGGTTGATTTTCGGCATCGGCGGTTAAAACAAGGTTTCGCTGATTGGCTCTTTCTAGCGAGCAGAACCATGGTTTGGGTCAGCCCTACGCCTTGGCAGGCCCGCACGCTAAGCAACATAGTTTAGAGTTTTGCGGCGCAACTTGAAAGACAGCCACACATGGATCTATCCCTCGATTGTTATTGTATTGTATGAACTAATCATCCTCACTCCATTCACTGTCCATAATTGCGTAGTTACATTATTGCTTGCTTTTCTGGCAGCTAAAGACTTTAAGGGTCCTGAATGTCACAGGCTCATAGCGCTTATCAGCAGTGATGTGAAAGTCAGATTACCTTATGTTCTGAGAAGAACGAGGTCAATGGCACCAGCAGATTAGGCACTATTGCAATCCCGTACCTTCTCAGAATTTTATGTGCAAAACATCGGCCATTGTTACAGCAACACTGAGGGGTCGAAATTAAAATGTGGTCAGTGCTCAAATTACCCTGTAATGCACAAATCTGCCTTGCAAGCCATTGCCACGGGTCCCCATGTTACAAAAGCCTATCTAGCCCCGAAGGAATGTTGTAAGTGGCGAGCATCCAAAATACCTTACTGCTCCGTAGCTAACCTAGATTTATTCAAAGAGGTAATACTGACGAGGCACTTGGACTTCCTGGACCAAAGCGTTGGCGCCTCAGGATGCATATTTGATACTGCGACTCGAGAGGTTTATCTCTCAACCTCCTGATCTGCGTGTCAGCTTACACGTCGATTGACAAATTTATTGATGCGGCTAAGAATAATGAAGAAAACTGCCTTGAGTCGATGACTGGGAAGATGTCGATGCGCTACGGATAAGGCTGAGATTTAAAATATCCGGCGAACTGGAGAGCGGATAATGAAAATAGAATGAACATACCGCTCAAGTGGAATTAGCCGGACGGCCACTAAACCAAATTTTAGCTCTTTCCCGCCGAGCAATCAGGCACCATTCACGTTGAATACAGTAATATAAGAGCAGGGAGTTCGTAGGACTTCCAATGCGGGGAAGCCAACGGTTTTGCAAGTCTCTGACAGAATCTTCCATATTCCCGTGCACATCAAGGAGTCCGTCAGAGCCCACTATGCTTTTTGCATAATTCGGAAACATTGTTCAGAAGGAGGGTTATCGAGCCAGCTGAATCTTGCATCGGGCAAAATCTGCCAATCATCTGGCAAAGATCCAGATAGGTAGTAAGTTAACGTGACTCTCCACACTACGCACAACCAAATTTCACCTTCAAGAAGTGGATATTTCTCAACAACGCAATAATATATTCAAACTCAATATTAAATAGATGGAATATTCCATAGCAAAATAGTAGTTAATTTAAAAATTAATTGTCGATCTTAATAGCTTATTCAAAATGTGAAACTTTAGAGTTCATCATAATTTGTCAAGGTGCTGGTAATATTCTATATTAGTGAGAGCAGGCTGAAGTTTGTCGCCTTCAAATCCTTGTCTTTTGCTCCTGGTGCAGCGGTCAGTGCCCTGGAATGCTCCCCAGGGGTCATTACGTGACATGATTTGAAGCCACCCTGGATTGGGGTTTCGAAATACATACATACCATGCTGCGACCGCCGGATTTTATATCTGATTGGGTTTTGTGTCATGTGGAACTGCGAACCAGCTCACCAAGATTCCGTTGGATCCTTGGAGGTTGGCGTTGGTGGGAGATCAAGCAGCAGTTTCCACAGCGGACATTAGTGCCCTGCAGCAGCGATGGTCCTCAAAACTCCAGGCAATAGGGAGCATCGCTGGCGATTAACACGCGAAAGCAGGAGGAAATTCAAGCTGATCAACTGGTTCATGGAGGCGTGTAAGATTAAAAACTTTTGTCGCCTCGTGTGGTACAGGGACGAAGTACAAATATCAACTTATGTGGAATAAGGTCGTGGGGCCAGGGCAAGGAGCGCGTAGATAGCTCTGCCTTCTTTCTGCCTTTTCTTTTCAACAACTGCTGAACAAGGCACAGGTGAGTGCCATGTGAACTGATCACTCTAACTGAGTCGTATAGTTTTTGAAAGAGAGTTTTGCAGGAATGGCTAGATTGAGATTGAACAGAATTGATATGACTGTGTATCTAATCTCATGGTTCAGCATTAAGAAAGGAAAAACAAAGCTTCAGTACTACATGTTGAGACACACTAGTTAGGGAAATTATTGAACTTACTGAACTAAAAACAAGAAGATAGATAAATGTATGCACTGTAGGTTATGACAGGGTCATACAGTCAATGTCACTCTGTATCCTAGTTTCCCAACAATTTGATATCTATTGTTGAAAATTTCGCCTATCCAAGCTGGGTAATTCTTCTCCATGACATGAGTCAAGCCAAATCCGGAGCCTGGAAATGTGAGGGGAGATATGAGTTGGGTGAACTCCAATCTATAAGTTCCATTGAATCGTTGCGGAAAGCGAGGTAGGACAGAACTTAGACGCAGAACAGGTAAGTTTCGGGAGAATTGGACCCCGCACATGAAGTCGATGCGCAAGAGATAATCGAGCAGTCATGTCACCAAACAGGATTCTAACCACCTGACTATCTTTGAATGACGGAGAGGTTTGGTGTGCGTAGTTTTGTTGGAGTTCCTTCAGGGACGTTTTCGAAGTTTGAAAACAAGCCACCCCTCCAGCCAACTCCAGGTGGAATGAATACACGAACCAATCAATTAACCAATCAAAAGATCGCAGTTTTCCTGGAAGGGCTCCCCGGGTGACAATTTTAACTGAACCGATTTCTTTGGCAGAGGTGGGCATTGAGCAGGCAAAAGAAATAGGTTTGGTGCCTGAGCACCTACTTGATAACGTATGGATGAGTTTAAAAACTCCCCAGCGCCGCATAGTGCTGGGAAACATAGTCAACTTTCATGCAAGTTGAGACAGATCATTGACATGATGTCACAGTGGACTCGTAACACGGGTTTTGGATCTTGAACCTCAAACCCCAAAGCGAATATAATATTGAAATGGATTGAAATATTATAGGGGAACTAAGAACCTCGAAGACATAAATCGCCGCATAGATTACCGCAATTTAGGAGTTGGAGGTTAAAGTTATTTTTCTTCTGCTTTGCCTTTGCTTTAAAAATCAACCAACACTTGGATAATAATAATAATAATAATATAAAGAAAAAGAAAAGATAAAGAAAATAATTACTATGGCCAATCTTATTGAAAAGAAAAAGAGATAACTAAATCTCATTCTCAACACTTTACTCTTAACAGTGGTCATGATGCCCATTTTGCCTAATCTTTGCTAATGCTTAAAGAATGCACGTAGCAAGATGATATACCAGTTAGATCTTCTACATCACGACACTAAGCCAACTCCAACATCTTACACTCAAATTATTTGTCTTGCACACTCTGTCACTTCTTACCTGACTCTGGATTAGGCTGAGAAGACTTCGAATCACTTTTTGAATCGGCAGGACCTGCCAGGGGATTTGCAGGAGCTTTGAGGAGCCAGCTTTACAGACATGAATTTGATTTCTTTGTGGAACTTTAACAACATATATCCCTTGGAATGACCATGTTGGAAATGAGCCAGGCAAAGGGACTGAGTAGTGCCATGCACGGGGCTTCGGGCCTAACAATGACAGAAACTGCTCGTACATAACAGAAGCGTTTCACCCATTTGCAATTGGCTGTCGATTTCGAATGTGGCGTTATCGCAGACACATAACTTGCGATCAATCTTTAACTACTTAGTTGGTAGCCGCAGCTGGCCAATGGCACCGCAGGGATAAGATGGAACCAATGTCCCACAAGCCCGGGGGGTAGGAGAAACGACCTGTTACTTTTAGGCTCTTGGGAGCTGCAAGTTCCCCCGGACGGTTTGGCCTCGCTTGATTGCCAACGCATGACGTTAGAATGTGAGTTGCGATCGAGCATTACTTCGTGCATTAGCATTGAAAGTAATTATCAGATGGACACTCTATGCTGGGGAAAGCGAAATTTCTAATCTTCATTGTCCATAAATCATTACTCACTCGCATCAATCAAAATATTGGCCGCCCCACATCACCCCAGACAATCTCATCTTGATGTAAATGATCTAATTGATCTATTTACTTCCAACCGTAGGACAACCATGGAAGGTAATTCGAGGGCGACTCTGCTCTCTTATGATAAATCTGGTTTCCGTAACCCTGTTGCTCGATCCATCCAATCGTAGTCTAGTCGCACCTGGGATTTTGGAACCAAACCACTGTTAATCCTCCTGTGTTATGAATGACACAACTGCTGCAAGATGACAGCTCATCTGATGACCTGAAAAGAATTGGAAATGCAGGTCTTAGCCGCTGGCAAGCAGTCAGGCGAGCAAGTAATTTGTAGCAGGTTGAAGAGGCTGCGAAAGGGAGATGTTTTTGCTGTAAGAGCTACTCCGAGCAGAGGATGCCAAACCGGCACCGAATTAAATAACGTTACATGCTCAGCAATTTGTACCTTTGAGAATCTTGAACTCAATTCTGAATGGTCATGATTATAGTGTATGAAATAGCGGCATTGAAGCTCTGTATGGTGAAATTTACGCATGGCAGCCACCGTTGGATCGCAGACATAAGAAAAAGAAAAAAAGAAAAAATATCACTGTTTCACCAAAATTTATATATACTTTTTTAATTTTTTAATTTTTTAAATTTTACTTTAATTTTATTTTGGTTAGTGCCGACGGATACACTGTAGTTAACCACCTAAGAACCAGCAGGTTGGAACTGGCTGCTCCATTCCGCTATTTGACTGGTCGAGTTTCGATAACTACGCTACGCTCAGGTCCCAGGTAGAGGAGCACTGGAATATTTTAGTTTATTTTATATCCTATCTGTTATTTTAACTTCCTTTCACAAAGCTGGAGTGATAATTACACAAGCAGTCTGTTTTTTGCGTCCACAACCTTCCCTCCTCTCTTATCGGTTAGGTGGGACCTTTACTTTTCAAGGTTCATCGAACTTTCGTATCCTCCCGTTTTACCTCTCAACTTCGCTTAGATCCTTGCTTCTGTGACATGAAACGGTTTCTATATGACGTTTCTTCTGGTGTCACGACCCAAAACGGAACAGGTAAAAAGCCTCCTCCGTTTAAAAGCCCCTAATATTTTTTTTTTGCCACGACACATCATGCATTGCACTTCACACATATTCAAGTGAGCTTAATGTTCCTCTTAGGGAAACATGAGCTATTTGCCCTTCTTTCATGACTCTATTAGCTCTGGCGGTTGATGAAGAGACTGGGACTGGGTAGATTAAATACAGCTGTTTAACACACATCACAAATAGAAAAGGAAATATGGGGAGAAAAAAAGATCAAGATCAAAGCATTTAAAAGGCCAAATTAAAGTCTCATTAGCTCTAATCATAAAAGCCGGATAACTGACGGTGAATGAGGGAAGGATGGATTCTCCTTAAGACCCCAGAGCTCCAAAACTCAAACCCTTGGCTATTTGAAGTCTCAAAGTCTTCAAAATATCCTCCCCCTTCACTTCCTTGGGGACCTTGGCTCTCCAGTCCCATCCCCTTTTCACATTTGCTCCCCCTTGTTGCTTCTCATTGGGACGTTCCACAAGGACACCTGAGTTCTCAACAGAAGATGGTCCACCGTCTCGTTGACGGCTCTGTGACTCGAGCATCTCACTGCCGATGAGCGAAAAGCCACTAACTGCGGTCAGTGATGAGACTGACTTTTTTAGAAGATTGCGTGGAGGGGCAGCGAAAGATGACGTTAGCGAGGACTGGGCAGATTGGTCACCGAATGATGTGCCGGCTGGGTCATCGTAGTTGAAGTAGTGATATAGGGTAGATTGGAGGCAACTTTCGCACTGGTCGTAAACACGTGATGTGACAGATTGGAGATCTTCGATTGCCGCAAGAATGGTAAATAGCTGATCAGTTGAGAGGAAGCGGTTTGGCTCTAACACATGACAGCGTTAGACAATGGATTGTAACGTTCATAAGATTAAAAATAAAATAAAATAAAATAAATAAAAAAAGACGGAACAAAGAAGAGCGAACTTACCATCTACAAATACAAGAGCTTCCCCAAGCAAGACCAACAAACCATCAACTTGAACGGATGTTTTCCTATCCCCGTCATACAATCCACCGTAGATACTGTCCGCCGCACTGCGAATGACAGCAACTAAGGTTTCAGCGGCAGCTCTCCTCCTGGCTAAAGGGCGATGTTTTGGTCGCTCGCCTTTTAGCAGATTGACTTCTTCGTCACGGATGTCATAGAATCGTCTCACAGCTGCGTATCCGCAGAAGTAGAACTGGAGCATTCCGGCTGCCTCCTGGTCGACGGCTGCGATTGTGGATAACACAGCTTGTGGATTATAAAGTAGTGATCGAAGTTGAGTGTCGAGCTCAGGAGCGGGGGGATAAGCAGTGGATCGGACGAGGCAAAATGAAGTAAGAAGGTCCACAACGTTCTTCACCTTTTTGTAGCTGTGAGCTCTTGCATAACATATGAGAGCTGTTCCGTAGTCTTCAGATGACTCTGTTATTTTATCCCCATATCGCTAGATTCGAGTGTTAGACAGACGACAGAGAAGTTATGATTTTCAATGGTAATCTCACCTCAGAAACCTTGCGACCTTCATCATTGAACCCGAGTTCAGAACATAGTAGAACAATCTTATCCATATGTTCAGTCGTATCAAGAGGGATACGGTCAAGAAACTCCGAAACTTTCGCCTTCATGGTCTCCTGATCGTCAAGACGGCTTAAAACCTCAAGTGCAACTTCCCATCCATCTCTTACCCCAGTACCACTCTCAAATAGTTTTCGATCCAGGAGGCCCGTAGCGTAATTAATCAGAAGATCATCTTTGCGGAGTGGCTTCTCATCCTGCCCGTAGCTTAAGACCATAAGGTCAGTTTCATTGAAACCTGGCATCGGCTTAGAGCCTGCGGAAGTGTCCAGCCATTCACCAAAGCTTGCAACTTCAGCAATGGCAGACGCCATAGGAAGTGACCAAGTTCGCAACATTTTGAGGACTCCATCGATGTTACCTTCAAAGATTGAAACCAAGCCAACTTCCATGGTGTTCATCGAATTGACACGAAACCCACCCTCTCCCACATTTTCCGTAACGTTGGCAAACGAATAGTCTAGCCGCCGCAGGTATGCCTCCACAGTGTTCGAATCGACAGAACGGGGCGCTTGCGACTGAGAGCGTCTCGATATGCTTCGGTTGAGATCGGCTTTTCTAGTGGATATGTCGCTATCATCTTCGCCATCCCACCATGCAGTAAGACCAATTGTGGCTTCTACCCAGTCCTGTGATTTACTCAATATAGATTGGACATCCCCAAGCATAATATTGTACATGGTCTTTAGATTTTGATAAATGGTCCAGGGGACTTTGCTCTCCGCCATACGTGTAGACTGGGTCAAGGGCGCCGCGGTTCGCTGGTTAAATATACCGAAATTTGGCGCTTGGAACTGATCCTGTTTTTCGTGTAGGCGATCTTGACCTTCCGCCAGATCCTCAAGTTCTGAAAGTGCGGAGGCAATCTGCTTTCGGTACATAGCCCAGTTGAAGCTCTTAATATCCCAATCATCGTTTCGAACACCTGGCGAGTTTTTAAGAACCTGTATTGCACCGTTGACGCATTGCTGGATGTGTTGAAGCTGGGCACCCCTATAGCCTGGTTGTTCATGGCCATCTTCCATTGCCGACCTAGCGTAATTAAAATCCGCACCGTTCAGTAATGTAATAACAGGAGGCAAACTTCCCCGCAATATTGAACTTTGAACAGCATCCCAGAATACAGGGGATGCAGAAGGGTTCGGTTGATGGCCCATGACTGCACTTGGGGTAGGTACTTGTGTAATATGGTAACGATTCATCCAGTCAAAGAGAACCTTGGGGATTGGAATTTTAGCCTTAGGTGTTTTGGGCGCAAAGGCACGTACAGCACCAGGGCGAGTAGAAGGACCATCTTGTCCCGTTTGTTGAAGCGGGGGATGGTGTAGTGGAAGGAGAAGAGAGCCCAGAAAATTCGCCTTCACGAGATTTGGAGAAGAGTCTTCAGGGCCGATGCTCGCGTTTTGTGTGTTTTGCCTTAGTTCTGGTGGTGATGCCGTGTGTCGTTCCCACAAGTCTAAAAGATCATTGGAAATCTCACATAACGTCTGTTGAAGACCATCGTCATCATATTCGAAATCCCGAACCTGGTCGTACATCCGGCCAACTATATCTTCACTGCCGAGAACAAGGTCATCTGGTTCATTAACCATTGCAATTTTCGACCTAGAAACTAGGCCGCTGGCAATTGGTGGAAACATTGAACTTTTCTTTCTCGGTGATATTTTGGGCTTGATGCTTGGTGGCAACGACGGTTGCGCCCACATTTCATCCAGCTTTGCTCGTTTTGCTACACCGGGATTGGAATATATGAAAGGCTTATTCGAGGGAAGAGGCTGTTGTGAATTTATAGAAGCATTGAATCGTGAATCTAGGAATCCGGTCTGGCTATCCCCCATGTCATCGTCTTGATCAACGTCAGAGTAAGAGTCAAAACTTCTACTTGCTTCAGTAGAGTGTACGTTGCCATCTGACTCTCGAAGCGACCGATTCCCGGTAGATATGAATGCGTTACGGGGAACAAATTGAGTGGGACCTTTAGTACTTGTCCGGGGTAATGGGAAGTTGGACGAGATGGTTGAGGACGTTAAGAAGTCCTCTGAATCTTGTGAATCCACAGATTGGTCAAATGAAGTGACTCCAAAGTTCAACTTGGCCTTGGTGCTTCCCAGCTTCGAACTCCCGAGGTAGCTTGACGGGGGAGGGCCAGCCGGGGTGGTCGAGGGAGGCGGACCAGCGGGGGTGGTTGACGGGTTCGACGCAACGCTCCGGGCTATACCGGGAGTTGAAGGGGGAGGGCTCGAACTAAATGGCACATAAAATGCCATGCTGCCAAACCCGCAGTGGTACGCGGCCAGGTGCTGCTCTTCTATTGGACCAGCAATCAAGATTCGAGACAACTGAAACTGCTCGCAGGTAAACAATGCTCCTTGCCTCACCTTTAGCCTACAGCTTGTACGTGCTAGAGGACTGCAAAGCGAATCTCAGGAACCATGGTGTAAGAGCTTAATTCGGCGTTGATTCCCTGTGTATGAAAATGCGACCCATTTTCAAGCTCTTGAACATAGTATCGTACGCGCTTCAAATTCAAATGATGAGGAAGTGTTTCGCGCTCGTTGCCGGAAAAATAAACCTCCAGGCCGACCTTCAGCCACTCACGTGATTTGGCGCGATTTCAAATTCTAACGACACTGAAAGAAAGCTCTTTTTCATCATTTTTGATAACGATGCTACATACTTGCTTGGATCTCCCGAATCAGTATTCTATTCTTCTGAGAAACAGTAATATGGATCGTTACCATTTCCCTCAACATCATTCTCCTTTCGAGGGTGTTCTTTGTACCAGCCCAAGGAGAATACCACGTCCTTAAGCAAGAGAGACCATGGAACTCTAGTTGGAGGGAGAAGGGAAGTAAAATGCAGGAAGAGCGTAAGTAAACAATGTGGATGCTATGGAGGATGTTATGTGAGGCTTTGCTCCCTCCCACTTGGACGACGGTGCAACGAGAACAGATTGCCTTCCAAGGCTGAGCATTCTCAGCCTCCTCTGATGCGAATGAGGCTCCCTATCCAAGTCATGCCTTTTAACGACATGGGCTGACAAGTTGGGCATCTGGTTTCTCATCCTTGATCAATCTGTTGTTGAACACCTAGTTCAACCAATGACTTACTTCCTTAAGTCAAAATTAATGAATAAGATACTATAAAACAGTCGATTGACCACTTAACATTCCTTAATTGTGCTGGTCTTTATTGTGTTTTAAGCTGGCTTGATTTTGAGGTTTGTCCAAAGGAATTACTTAACGGGTCACAATATATGACAATTTGTTATTTGAAGCTCTGTTTTATATCTGGGTTCAGGACTCCAAGTATATATTCATCACTTGGTTTAACTTTCTGTATCATACACCACCTTGGCAAAGAAACCAGTGCATGTAAGATTTGATTTTTTGAGCACAAAAGAATTTACAATAACACATTAGTTGAATCAAACGGAAATTTCACCCTTTTCTATATATATGGGCTGGATGAATCTAAGGTCGCAAATGACGTTTCGAGTCATAGCTTCGCATCGGTTTCAGGCTTATTCACCAAAACATATCTATACCTCGCTTTCCCAGCATGCATATCGGCCAGTGCTTTATTGACGTCCTCCATGGGCCGTTCTTGGACCCACGGGAGAACCTTTTTACCAGCCGCCAACTGAAGCATTTGCCGAATCTTTTCTGGCGAGCCAATGGCAGAGCCCCCGATTTTGACCACTTTATTGATAAGCGGGAACACCTTAAATGCCGGGAACGGCTCTTCCGGAGCCCCAACCTGAATAAACTGCCCATTCACCTTCAGAAGCCTCAGATAGTTTCCAATGGGTATATCAGAAGACGAGACAGTGCTGATAATTAAATCTAGCGATTGCGCATGCGTCTTTGCCCAGCTTTTGTCCTCATCTGTTGCAATAAACTTGTCCGCTCCCAGTCCCCCCCAAAGCTTCATCCTTTTTCGCGCTTGTTCGCGAAATTGCAGTTCTCTGGTCGCAATCTAGCGCTCTAGCGAACAAAAGGCCCAAGTGGCCCAACCCGCCAATACCGATGACTCCAACTGATTTCCCTGGCCCAGTGTCATTTTTCACCAGTGGTGAATATACCGTTATCCCTGCACGTAAAAGAGGTGCAGCAGCAACGCTAGGTAAGTTATCTGGTATTTTGAACGCAAACCACGCTGGGCCGCGCCAATGGGAAGCATATCCACCGTACGACTTGCTTCGATCGCGGAACCGGCCACCGTACGTCCCCGTTTGCTTCTGACAATGGTTTTCCAATCCGAATGCGTACTCTGGGCAATGCGGGTGGCGGCAGGAGTCTGATTGTGCTCCAATACCGACCCGACCTCCAACCTTCAAATGGCGTGATGGGGATGTGAGGCTAGAGACCCCGGACCCAACACGGGTAATGTGGCCAACAATTTCGTGGCCGACGACACAAGGGTAGTCTGTTGGGCCCCACCCAGAGCGGAGAGTGTGAATGTCTGAGCCGCAGATGCCGCAGTGGGTTACCTTTATTTCGATGTCGGTTGGGTCGAAGAGTTTTGGTTGGAAGGTCGTGAAGGTTAAGGGTGAGGCCTTAGAGTGGCAGACCCAGCCACGGAATTCTTTTTGGGTGGAGTTTGCCATTTTTATTCACCAATGGCAATTGGTACTATTGGTACTCGCAGCTCTTATAAGGGGAATCCGTTCTCTGGGGGAGCGGGCCTTCGAGTTTTTCCTCCAATGCCTTTGTGGGTATCAGTTTGTGCAAAATAGAAAGAGAAATAGAAATGAAGAATGGGAAAAGGGAGGGAGATGGGAGTTGAGGCGATTTTGGAATTAATTTTAGTCAAAACAATTTAAAATAATTTAAAAAGGACCAGGAACGAACATCAATTGGTCTATCATTCGTCAGGACATTTTATATAGCCACGAGCCGAGTGGGGTTTGCTGGTCTGCTATAGCAGCCGAGGTATTATCTATGGCATTGATAGTGGCGATCCCGTTCATGTAGATACTGAGCACAAGAATAATACACTCTTAAAGTAACTGGTTTTCTCCCTTGCTCTCAAGTATTGACAAATGTGTTAGATAAAAGGAATTCATACATTGATGGTTGTGGATTGATTGTGCAATTCGGTTGTGATATTCCCATCTCTTCTCTCAGACCTATGATGCCAATTGCACACTACCGTCTTGCAGTTCTGCGCAAGTCATACTTATATTGATTAGAGCTATAGTAACTACTCCCCATCTATCCCGACAGGAGATAGGGGACCGTCTTTAGACCTTTCTGCTTCTGGAGGGGTAGAACAGTACTTTAAAGGAAGTAAATCATCTTTAATCATATACGAGCCCACTTGTACCCACAGCAATGCCCCAAGTATGGTGCACACCCAATAATCGACAGTTGGTAGAACCCTTGTTCTCAATTAACATCTTCATTCCCGTATTTTGTATGTGAGTTCAGGAGCTTTGACAATATTTTATCGAAGTGGACTATAAAATTCAGGCCTTTGCACTATGAAAACATGCAAATGAGTTTCTACAGCTCAAAATATTACAATTCGGGCTCAAAAATCATGATTTTTTAGGAAACCTTGAAATTTAATTAATAATCCTCCAAACTAATAGTTAATGTACAAATCGAAACTCCAGCATTATGTGTTCGATATATCTATAGTGAACGCTCATATAGCTCAGCGAACGAAAAATAAATAGAAAAGAAAAATCAAGAACTAGAGCAAGTTTATGTTTTACTTAGCTCTCCTTCGAAAGCATGATGACACTAAAAGTGTGATTATTCCATCCATTGAACTCGATGAAATCCGAAGCTCTGGTATGAGAATTCCAAATAGCTGGCATATGTGCAGGAAACCGAAAATATAACAAAGTGAAGAGATTCAGGGTATACAATAATAATTTGCTTAAACATCTGATACAATAGATTTAACCGCTAGCGCTCAGCAAATCTTGCAATTCTTGCGGTGTTAATGTGCTTTTCCGCCGTCTCGGTTTTGCATTAGAGCGTGTTGACGAGTTGCTCCTTTTCCTCCTTTCGTACTTCTTCCGCTCTGCTTCTGCTTCCTTGGCTTCTGATTCAACAGTAGCAAGCTTTTCCGTTGTTGAGATTTTCGACTTGGGTTTTACGGCGTGCTGGTTTCAAGTCAGTTTATTGACAGGTCAACTAAAATTTTCGTTTAATATCTACAAACCTTAGGAATTATTGATCCTGCAACTCTCCTGGGTTTGCTCTTCGGATGTTGTGTCGTTTTCAAGTGTGCTGATAGAGCAAGCTCATCATCGCTACGCTCGGAAGCATCCTTCAAACTCTGTCTCGAACGTCGAGACGATACATTTCGAGATGCATTTCCAGAACTTTCGCCAAGGACACGATGATATTTGGCATCCTTTTTTGGACTGTTCTTGCGAACCGGGGTTGATCTCATAAATTCTTGGACATCGCTGTAGTCTGTTTCTCCTCTGACAACATTTTCATCATATGTTGGTGGGCCCAGATTTGGATCATCTAACTCGGGCCCCACAGGTTGGTGTTTGTCAGCTCGAAGCCCGAGGCCCATTCCTTGTTTGAGTTCGTCAACGTTGACCGAAGTTCCTCCTTGAGCTATCCGCTTGTGCCATGAGTCCATCATTGACACGGCCTCCTTCCATCTTTCTTCCATCTTTTCCCATCCATCCCTCAACCTATAAATTTCACTGTCTCGTATTTCAACCTCTTCCAGAGGCACAAATGACGGGTTTGTGAGCAACGACCTAAGTTTTTCAAGTACCAAGTTCATCTCGGTCGCGAGCTTTTCATGATGTGGGATGGGCTCTGTTTCTGGGACCTCCTTCAGCTGGCTAGCTGCCCAGTCGTGAGAAGCCAAGGTATTCTTTCCCTGGTCATCTTTTTCTGATATATCGGGTAATTCTTGTAGGTCCCGCAGTGTTTGAATTGCGTTCTTCACTATGCCAATGAGTGCGTCATTTTCGTCACTCAGATCTTGGCAGAGCTGGGTCAGAAATTCCGTAGATTCCTGCCTGAGGGTATATCCAGGATTTTCTAGGCCCTCCCCACCATCCATTGCTTTTCGTCCCATATTAGCCTTTGGAGCAGGGGTTATTGTTACTGTTGTTACCCCAAGTCCATCCCGTTTTCCCCTCTGGCGATCTGTGAGATGCGATTTCAGCTTTTGGAGCTCAACATCTCTCTTTCGAATATCCGTAACGCATTGGTTTCTAATCTGCTGAATTGACGATTTCATGCGTTGTATTTTCTCTTTCAATCCTCGATTGGTAGTTTCCGCATTGTGGAGGGTCGTTTTGAATGCACGTTCCTGTCCCTCAGCAAGAGCCAAGGAACGGGACAAATCCGTCGTTTTGGCTTGAAGTCTCTCCTAGACGAAAATAGCAATGGTGTCGTCAGTAGTGCTTTATATTGTGATTGCAATAGCAGTCCAATAACGTACAATTTCGAGCGTTTGTTTCGCCTCTGTAGTTCGGAGTGCTCTGATGCTGGTCGCCAAGTTCTCTCTTTGTTCCGCCTCACGCTGGACATTATCAGCTTCTATCGTTGGAACGTAAAATCAAATCAATATTAAATAAATCAAAAACGAGTACAGACATCTCTTCTCAAAACCAGGTCATGTACTAGGTTTATAACATGTGCCATGGTGTCATCAGTTCCCCCCGAGGCATCTTCCGGTCGTGCAAAGTTGATCGGCTTCCCATTGCGGAGTAAGCCTCTGGCAAGGAGCAAATTATTGATGTAATCAGACGCGGTATGTAAGTTTTGAGCCTCCATCTCCCTGATTTTTCTTCCGGTACCTGGACCTAAAATTACTGGTCCCCCGGGAGCTTTTAAATGTCAAAATGAGCTTATCAGCTTTGAGTGATGTCCAAACTGCGTTTTTCCCAAACAGGAAGAACACAAACATTTCAAGGTTGCTTACTTACTCCGGTTAAACTTGGGGTGCAACACGGACCGAGGTTTATCCGAATGGCGCGGCGGTTTTGCTCCAACGCGCTAAACGCGTCTTCCAGACTGCCTATAAAAAGGGATGATGATATACTGGGCTTGAAGGATTGGACTCAACGACTGCAAGTTTGCTATCAATATTTTTAGAAATGCTTTTTTGAATCACCAAAATCATGTCACAGGTAGATGCAAAATCACTTCAAATTCATGGCCAAAATGAATATCGTTGTGCCAATTTCCGTGGAGCCCTTGACGCATTCACCAAGGCAAGTCACACACATGCAGTAAATAAATAGCAAAGCAGAAGAATGAATGGAAATGGTGGTTTGAATTTACTAACATGATCGTATTAGGCATTTAATATGGGAGAAGGCGATTCTATAGGTATCTTAGATAACAGAGCTGCGACCCACTGCAAATTGGGTTCGTTGAATTCAGCGCTTCAGGATGCCAGGCGGATGGTAAAAGAGAATAAGATGGATGCTAGAGTAACTATAGACTTAAAAAGCATATTTATTGATTGTCGATTCGATTTTGGCTAATCTTTGCCCTAGGGATATTTACGTACTGCGAAAATCCTGCAATTGATGGACAAACATGAAAGTGCTTTACAAACATACCACTATGCACTTCGTGTTTTGCCACAAGGTAGCGATGGCCGTCAGGTTCGCCAACCTTTTTTTCCCTATAAGCCCTTCATGCTTTCTATATTGCAAGGGACTCATTGTTCCATAGCAAATCAAAGATTTATCAGCAAAACTAGACAAGCGGCTCAATGGTCCAAAGTTGTCCGACCCATTTGATGTTTTGCCCTTGGAGTTGGTCTCCATGGTATTAGAACTTTTAGATCTTAGATCTCTGTTGTATGTTTACTATTTTTCCCGTATTCTATTTTCCGGATTGCTAATGCTGTTCTCTCAAGGTCCACTGTCCGTGTCTCTAAACGTTGGAACAGGTTGCTAAATTCAATCCCAAGATTATGGACACATCTTGACCTCACAAAAGCAAGAAGACGGAATGTCTCTCTCAAAGCAATTCAGGCATTCTTGCGCAGATCGCACTGGAGGCTTTCGCGCGCATCGCTTACCAACCTTCAGCCTGATGATTTTCCCAAACTCATGACCGGGTTAAAACGCATCGGATCTTTAGAGCATCTCGACCTCCAGGGAAGCTTTAGCTTGAGATTTAACGTCGCGCCAATTTACGGTCTAACTAAACTGAAGACACTGGTCTGTTCGGAGCAATCCGAGATGACTTTCGGACATTTCAGCAAGGTGCTATCCGATTGTCCATTGCTTCAGCGTGTTGAAGTACACGTCAAGGACGCACCACTTAATCAATACAAACAATTTCCCAATAAGTTGCCAAATCTACGAGCGTTGACTATTGTTGGATTTGATGACAATATAAACGGGGAGTTTCTTTCTCCGCTAGGCCTGCCATTTCTAAAAGAGGTATTCTTCCCTATGTTCTACCCTCCTCGCTATATTCTAATATTTTTTTTTGGTATAGGCTACTTTATTTGATATAACCCCGAATCTAGAGGAGCTTTACCTAATCTATAAAGCAGCCTATATGATGCGGGATGCGCCAAAAGTTTCCAACCTGCCTAAACTGAAGCGATTTGGGCTCCTAGGCATGAAACTTAACCATTTCCCTGAACTTCCCAAATCGCTCGAACGTCTTTCGCTCTCCAGGAGCATTAGTAACTCCCAACCAGGTCAATACATATCAAAAGAAGTCCTCGCAGAGATGGCGCCAAACTTGAAGGCTCTAATCCTCGACCGTTTCCGTGATGATGAACTAGGTCCCTTTCTCATAGCCTTTACGCAATCGAAATCGTCTCTTACCCACCTCGATCTCGAAGGGTGTCATCTCCATGTAGAAGATTTGCTAATTGCGATGATGCGAGGCAACCTTGAAAATATCACGACCCTCAACATCGCCGGTCTGGCAGAGATTGGTGAGAGGGTTATCGCGAACATCCTTGACATGATCCCCAAGATTAAAGAGCTCGATATTTCGCGTACTCGGGTAAAGGAGCACAGCGTGAAAAGGCTCATTGAGTCTGATAAAGTGAGAATTGAGAAATTAGTGGTGCACAATATGGAGACGCCGTTCAGTAGGGAATTTCTTACCTTCGCCAGAAGCAAGGGGATCGAAGTTCCTCCTCCGATAAATCGTGAAGGTGCTGGGAATCGTCCTCCTACCGAACCTCGCAGGTAATCGGGGCCGTGAAATGTGAAGGGGTTTGATCCGTCTGTGAAGATACTTCAGATCCTGGTACTGAGTTAGTTCTAATGTCGAGATTGCGGATGAAATTAAGTTTCCGTGTATGAACGTTGATGGTTACCTCTTTGAAATGACGACTGGGGTGATGGTTACGATAGATGAATTAAATGCATGTCAAAAATGCCGCGCAAAAGTTTTATACTGATATTTTTGCGACGTAGCTCGGTTTATTTATTAGGGAATTCCATTTATACAGTGGGTAAAGTAATGGGGCTCATTTTATTTCGGGGAAAACATAAGAATGGCGCCAGGGGGCTCACAAATTATTCTATCCCACTTTGTGATATATTGAATTGAACGTAACAAAGCAGAAGCATAAATGAAAGTGCAAAAACCACAACCATCTTCCCAAGGGCCACGGCGGTCTGACTCGCAGACTTATACGTTCCCTACACGCAATGATCACCAATGAATCAAGGATAACGAGCAAATTCAAACCCCGCGCTCCTTACACCACCTCGCAACTTCTTTGTCCAATTTATCCTTCTGATCGCGTACCAGCGTCATCATATCCTCGGCCTGAGCCCGATAATAGTTGAAGGTTTCCAGCTTCTCGACTTTCTTCGGGTCCGAGGTAGGAGTTTCCTGGTTGGAACCATTTGCCCCAACAATATGGGGCACGTCCTTACTGGTATATGGCGCGACATATTTGTCGTGTATGGAGATCATAAGGTCCAGTACGGCAAACAGTTGGTTTGGTAGCCACTGACATTTATGGTGTCAGTTTCAAGGCTAACTGGTAGCGTAACAAGAAAACGAAAACAAAGGCGGTGGGTCAAGATATGAATGGAAGGGCAGGAAAAATATTAAATGGATGGATTTTCACATACTGTGATAATTGGACTTCCACCAGTTGCGGTAGGATACGGTGTTCGTTTAATGATATACTCCCTGGTCAACAGCCAGTGTCTCCATCTGAAGCTTCGGACATGATCCAGGGCTTTCAAGTACAGAAGTACAGTTTCTTGGTCCTGGACACTAAATTCTTGAACGCGAAGTTCTTCTGCTTTGGACGCCACATGTGCCAAAAATTCACGGTGGGGCAGTGGGCGATAAGCGCGGAATTCATGAAGAATTTTTGTCAATGGGGTAGCTGGCATGGGAATTTGAAGAAGATGGTCAAGTAGAGGGATCTGTGGGAGGCAACGTCAGCTGTTATCCTGCATGGGCTCACGCAGCTCAGTAAGATTAATAGGTACTTACAATGCTGTCATTAGCGCCACTCTCCCCACGGAAGTTTAGCGGCTTGCTGTCCAAGACGCCATCATAGATGACGCCGTTCGGAAACATGGCCTGGGACGTGATACCAAAAATAAAAACTCGGAATGAGAGGTAATCGGCCGGTTTAGAGTTTTTCCACATGTCTGTTTTGGAAAGTTAGAATAGGCAATGGATTTGGCTTGCCCTCTTGGGTAAAAACATAAACATACCTTCCATGCTTGTTTCAATTCTCTCCATAGCCTTTAGTATTTCTCTGAATGCGTCATTGACCTCTTCCCGAGCTGAAGGTCCTTTGCCTTCCTCCAGGCTGTTGAGGATGCGGACGGCACCACTGACTAAATGTCCAGTCTCCTTTACCATATCAACATGCGTTAGAATGAAACCCGCTTCGGAGCTCTTGGGGTCGAGTCCCCGCTCAAAAGCACGGATCAGTTTCAGGTTTGAATACTCTAAGCTTCGAAAGGGCTCATCAACAGTATAATTGTACAAGGCATAAGCAGCTGCATAAGACATGAAAGGGGGGATATTAAGTCTCATAGAGGAACTTCGTTAGTGATAAAAGCAAAAAGAGAAAGGAGTAACAAAAATACAACATACATCTCTGCGCATCGATAGAGGGGTCGAGCAATACATCTTGGTAACGTCTCCCGACCTAAGCCATAATAACCACTGCCAGGATTCTTTACCCATCTCTCCCAGCATGGCTCAAGCAGGTAAGCTGAGCAGATGAACGAATAGTCCCTAAATACAGCCGTGATAATAAAAAGATCTAGTTTGCCATCTTCGGTGACGAGTTTGTCCACTTCATCAGTTAGGTCCGGAAGCTCAGCAAGAACAGCAGGGCCAAGCTCATAAGTGGCTAGCAAGCCAGGTGATCCATCATCCTTAACAACGGGAAGACGGGAAAGAAGAGAGTTGACGGCTTGGAAAACATCCGGCAAACATGTAGGAGGGAGCCGTAAGGGCAAGAAACCCGTGGAAGTAGTGACGGTAAAGGGGTCTCTGTCCTTCGAAAGGGTCTTGGGGTTATCAAAGATATGGGGGAACCGTTCTATCGTAGAATATGTCTTATCAATCTTGATCATGATTGTTGAGATGATAAGTGGCAATAGATCTTTGATCTGATCTCCACGGTATATCTGTGGGCGGGAGGCGAAAAAGGGGAATATATGGCACCGGTTACTTGGATGGAAGTACCAGGCAACATACAAGACAAGGGCCTAACTCGAAATGGAAATTTAATCGAGAGACAAAAGAGTGCAGAAAGGAAGAGGATATCGTGCAAGTAAGTTCCTCCTTTAATCACAAAAAGGGCAGAGGAGACAATATGGAAAAGGTGGCGGATTATATACTTCATGAGGCCGGAATTGATACCGGCCTCCCAAACATTATTACGAAATAGTAAAGGAGAACGGATATCTGGACAACGGGATTGCATCAGGTGATGTAACCTCGTTCGGGAGGTTTCATGCACCTAATATGAGAGCAAAAATACATCATTCAAAGTCCTCGAGGCGTATATGGTGAGGAAACATGCCATCCCCAACATAGAAGAAAGGAGTTTTTTTACTTGCGAGCGCAAACTGAGGTTGGAAGAAGGTAAATGCGCTATTCCTGTTATGGCTAGGCTGATCTCAACCTAAACTGAGTTCTCGATCCACAACAGTCCAAACAGGAACAATCAACCAACATCGGGCTCATTGCAACAACATCGTTCAGCATTCCCCATCTTCGTCTTTGTCAGACAACCGGCCACAAAGTCATATCGGCTTTCCTCTTGCTACCACATATGCTATCTCCCCCTGTGATTGCTGCCTATCCTCCTTTGGTGTAGCTTGAATGTACAAGCTCCTTGTCTGAATCATCTATGTTTCTGGAAAGACTTCCTATCATATTCTCAGATGCAGGCGTCGTGGGAAATGCTGATCAATTAATGTGAACTGTGTATCAGGCAGTCAAGATCCGCATTGCGATTATTAACTTGAAAACTCATTGCTAGAAAACCGAAGTTAAAGCTCGAGTACGTGGGAGAAGATAGCAATCACTTTACAGTTCCAAGATATCATTAGGCGCTTGAAGTCTGGTGATGTGGTAAGAAACGAGTTCACGAGACCAGATCTGATCTGCCTTTGATCTAGGAATTTACCACAGCTTGCATATCAAACATTCCATTCTGGCCATCAACAAACATTTGAAGCGTTGCAATATCAAACACTAGCATACGACGAGATCTAAACTGAACGGAAGTATAAGCTAGGCTTCCCCAGTTCCCATCCAGGGACTTTGGGTCTTTCTCCGGGGCCAACCAGAGTGCGTCCACTATGTATGCCAATTGTATGGGGCCATACCGGAAATACCAGCCCTCCAAACTCAGTCTTGGGCAGTCCGGTGGAAATCCTTTTAGTTCACATTCCCTGAATTTCGCGGCTGGGAAGCCACCAAGCGGATATCCGCGGAGGCCGGAATTTTGCCGCCCACCCCACCCCCACGCCCAGAAATAAGCACGGCAACGAATTAACAAGGTCGAATATGGGAACAAGATGTGCGGGTCCGTCGTCTTAAGTGCGTAACGACCAGCAATAGCTAAGTTAACTAACTAGTTTACTCACGCGAACTTATTATTTGAAATTGGATCTCATGAATACGCAGGAGGTTCATGCCCTCACTCAACCCAATGCTAAGCAGCCACATGAACACACGATAGAGTTGGAGCTAGCAGGTTTACAAATCCCTTTTCAATGAGGAAAAGGGTTATGGTCATAAACAATAAAATAAGCTCCGGGGAAATGATATGCGCTCAACTTAAAAGGATACATCTGACAACCTCCCATCCGTCGACTACCATGTTGCAACTTTCAGTGATAGGCTTTTATAGAACTTAATGCCACATAAGGTTTCAAACGGTCGAAATAAAAATGCCAAAAACCGAACATAGCAACAAAAGGATCCAGACCCGCATATGGATCCTCCCCGACACTGATGATTTTGGATTTGATGACTTTGGGTCGATTGACGCGGGGTCTACTCCCCCACTTTCAACGACAGTGTCGGAACATATAGTAGCACTTGATGGTCCTCCCGCCTTCTCGCACCTATGATTAAATGCCTCGTCGAGTCCTTGATCACTTGCGGATGTATTGTGGTATATGGCGACCGACCTGACCTTTAGAAAAACATCGGTTGAACTGGGAGGACCAGTCCACATTCCGCCGTCTGCCCAAACGTTCAAATACACATGCCCAGAAGCATTTGGGATTCGCAGGGAGTTTGTATGCACCTGCGTCATGTTCTGGTAAAATCGTAATTCCTTGCTGGTCCAATCGAACCGATGTCTTTGGAACGAGTTCAGAAGATCGTCACCCCGAAATGGGATCACTTTTGTGGCGTTTTTGATGGGTTGTCCCTTCTCGTCGAGTGACGGGTGCGATGTATAATGGACTGGAATCGCATCTTGTTTGAACTCCCTCGCGAGAATTTCAATATCGATTTCGTTCTCGTCGTCCTGTTTCCCCAGGGTTTCACCCTGAAAGTTTTAGCCTTCGCCCACTCTAATATCCCATTATAGATCGTCTCCCTTGGGAAAAGTAAAAGTGAAATAAAACTGAGAATGGGAGAAGCTTACACGATACCAAAAGAATGCACCACAACTTCCACCGTGTGCATTTTCCATCTTAAGCTCAACTCGAAAACTTCCATGGATAATGTCGCCACTTGCGGTTGCGATCGAAGCCACGCTCACATTTCTGGCTTTCAGGATATCTTTCTTCGAATACCCCTGTTGTCTCAGAACTAGGTTCCCATCGCGCACGAAGACGTTGTCTGCCATGTTATCGATGGCCAAAGGGGTTGCTGCGCTCCCTGGAGGAATACCCCATTGCTGAACTTGCCAGTCGCTGGCAAAATCAGGGATTTTATTAAGTGTTCTCGATGGCGAGATTGTGCTGAAATTGTTGTGTATGACATGTGTGAAATAATCTTTTGAGTCGCTCATGGAGAATCCCGCATTCGCAGGACGCATCGACAAATCTGACCGCCGACAGCGCAATGAACACGGCCGGAACGATCGTTTCCTTGAACTTCAAGAAGCACCGTCTCATGTCTGCCAGGGTTATCATTTCCACGGGGCGAATTTTTGGAAATCTGCTGTATCCTCAATCCGGCCGCAAACGCCGTCTCCAGGACTCTACGCCAAAGCTCCCACAGTATGAAAATATATCCCTTATGTCTGATGCAAGACCGCACACTCGTGATAACTTACACTGCTACGTATCTGTGCCTACGATAGAATGAATACAAAGAGTGTTCACCAACAGCACAGCCCGAGGCACTTTCGAAAGAACCGTTATCATCTGAGGACAAAGCAACAAGGTTTCTTAAAATAGGCAAAAAGTGGGCGAAACCATACAGAGTATGAATGCTGTTTAGAGGGAAGACTTTCTTCATATTGGCTTGTGTGTTTATCCAGACACTTCAGTTGACAAGATTATTAAGATATCAGCCAACAAAAGGGGGAGGAAAGCGCACTCCTCCCTATCTGATATCTGCGCCTTCCCCCCTCCCTCCCTCCCCAAAGAACAGGGCAATTGCCATATTACATCATTGATGGGACTCCGCGGATCCCTCTTTCCCGGATGACATACAAGTCTACCTCGGCCGGTTTGGTTTTCCAGCAGTTGAAAACTAACTTCACACTGCAAAATGAATATGTTCTTATTCTTTTCGAGAGAGCTAACGTATAAGCACCAGCATTTATGGCCAGCATTAAAGTGGTTCTATCTGCTCGGGCCCCCTCTGTTCCAGTAGTTCGAGCTTTACTGCGCTCGCAACCAGGGTTTATCCCGTTGGTATCCCCCAATGTTTGGGAATCGTGTTCCTGTCATGTGTATATACCTATCTGCCTACACAGATATGTATAGAGAGATATTCATAGCATATATATTCATTGGTCGTGAACAGTGCAAGGTCCCAGCAAAAGGAGTATGAGCTAGGGGGCGCCTCCTTAACTTTTTCAAGCAATAAGCTCTTTAAAATATTACCCAAAGACCCCTTTCCGGTGCTTCCACTAGTAGCTAGTGGGCTGGGATTCCAGCTGGTGGAGCAGATAATATCAAATCAGCAACGAGGTTTCCTCCTAAACTGCAGAAGAATATACACGAATAGCGTCAGAATCGGGTTTTTGAACTGAAGAAGGAGTTGGCAATGCTTCCTCCACAGAGAGAGAAACCCTTTGTGGCTCTTCTTGTCCTTTCACTTCGCTGCTACGATCCTTCTTGATCGTAAATATATTTCCCCCAGTACAGATGGCTGCCGGCACAGCGCCAGCGCAACACATTACCCCGAGGCTGAGTGTCATCACTTCCCAACCCGCACTTTCAACAACATACCCTCCCCAAAGAGGGCCAACAATTAGGCCTAGAGCATACATCAAATTTCCTAATCCGAATGCTTGCGCATATGCCCCTTTTTCTCCGTAGTATTTGGGATTTTGCCGCATTTTCTCTTCGACAGACAGCATGATCTCGACATGTATAGGAACTTCGAAGAACATACAGAACGCGCCACAGAACGCTAAAAGGACACAGAAAACCACCTTGTCGTGCAGCGTATTCCGTGTCACTATGCGGAGAAGGACCACTGGAATCATGGTGAGGACATACCCCACCGCAACATACCAGCGCGGACCGTGCTTATCAGCCAGCCGGCCTATTGCGGGAGATATAAAAGTGGGGATTAGGAGCGCAAGAAACACGAGACCGGCACCGAAAGAGTCCCAGTTGAACATGGCTTCGACGAACAAGGGAATAACAGCCTCGAAGGCGCCAAATAAGATGGCTATGACAATGCAACCCCAGAGTGCCAGAAGAAGGCGAATCGAACCTAGCATGACGATGAATGGTGGGAGGTAATGGACCGGATGATAAATCCTACCTTTCCGAGGCTGCATGTTAATTGAAAAACAGTCATCCCTTGGTGTTGAAGCTGCCTTTTCCGATCCCTCAGATTTTTCGACTACGGAATCTTCCTGGGGTGCTGGCAGACCAATCGATGGATCCCATTTTCGTGCAACGCGAGCTTCAATCATGGCTAGTCGAAAAACAATATCCGCCCCAAGGAAAATAAAAGCGGTAACATACACCATATAATATCCCACTTTGGCATACACAACGCCGCCGATAAGCGGCGCGGCAATCGTCGCAATACTCCTTGCCAAAACGATCGTTCCTATATGCGCACCGATTTCTTTGGATCCTACTCTATCTGCCAACATCGCCAGAGCAATGACCCACACAATTGAGCCGGACAGGCCCTGCAAGATCCGGGCGACAACTAGGAGAGTCAGAGTTCTTGCAAGGGCGAGCATGAGAGTTGCTCCTGCCAGAAGCAGAAGACCGAACATGAAGGGAACTTGACGGGTATTCGACTTATCTGCCCACCAGCCACAGATGGCTACATAAACTGTCAGCCAATATGCCGGAGCTGAGAGAGCAAATGGATTGGCGAGAGAGAGGGGGGGGGAGGAGAGTGAACTAACGCGAACCGACAAGTAAAGCGGCTGCATACACGGTAAGAAGGATTGACGTCCATTTCTGGGCTATATATGTGTCAGTCATGGTACCCCGGTCTTGAAAAGGGGTGAACCGATGCTCACCATCACCAGGTTCCACTCCGATTCGATCACTAAGTGCGAAAGGCATAACCGGTACAATCTAGTTGTATGCACGCGTTCGCAGCCCTGTTAGCAAAAAAAAATAAAATAAAATAAAAAGAAAAAAAGAAAAAAAGGTATTCTGAATCTAGCATGGTTTCAATTTATTCCCCAATAAAGTTGAACCGAGTATTTCAAGAGATCCGCAAGCATACCAATCCGTATAAGAATATATCCTGCCAACAAGAAAGTAGTTAGTTATCCAGTCAACCCAACCAGTCCCAGCTACGATACGTGAGAATATTTGCAACATACCGAAAATACCGAAAATGCACACACCCACAGAATAAACGGCTTGGACGAGCGGAACTGTAGCAATCTGGGCGGCTTATTATTATTCCCCCACCATCGCCATAACCGTCGACATCGATTGGCATGCGCTGTGTCTGCCTGTTGCGGGTTGTTCATCGCTCAAATATGCCTTCTTGACGCAAGATCTGTGGATCCTTGGTTGACTATACATGTGGGTGTATATGTTATAAAAAGTATCTACACATACGATCATCGACGAGATGGCAAGCTTATATGACAGACCGATGAGACCAAAGCAAGGAATGAAAAGGTGGCAAAGGGTTCGAGATCTCTTTAGTCAAACCTTCGAGATCACAAGGAAACAGATACATGTCTGGGAGGGGAGCACAACAGAGGGAAGAAGGAAATGCCCAGCAACCAATGTAATGGGCATTCTATGAAATATAAAAGAAAAATACCCAATTTCTTCTAGTGAATAAGCTATGGTCATTTCAATAATGACCAGACAACGAAAATACCCAATAATAGCTAAAAAGCAACATTAAAACTTAACAAATATGTTCCAGGCTTTGCAGATCAAAGAGTCAGAGCACACGCCTGGCCGCCATTATGTATGCACAGATCTCAAGGAACAATCCTATTATAAAGCGGCAAACACTCATACATACAACTCCGCTGCTTGCAGTATTATTCCATCCATGCATTTACATGAAACGTCCGGAGCCCTCGTGGATTGAAAAACAAAATATGTGACCCGCGAAAGAACAAAGTGAGGCATGAAAAATAACGGAAAGTTTTGAACCCATGAGTGGGTGTTATAGGAGATGTTCCAATGCAGTTATCGTATAGAAGAAGAAGAAGAAAAGCCAAAACAAGAATTGCCAACGCAGCCTTTTCAGCCCCAAATCTCTCTCTTGCTCAGTTCTCTTATGCCCCGGATCACGTCACGGAATCCTGCCTCGTGACGATTGAGTACCCAGGTTGTTGGTTATGTGTGAGGGAGATGAAACTCGGGAGGGACGAGCAAGGGCTAGACGGAAAAAGCGTACACATGGACAGTTTGCTACCTAACTCATACGGGGAGCAACAGTTGCTTAGCCTGTATGGCTGGGGTCTTCGGTGTTAGGGCTAAGTAGTAGTTTTGGTTACTCTCCTGTGGATAATAATGTGATTGACAAAGGTGGAGATGGGGCGATTCGGTGGAGGTTCCCAAGGTTCCACAGGGTCCATTGTACCCCCCCCCCGTTCGTAGACATCGGGGGGGTGACAGCTAAAGGGGAATATAATATGCTTAAAAGGCCATGATGATTGTCGTTGCTTGTGCTTCCCAAGGCTTTTGTTTTAAGAAAAAAAAAAAAAAAACCTTTTTGGTTTCAGAACCCTCTTGGAAGCAAGAAGGAAGCTGAACCGTGGTATTCGAACTGTAATTGTCTCTCAAGACTAATGACGAGCGTTCCAGTTGATTTTAACTGATGATATCATATTATCATGCTGAAGAAATCGCATCTACGGATGGAGAACAAAGAAAGAAAAAGAAAAGAAAAAGGGGAGAAGGATTATCAAAATTTTGTTAAAAAAAACTTTGCTCATAATTAGTGTTTTTCAGGTTCAAAGCAAAGCAGCCTATCAGATTGTGGATGAGGTTAACCTTTCACGCCTTCTGAAATTCAATGGAAAATAAAAGGGATGAAAGATGAACCCATCCAAAAACCAAACAAATTGCATCACTATTCAATAAAACGTAGCTGACCCAGCAGAGAATAAAAGGTTATAAGCTAACCTTCAAAATAAGTGAGCCGAGATGCATGTGCCCCGTGGAGCAATAGAAGATGGTTTCGGGTTCAAGATGAAGAAGAATAATCAATTCAGACATACCATTATCGTTCAAAGCCTCGAACCTTAACCGTATGAAATAACTACACTATGTAGCGTACTGTTTACGTAGGCCTGGAGAAAAAGCGTAGAGTTCTAGATACATTGAGTCACATATGCAGTTTGAGAACTTTCTGAGAAGAGAGAAGATGGGGGGGGGGGATAAAGAAACCTTCAAAAGATGCCACTAGCGGGTAAAAAAAAGCAAACAATACCGAGAAAATGGTGGAAATCAGCCTGAAGATCGTCAAAAGCAAAGAGGATTGAGAACTAGCAAGGCTGACGAGAGTAAACTAAGAGAGGTTAAAAAAAAACAACTAAAATGTAATAATAGGGGGAAAAATAAATAAAATAAAATAAAAGCCGTTACTCCCTTCATAACTAGCCCTGATGGGTGAAAAGAGGAAAAAGAAAATCAGGAAATAACTTTTCCTTTAAGGCATGTTTAATAGTGGACGTAATAATCGCCCTCTTCGAGAAAACATTCTCTGCAGGATTCGAACAGCTGATGAAAAAAGAAATTTTTATTTTTCAAAAAAAAAAAAAAAAAAAAAAAAAAAGAAACAAAATAACCCCATCGGGAGGAGAATGAATAACAACAGGTAAATAACAACCCATGCCTCATCTCTGCGTGTCTGCCCCAAAATGACGTGTATGTAACACGTGTGATGTCGCTCTCTCTCACCCGACACGAGTCCACGAATCCATACCGGGAACCGGAAGCCGGAAACCGGGGATGGCTTCAAACAAACACAACACACACTCACTCACTCACTCACTCACACATCAAGCAAAAAGGGAAATCAACATTGCTTTCAGCATCATATAATATCATACCTGAAAATTTTGCCGTCTTAGACTTTCTACCGTGTGTATCCACGGAGTATAATAAGATCACAAAAAAGAAAACGAGGTCCCCGTACAGAAGTGGAGGGTAACCTGAACGGCCTTCACAATGCACGACTTTGTTTTTCTTTCTTTTCTTTTCTCTTTACCCCTTAGAGTGAGTGCCTTGCCGTGGCATGAGTTATATAACGTCCGTCGATTGGGATGTTTAGTTATAGTTGTTGCTGCTATATCACAAAATCATTCCGCACATTAATAAACGCCCCCGCCCCGCCATCTTCACTGATCTCATTAACCAGCCCCTCTGTCTGCTGATATAACTTCTCCAGTGCGGCGGAGGATGATTTGCCCAGGGACACTATTTTTCATGTCAATATCAGCACACACACACACACACACGCGCGCGCGCGCGCGCGCGCGTACATACACACATGTATACATGTGGATATATATACATGTCACGTATAAAATGAAAAAGAAAAGAATATACGCACCCAAAATCGCCGAATTCAACTCCTCCGCCACAGCTACGCGCCCACTCGGCTCAAGCAGATGCCCATGCACACTCGACTTGGGATCGGGATAGGCAACCAGGGAAAAGATATCGTCGAGCGCACGCTTGTACTCGCGCCGCTCGTCGCCGGGGTAGTCGGCTTGTAGCTCTTGGCCGTAGAGGATGGCTTCATGGAGGAGGTCTTGGTAGTTCGCCGTGGCTGGCGGTGGCGCCGTCGTATTCGCGTGCGAGTTTGTGATTGTGCGAGTGTTCGTGTGTGTGGTACCATTGTATACATTTGCTGACTCGACGTCCATGCCGTCATCATGTAACTCGTCGTCTGAGGTGTTACGATCACCTTGAATGTCGTGTTCGTTGTCGTGTTCATTGTCCATGACAACAGCACCCTCATCATCATCATCCACAACCTCCTCCTCTCTGTTTTCTGCCTCGTCGTCAATGACATCCTTCATCTGCTCGTCCATCTCCATGTGGTGCGTGAAGATATCATCAGCCGTATCGTGCACATGCATCCCCAAAGTAGCAGCGCCATTCGATGAACGGGCCGGTTGCTTTGAAGGTGGAGAGGGTTGCTGCGGTTCCGTACAGCGACGCATCATCTCTATAAATTTCCTGCAGCGAAGGCGGAAGAAGATCTGGGGGTTGTCATGAAGGACATTGTCGTATGAGGTATTGGTGAGTTTTAGAGCTTTGTCGATGTCACCTTCGAGGATGGCGGAGCGGATTTCTTTTATTTATTTATTTTTTTTCGCAATGTGTTAGCTACAGAGCATATCTATATTTTCATTTCCTTTCATTTTCTTCTTGAGGGAAAAGGGTACATGATAGACAGCTGATAGGGAGAAAACCTTACTCTGTCGATTGATAGCATCCATATCCTCATCGGCATGAAAATCCTTCAATGGCGTCTCCCTCCCACTCTGCAGTGCCCGAGACTCCTCTCGAACCTCTTTTGCAAAAGCACGGGCGGTCTCGACATAGCCGCCATGCGCCAGAAATTGAGCTACAAGCTCCTGGATAAATGTCGTTTCATCAAGTGAAGGATGCAAATTAGAAATACTAGTAGCACTTATATCTGCTTGAATGCTACGTTTCTCTTTCTAAAGATGATGTAAAGAGTGTGGTTGTCAGCACAAACTAAATGCAGATAATAAAGAAGTTAAGAACAGATAAACACACCTTCATCATCCCATCGATATCAAATATAAATGGAAACTGGCCAAAGTTGGCTCTGATGTGCGAGGCAGGCTGCTTTTTCACGCCAATGGCGGGATAAAGTTTTATATTTGGCAGTTCGCGGAAAGCATTCCCTGATTGAACATAGAGAGGTGAACAGTTAGCAACCTCCACAACCACAAGAACATGGATGTATAGATGTTACTATATAGAGAGAGGTATAAATAAAGACTCAACCATACCAAGATAAACTCCATTCTTCGTAAAGAACGCACTACTCGTAGAGAAATTCACACCACACCCAATGATGTCATTGACCGAATACTTGGGGCCATACACTTTGCCCTGTCCCTGAGACTCGCCGAAGAACGTCCTCCCATCGTCGCCATGGTATGCCCAAGACTCCTGCTCCCAGCCCGGTAGTCGTTCGAGGGAAGCTTTATTGCTCGTGAATCCCACGCAGATCATGCTAGCAAAAGTTAGATAATGAAGATTCACTTGCCCAAATACATTGCATGACACATGACAAAGCTTTGAGAGAAATAACAACCTACCCCTCCTTCGGCTTCGACAAAACCGTCACCTCAAAGTAATATATGCCACACTGAGGAGGCATGGGATGATTCGCTCGACAGGATGCAGCCTCATGCTCGTGCTTGAACGGGTTGCCCAGATAACGCACCTCGAGTCCCTCATTAAGCAGGTCGAGGCCTGAGTTCTTGTTCTGGTCGCTCCAGCAGGATGGCAGTGGCATGATGGGGCTGTCGTCGTCTGTGGATGGAGGGGGGTGCTCAATGATTTCGTGGGTCATGCCACGGTGGGAGGGGGCGAGGCGGTGGAGGTTTGCATTGCTTGAGCTGGAGGAGAGGGGAGTGGGGACGCCGCTGCCTGAGCCACCACCAGTGCCACTGCCACCGGCAGCGGCGGAGGATGTGCTGGTTGTATTTTGGTTTGTGGTGCTGGTGTTGGGATTCGTGTTTGTGGAGGTTGAGGATGGATGGGGTTGTGAGGGGTCCTTCTGGCTTGAGGACGTTCCTGACGTGCCTGCTGTAGCTGCTGCTGAGGAAGAGGAGGAGGATGTAGTGTTGAGGGCCTGGGATCTATGAGCTGCGGCGAGCTGGGCGATATATTTTGAGTTCCTGAGGTAGGATGGGGTAAAGAAGCTTGTTCCTGTGGAGGCAGAGCTATGCACGTAGCCTGGGTAAGGAGAGTAGGAGGAGGAGGAGTATTCAGGGGATCTGGCAAACTGTCGAGAGTAGAGGGGGAGGGTGGAGGAGGGGTTTGTGGTAGTTGAGATAGTGGTGGTGGGAGGGAGAGGTCTCCTCCATCCGCTCCCAACTAGGCCAGTTGCAGCAGCCCCTCCGCCACCGCCGTTCGTCTGCATTTCGTTGGTGCTGGTGTTGAAGGTGGCGTTGGCGTTTCTATTAGTATTGCTATTATCTAGCCAGGGATGTCTGCTGGTGCTATGGGCTCTAGAGTCCGTGGGGATGTAGTGGGGGGGGTAGGAGTTGCTGGGTGTGGCGGCGGAGGTGAATATGTAAGGGATCGGTGGACCAGACCAAGTTGCCCCGGGATTTTGTTGGAGGAATGCTTGTCGTTGTCGTTGGAGCTGTAGATGTAGTCTGGCAGAGGCAGAGGCAGTGGATGAGGGAGAGTCGTTGTCGGGGTCGTATTGGAATTCGAAGTTGGTGGTTATGGAGGAAGTGGTGGGATTGGTGGTGGCAGTGGGTGAGGTTGAGTTGGCTACGGCACCGTTGCCGGACACCACAGAGGCATAGGATGAACGGCGAGGCATAGACAAGAAGGTTGGGGGCACTCCGCTGCCGGAGCCTTGGGGAGGGGGCACATTCGTCATAGTATGAGAAAAAGGAGAGAAAAGAATGAAAATATATATATATAAATTAAAATTAATGCAGAAAAAATTGAAGAAATTGAAAAACTGGAAAAAGGCGAGGTGAAGGGACAAGGGAAGTGTTTTGGGGTGTTGTGACGAGGATGCGGAGGTTCGACGAAAGAGGTTGGATTGGAGTAGGGGATGACGGCACGACGGAACTCAAATCAAGGCCAAATTATCGCTAAACTACACACGGAGGAGAGGACGTGACACTCACACACGATCAGCTCCGCTGGCGCTGGCTGTGGTCATGGTTCTATTATATCAACGCCGTTGACAGGGAGTAAAACGGCGAGTTGGTGAGGTGGTGAGGTGGTGAGGCGGTTGGAGACAATTAACTACGCTACCCCTTCTGGCTATATACGGGTGGAAAAAGATAGTCAAGGAGAGGCGAAGCACCGAGAGGGGATGACAAGTCTCTTACAGTATAGAATGCTCTTTTCTCCCCCTGGCTATTCTCTAATTACTCGTGGGGCTGCAGTCATGCAGATTAGACATTAGTGTTGTATAACTACCGGATTTGACATTATAAGCCAAATAACTATCTCCATCTCCTGGATGTGCGGGGGTCCTGGAGGGGATAGTCAACATATAACTAGAATAACTGTCCTCTGGTCCTGAAGTTGAGAAGGTATAGCAGTTCCCTTTTACAAGCATAATCGCTCAGTGTGTGTGCGTGTGCTACTGCATATCTTTAAATCATCTCAGTCGGTTAACTTTCATGCAGCTCTATTAATCCCCCACACATTTTGATATTCAGAGTAATGGCAAGCTACATCATACTGTTAATCCACAATACCTAGCGATTGTCACAATGACAATCAATTTTTCCATCTCATTCCACAGCATCAGACAAGAAAAGAAGATACATCCTCTCTCTACTCTCAGCATCATCAACAGACAAACAAATATAAATCCTGGTCCCACTTCTTCCTTTGTAAAGAAGTGGAGCAGCATATATTGTATGCAAGTAGTCTACTAATCATGACAAGACTGGACACATTTATGTTGTCCCTCTCTTCCTGGACCCTTTCACACACAAACACACACACACACACAACAAAAACATGAGTATAAGAAATGTGTAGAGTAACTTTTTCATCATCCCATCCCTTCTCTCTCTCTCTTTCTCTTTCTCTCCCTTCCCCTCCCCTGAATGAATAAATAAACCACACCCTCTCCTCTCCATCTTCCTCCCAAGAGAGAGCCAGCCAGTTCAATTCCAGTTCCAGTTTCAATTTCTCAACTTCCCTATTTCCCAAGCGTTAATATAATACTCAAAGGAGCGTGAAAGAAACCCTCGTTTTTTGGTTTCTGGTTTAGTAAACGCCATTAAAAAGAGAAGAAACAGAAAAGGAAGAAAAGAAGAAAAGAAAGAAAAAACAAGTCCACCCCCTTTCCTCCCCCTTTCCTCCCCTTTCTCTTCAAAAACGAAAAATACGACAAAATGTGGTATGATACAGAGCCAAGTGCGAAATGAGCCCACACAGAAAAAGTACGAAGAAGTACAAGCCAGAAAAAACGAAAAAAAAAGAAGAAATTCAAGACGCAACAGCAACAGTCGAAGCAGCTGGCGTGGAAGGAGCAGGCGCTGGAGCGGGAGCGGGTGCAGAAGCAGCCGCAGGAACACTAACACTCGCAGAAACAGGAGCAGGAGAACTCCCCGTACCCGACTGCGCCGGTGTCGTCGCACTCATCCCATCCCCCTCACCCACAGTATTATTATCACTCTTCTCACTGCCCCCAGCACTCCCACTCCCACTCCCGCTCCCGCTCCCACTCCCGCTCCCGCTCCCACTGCCATTCCCATCCTTCTTCTTCCCACCGTCGTCAGCGCCTCCATCTTTGCCCTTCTTCGCATCCCCACCACTCCTGCTCCCACACCCACCCATCTCCACATCCACATCCCCCTTACCCTTCTCTCCCATCTGCTCCTCACCACCCTCAAGAACAACAACCTTAGGCGGGGCACTCCACGTAGGAACCTGCCACACAACCCCCGTAAAGCTCTTAAGCATAAACGTCTTCCTCTCCCATTTCCGACAGGGCTTCCCCGTGCGATCCAGCGCACGGAGACCTGCGTTGATAGCACCCTGGTTGGCTTTGGGGCCCAGTTTGTGGTGGGATGTTGGGGTGTGCGTTGGACCGCCGGAGCCGGAAGAAGTGTTTGCGGTGCCTGGGCCAGTGTTGCCTGTGTTGGCAGGGTTGTTGGTGGTGGGGTCAATGGAGCCGTCGTCTCTGTTTATTGGGGATGGAGCGGTTAGTGGGTTTTGTTTTTGTTTGGTGGGCGGGAGAAGGGAGCAGAGGATAATGGGGAATGGGGAATGGGAAATGGGAAATGGGAAATTTTGTTTTTGTTTTTTGGGGGGTTCATCGACGGGATAGACAAGAGTGTGGTGGAATATCCACCCCTTCCATTCCCATGACTCCGTAGAAGTAAACATGAGAAATAAACGAACAACTTACAATCTCGCTTTCTTCTTCGGCCCAGGCTTCCCTCTCGGTTTTGGAGTCATCGTCGTATTATTATTACTATTGGTATCACCTCCAACACCCTGACCTAGTCCCCTCTTGGTCCCCGGTTTGGGTCCGGGGACACCTTTGCGTTTCTGCGCATCGGATTGCGGGGTGGGAGTAGATGCTGATGCAGCGTCTGAAGCGTTGTCTGCTGGTACAGGTGCGGTGTTGGTTGTAGTGCCAGCAGCAGCAGCGGTGACTGTGTTGGACGGGGAAGAGAATGAGGAAGACTTTGAATTTTTATCTTCTGCGGCGGAGATGGGGTCTGGGGGTGTCGAACTAGGGAAACGGGAGAGGAGCGAAGGGGAGAGTCTGAGGATGAGAAGTTGGGAGGGTTTGGAGGAGGGTTTAAGTGAGCAGCTTGCGAAAGAGGAGGAGGAGGAAGGGGAGGAGGTGGAGGTGGAGGGGCATGTAGAGGGTATTTTTTCGGATGGTGATGCCATTGTTGTTGTTGTTGTTGTTGGTGGTGGTGGCGGTGGTTGGTGTTGGTGATGGTGTTGGCTTGTGAGATGGAGAGAGGCCGGTCTCTATAGAATATTTTGTGAATTTTCTCTCTCCCCCTTTGTACTCCGTGGCGAACTTCGGGTGAGATGATGGTGATGGTTGTAGGGGAGAGACCCTGGCTGGATGGCAGAAGGGTGTCGGACGACCGTATGGTTGGTTTGTTGTGTACAACAGAAAATGGAGGGAGAGTTTTTAAAAAGAATTGGCGAGGCTGGTTGGTGAGAGTGTTTGTAAGTGAGTTATTTATTATTATAGATGAGCTAAGTTGAGTTGAGTGGACGGGGACGGGGACGGGGGGACCACGGGCCACAGAGGCGAGACTGGTGAGTGGAAGCTTTCGTGTGTTGCTTATTTTATTATATTAGGTGTTGGGGGATTATACACAGGCCTCAGCGGCGATGGTGACTTGTGAACATACCAGTAGTGGTGGTGATAGCGGCAGGTTGATCAAGGTGGATGCGTGGGCCAGGGAGATAATAATATATCTGTTGTGGTAGTGGGAGTTGGTGGTGGTGGTGGTAGTAGAAGAAGTGATGGGCGCCGTTGCCAGGCGCGGGCTGAGGGTTCCATTGTCCGAAGTTGGCTGGGTGTTTTATTATGATTACGACAAAATAAAGTATGGGATGCGGATGGGGGGGTTGGGTTTGCCTTGGGTTTTGGTTTTGGGTTTTGCCGTGGGTTTTTTGCGTGGGAAGGGCGAAAGGGCGAAAGGGGGGGACGTGTGTAGCAAGCAGCGAAGCAAGCAGCAAGCAGCAAGTAACATGCTCAGGGAACAAGTTAGGTTAAGGGCATAAAGGGGCCTTACTAAACTGGGTTGTTTACCTAATACAGGCCGGTCGGTTGGCTGGTATTGTCGTAATCGGGAGATGGAGAAAGAGCTGCGGTAAGCAGCATGGATTGGATGCATTTACGAGGGTAGTACAATGGCGCTGGTATCTTTGCTAGTCCATATATAGCCTAGTGCCATTTGATCAGAGCTTCTGACTAAGCGCAACCCCTTTTCAACCCGTGAACTAACTAATTTACGTTAAGTAGTTACTTACTTAAACTACTTAACTTAAGTTGAGCTGAACCAAGTTAGCTAGGGTTAGCTAGTGACACAATCCTGTCTTCCTTTTATGTAAACTCGATTGTATGTAGGTAATTGACCAGCCCACTTTGCCAATAATTGATGCGTGCTCCGCAGTTCCGTTATTCTGTGCTTCAACTCAAATTATTGCAGCACAACCCCCCCCCAAGTAATGTAGTACGTATCCTGCTAATACCCGATCCAGCCACTCGGATCTCTGGTTCTTAGGCACTTCTGCCCTGCCATGCCATTGTATTTCCTGCTTTCGGTATCAACAAGTCTTGCATCCTCGGTAAATGAGGCGGAAATATTAAATATCTTCAAAAAAATGCATTATCTAGGCTGCTCTCATGGCTCTTATGTTGCGGTGTGATATCTGAATATATATGTATGTACAGTACTTTACTCCCTCCTCATATCAGTCGTATCAAGAGGTTGACGGTCATGATTGCAATATCATGTTTACGGAACCACTGAACTCCAGCAACAAACGCCCAGAGTATGTACATACGCCTGACATTACCTTACATTCACTGACCGATTTCCATTCACTCTGTGTGTACTCCATTACTTTCCCTCCGTCACCAACCGGGTTTCCCATGGATGATGGTTGGTACATGTCATCGCCTACCTCTTCTCCGCGAATAACTTCCCCCTCGACACCTCTGTTGTTGCCAACTCCCGCCCCGAGCAGTGGAGTATTCATATTATCTCCCGTAATAGGACTAAAGAATAAGGGACATCGTGTATACGGATTTTCCGTGGTCTCCAAGTTATTCTTGAGTGTAGAGCGGTGGTTTTAATGTCACGTGGAGATTAAGAGATTGGAAGCTCACCTGGGTATCTTTCGGGTATATTTTTTTAGAACACGTTGCCTCTCTATGGACGAGAAAACAATGACGGGCGGGATTTGACGGTGCTGGATTATGATGCGTAGAGTAGAGGAAACATGGATGTCGGGACAGATACAGGTAGCAGAAGAATGCGTTAGAACACGAAGCTACTGCTTCCAAGCCTCGGTCTATACAAGGCTGGATATATGGAGTAGAGCAGGTAGTTGGGAATCGTTTCTATGACGACACGAAGAAAGAGGAAGGAGAAGTCATATAGGTAATTTCTGCAAATGGGTGAGTCCAAGGACCCACGCATTTATCTATCAATCCTATCAATCAATTCGTCATCTATAGATTCACTCCATCCCATCTAAGCATAAATACCCAACACCAACGCAAAAAAACGGACCAACGACAAAAAAAACCAAATGCCCATATGTACACAATAACCCAACCCAGAACCCAACCCAGAACCCCCCCCCCCCCAAAAAAAAAAAAAAAAAAATATCTCCCCACCAAGCAAGCATCCGAACCCATACATCCCAACCAAACACACCCGACTTTAAGCAACACCCCTTCGCTCCCTGACCACCCTGACCGCCTCCCTAACCTCCAGCGCATCCCTCACAGACCCCAAAATCAATCCCTCCTTCATTCCCCTTCGCAACCTCCAAACACTCTCCTTGTCCCCCTTAAACGGCGCTAAGCCCAGCTGCAACAGCCTCGTCACCTCCGCATCATTCGCGTGCGCCATGTGCACTAGTTGTGCGAGCTGGGCTTGTGTCTGTGGCGATAGCCTATCGCTTTGTTTCTTAGAAGAAGAGGAGGAGGAAGATGAGGATGGTGTTAGCTGGGAGATGAATACGTTTAGGGTCATGGAGGCATTGCGGGCCAAGGCGAGGGTCTGGAAGGGGAGGAGGTAGAAAGTTTCTAGATTTAGGAGCGAGGTGAGGAGGGGTGGCAGGTGTCTAGATGGCATGATGATACCGTTTTGGTGGGTGAGGAGGGAGAGTTCGAGGGTTAGGAGGGCGAAGAAGGTATAAAAGCGCCACTGTTTGAAGACAAGGGGGGCATATGTGTTAGCTGAAAATTTCCGTCTGTGAGAATCGATATACGCATCGGTTATATAAGACGAAAACAAAAGACAGAGTGAGAAAAAAAGAAGAAGAAAAGTCTGAGAAAAGCTGAAACGTACATATCGCCCCCACGCGGAGAACCAGAACAAATTCATCAGCACCATCAAAACAAGCCCACCAACATACTGCGGCAATAACGCCCACAGCCCCGCATACAGAAACTGCCCCATCGTCTTCGCCTTGGAGCCCTCCACAACCCCTCGTCCAAACCTATCATACGCAAACCTCCTCACAGGATCCAGCAACGTCTCTTGCGCCAGCCTCAGCTGCACAAACACAGCATCCAGCGACTCCCCATCGCCCCCCAATGAGCCCGCAAACTGAAACTGTTGCTTTTTATCCGGGTGGTGGAGCGCCGCGAGGCGGCGAAAGCGCGACTTTATGGTCTTGTCATTTGTCGTAGGTAGCACGCCTAAGAGCTGGTAGAAGTCGCCTTCGAGCCGGAGATTGTGGTAGGTTTCGTAGAGGGAGTAGAGGAGGTAGGTTGTTATTACGGTGATGTAGATTCTGCGGTAGTGGCGGGCGTAGCGGGGGCTGGAGGGGGAGGGGTGGGGGGAGCCGGCGCGGATGGTTAGGCGGTAGTAGAGGGTTTGGAGGAAGGAGGTTGCATACTATGTGTGGTTGGGATCGTTAGGATTGTGAAGGGTGAGAGAGTTAGGTCCAGGTATGCCAACTCACTTTGGGAAGAAAGGCCCAGCCAGCGTACGTAAGGATTGTGGAGAGAACACCGCCGGCCATATTTTGTTGTTTGTGGGGATTAGTTAGCGGGAGGTTGACATTTATGTCGATATTGACACCTATGAGCACAGCTCTAGAGTGTTCTTAGAATGGATAAAAGATAGGAACGAGAAGATTTATCCTGTCTCCTCTGCAAATACTACCAAGTATGGGCTAAATGAGTGTATTTATAGATGTTTGCTCGTAGATGTGTGTATGTCTATGTCTACGTGTATAGATAGATCTCTTTGTTGACGTTCGTCACTCCGCGGTTAAATTCAATGTCTTGGCACAACCCCAAGATGCGGCTCCTAGGCGGCTCTTGGGGGCGGCTCCACTCGAGCCAAACAACAAAAAAAAAAGTCACCACAGAAAAAAAACACTACCTCAAACGACATCGTTTATATATCAAACACGGCATGCAGCCACAACAGATGGCATAGTTATACCCGCCATGTCAATGGACGCGATGGATATCGACTCCGTTCCTCTCTCACCAGAGAGAAAGCGCAAAAATAAAGAAAATGATGGCCATTCCTCAAAGAAGCGCAAGCATGAAGCGACTACTTTCGCACAGACCGCGGTGGACGAGATCTCACCAAAGGCAAAGAAGAAGGAAAGGAAACACAAGAATAACAAGGATCACGTATACCTCGAGGAATCTGCACAAACACTATCAGATATGCCCAATGCGCGATCAAAAAAGACAAAAAAACACAAACACCATGCCCAACAGACCGCCGACAATGACGACTATGAGAAGGAGGAAGATCAACGATCCCCTCAATCCCCAACAGCCACCAAGAAACCTCTCACAAAAGTGTCTACCTCTCAATTGGAATCTATCTCCGTAGACCCTACTGCTTCTTCCCCCTTCTACCTCATAACTGCCACCCTATACGTCCCTCTCTACCCTATCTCCATCTCTCCTACCCACGCCCTATCCTCTCTGCAAGCCGAACACCTTGCTCCATTACTACTAACATACTATCACCCATTTCGCGGCATTGTGCTCGCCTACTCAAATGCCTCCATATCTTCCATTCCCCCATCCTTCCCATCCTCAAAAGCCGGATCCGCAGCCACCCACAACCCAGACGAAGAATTGAATCCACAACCTTTAACCCTCGCCACAAGCGCAGGCGAATACGGCGTTCTCTTCGTCTACCTGACAGCCACATTCCTCGTATTCCGCCCAGAACGTGGCCAGCAGCTCGAGGGGTGGATAAATGTGCAATCCGACGGTTTTCTAGGTGCGGTGGTATACAATCTTTTCTCCGTCGGGATCGAGCGGCGAAGGCTACCCGCTGATTGGCAGTGGGTAGCGCCGGGAGAAGGATCTACTGCTACACCAAAAAGCAACAACACTTCAAACTCTGCTGCCGTCACCGACGACGACGACGACGAAGACTCAGATTTCGACTCTGACAAGGAAAACTTCCGCCCGCTACCCACCCGCTCCTTAGCCTCTGTTCTCGACCTATCAACCCACAGCCAGTACAACCACACCCACAATGACCCCATCCAACTATCCGCAAACCCCGACGAGGCCGCGACGGCCGGCTTCTTCCGCACACGCTCCGGGCGCCGCGTACGTGGGATGATCCGTTTTCGCGTGCGGGATGTAGATGTCATCCCTGGCGCGGAGGCAGATAAGGGTTTCTTAAGCATTGAGGGGACGATGTTGAGTGCAAAGGAGGAGGCGCAGTTGGTCGAGGAGGAGAGGAAGAGGGCTGGGTTAACGCCGTTGTCGGCGGCCGCCACGATGGCGGGGGGCCTAGGGGAGGGCAGCACTGTTGCTGGGGAAGCTGATGGGGAGGCACCGGGAGAGGTGCAGAAGGGTAAGGAGAAGAAGAAGAAGAGTAAGAAGGCGGCTTCGTAGTTGAAGTGAGATATATACTACCTCTATCTTATTTATTTTTTAATTCATACGAGTTGGAAGGGAAAGGTGCCGATATATTGTTCATTTTTGTTGCACTACTAATGATATGTTGCTATGCATGTTGTGAGGAGTTTCCCTCATCTCTTTAGGAGCGTTTTGTTTTATGCTTAACCACTGATGTATGTCAAGAGAGAGGGAGAACAATAGAGACTATTTGTTAAAAAGATTTGGTATGTGGTATCTCTTAGATTTTGATTTGATTTGATTGTTGCATGGTTTTCCTTGACATTTTCTTGGTTTTGAATTCCCGAATGTAAAGAGAAAGGGGTATTAGGAAAAGGGTTCGTTTCCATACGAACTATGTTCGTCCATCCCATCCCATCTCATTTAACTCCACCTACCTAACAATCCCATCGAGTTATCCATCAAGCGTTATACTCTTCTTTTAAAAATTACTCCACGTCAAACACCCCTTCAAATCAAGTCGACCTTCAGCACATCCACCCCCTCCTTCACCTCTTTCTTACCCAACATCTTCCCACTTCTCATCAGCTCCGCACACTTCATCACAACCGGATCCATCCCCATACTCGCAACCGCCACCACCGTCTCACCCAGCAAATAATACGCCACAAACTTCCCCTCCCCAGGCTCCCCTTGCACAATCAAATCGTCATACCCGTTCATCGTATTGCCACAGTACCGGAGTTGCCCGCCCAGCGCGGACCAGAAGATCGGAATAAACGACTTCGGCTTCAGGGGCATAGAGCTCTTACTAGAGAAAGCATGCGCGATTGTGCGCCCGACACATCGACCTGAGTTCTGTGCTACATCCCAATGTTCGATGCGCACGTGTGAACGGCCCCCCTGGCCCGCCCCAGGCCCGTGGTAGGGATATGTGGCGATGTCACCGATGGCGTAGATATCATTTTTGTTATTACCCTTCAGACTTTCGACGGCGAAATAGTCATCTGTCTTTAGGGACCCGTCCTGCTCGAGGGTTATTGCAGGGTTATCGCGCAGGAACTCCGTGGCGGGGCTGACGCCTACACCTAGAATGACAAGGTCTGCAGGAAGGATGGTGCCATCTTTAAGATGTACGGCGCCGACTTTGGATGCATCTGCGGATGAGGGAGTGGCCTTATCGACAGAGGCAGACATGTAGAATTTCACGCCGTTTTTCTCTAGGTTGGATTGGAAGACACGCCCGATCTGGTTGCCCATGATGCGCTCCAGGGGGGTGGATTCCATGCCGACAATCGTTACTGTGTTCTCTTTTGAGAGCGCATTGCCCACTTCCATGCCGATGAAGGAGCTGCCGATTATGACGATATTTTTCTTCTTGTTGGGTCCCACGGCGGTTAGGATGGCTTGAACGTCTGTCACCGTGCGCAGGGTGAAGACATTATCTAATTCTTTGAAGCCTGGGAGCGGAAGGCGGCGTGGAGTGCCTCCCGTTGCGAGGATGAGTTTTGTATATGGCACTGTTTTACCGGATTTGGTGGCTATGGTTTTGTTGAGGAAATCGACGGAGGTGACTTCGTCGGAGACGGTGGTGATGGAGACGGAGGAGTACCATTCCTTCGGCCTGAGAAGGAGTTTTTCTGGATCTGGGATTAGGGCTTTGGAGAGCTTGGTTCTGTCGAGGGGGAGGTTGGGTTCCTTGGACATTATTGTTATTTGGCCGCCGAAGCCGTGTTCACGGAGTACTTCTACTGCTCCCATTGTTCCGCTTCCGCTGAAGTGAGGTAGGGGTGTTAGCGTGAGATCAATTGATGTGGATAGTGTAAATATTCTTACCCTCCAATAATCACCACCTTCTGATCCTGTTGAGCCACAGTGCAAGAAGAAATAGGCAATCTTCCATTTGATTTGAAACTGGCTTCGTCCGCTTTGACATACACTCCGCCATCTTTCTCGAATACTTCATATTTATGTAGCGCATTTAGAGCCGGCGCATCTTCCACGTCTCCAGTTGCGATGTTATAGCAAGCTAACACGGACATCAAATACAATAGGAAAATTCAATCAGCGCAAGTCATTATTTGCTTTTCTTAACTGAATGAACCTGGAAAACAGCTCTCGATGTAGAGTAAATCTAGTTGTATTGTTGACGGAAAATACATACCGCCATGCCACGGACACGTCAACCTAGCATCGGGTGTTAGAACTCCTTTTACCAATGGCGCACCATAATGTGTACAGTTCGCAGTGAGAGCATGCACCTGGCCGCCCTGCTTTATGAGGATAAGTTTCCCCTTCTCGATGCCCTCGACTTCTACTTCGATCTTGTCGGACGGGAGGTCAAGTGACGTCAAGTCCTTGATTTTGAAAGTTGATGTTGATGTCGATGTCATTTTGGAAATGGATGTAGATAGCTGTTGCGTGGTTAAGAAGTGCAGTGTTTTGGTTATTTGTATTTGGTTTTTACTTTTCTTACACTTGTTGACCGTTGTTGTGTTGGTGTGTATATGTTTGATGGGGATAATGGTTCTTGTTAGCTGCTGATGAGGGGGTGCTAGTACAGATGACGTGCGTTGCAAGTTGATACGTGCGAAATGACTAGACAATACAGCTCCAGTAATCTGGAGAGTAATGGAGGTATAGTACAATGGACGGGTGGTTTGCTTTATGCTGTGATGGATGATAATAGCCTTGGAGGGGTAGGGGGGGAAGAGAAGCATGCTACTGGGATGAGAAGATATGGGGATCGGGATTCAGACATACAATGAGGATAGGAGATCTCGTGAATGCGCAATTGCTCAATTAACGTCAATGAATGTATCAGGATCATGTATGTTTCAATATACTGGCAAACAACGTTGGCTAAGGCAATCCAGTGTTTTGCGGGGAGGCTTTGTAATGGAGGTCTGTGATTTGCTGTTGGCGGTTTATGACGTCGGGATGAGATCACTAACTTTGGATATTTCAACATGTAGGAAAACAACGCAGGATATACGTCCGTGCCAGTTAAGTTCAGCTATCAGATGTAGTAATATCCCTTTTTCTAATTATTTATCTAATAACAATTTTGTCCGCAGCACTAATATCCTATACATTGCACAGGACCCGAAAAAACACCCCTATCCTGTCCATATAATTCCCCCTGTACTCCACGCTCCCCGATTGGTTAATACCTATATCACGCCCCTCCTCCGCAAACCCCTCCTCCTTGCTTGTTCAAGATTACTCCCTGCTCCCCGCCCCCGTCCATGCCTAAGACCCTGTTTCTTAACCCATCCAGGCCCCTGCGGGAGCCCCTGAGATACCGCAAAGTCCCCATCTAGGTTAGGCGAGGGATCGAGGTCACTGGAAATCGTCAAATCCACAATGTTGTAACTGCTCTCTGCAGCGACTGCAGCGGCCTGTGACTGTGGTTCATATTCAGAGTGTTGCATCGACTCCTTGCTAGCCTCAAGGATGGCTGGGACGCCCGTCCGGTCATCAATACTCTGTGACACATGTGGCGAAGACGATCGTTGGCGCGGAGGCGCGAGAGCTTTTCGTTCGTTTCGTCTCGTGACAGATGCGGGTGGGAACTGCACGGCAGATGCTGTGCGTGGCGGAGCTGTGGAGATTAACCGTGGTACGGACGGAGACATTCTACCGAAGCCCCTGTCAGACTCATGGAATGGATTCGTGATGACGGAATCTGCACCTAAGCCCGGACGATATCTGCCAGTGTGGCTTTCCTGACAGTTGCGGGCATTGAGAACTGAGGATTTTTCTGGCTTTAGCTCCCCTTGATCTACCTGGAAGAACTGTAGGGTAGAGTTACAAGCAGCTGCTGCGGAAACAGGAAATGCCTGGCTAAGATTTTGGATATTATTGCTATTCGCTAGGTCGTCATCCGAGCTTTTAACTTCAGAATCCAAGCCCATGTCCATATGTGTCTCTTCAAATTGTGACCTATGTTGGGACGTAGCAACTGGATTGGGGGCAGCGGTCAGGGAATCCTGCATAGGTATGCCATCGGTGTCAAGATACTGAAGGTGTCCATCCGACAACGCTGACGATTTCTGGTGATCGGAATTCAAACCCAGTGTGAGAAGAGAAGGATCGGATGTATGTCCTTCCAACCAAGCGAGCGAACTTGGAACTTCGGTCACAATTTGCTCTTCAGGGAAAGATCTTGAAGTACCAAGCGGGATTGGAGGCAATGGCTCATAATCTTCGTTGGGACTGTTTGAAGGGTAAGGGGCGGACTGGACGGAAACCCGGCAAATTCATTCATTTCCATGTCTTCATTGGCTGCGTCATTGTGAGTAGTAGAACCACGTGCAGTGAAAAAGGTCTCTTCGGGAAGGAGGATGTCTGAATCGAACCCTGATCTGAACCCAGCCTCTCGAATCATATCTGATATATTACGTCTTGTAGGTGAGGAAATCGTGATGTCTTCAGGGACAGGGGGCGGAAGTTCAATGGGGCTGCCTCGTTTTTTGGGTAAGCTGAGAGGCCCACAAAAGCATAGGATATTTTATGCCAACAGCGGATTCTGCGTCTCCTCTACCCTCTCCACCGCCACCGTCACTTCTGACACCCCTACCGTACTATCTGCTCGTGCCGCGGAGAGTAATTTTGGTTCTATGAACTCTCCAAACTGCATTTCCCTGAAACCATTATCTTTCCCTTTCTTTTCAGTAAAGCCAGGCATCTCAAATTTGGAGTACTGGGTTGCTTGATCGTCATCATCATAATGCTCCTGAGGTTGCTCCCTATCGCGTTGCGCCAGCCTTAATGTCAAAGTCCCACCAACAACATTTTCTATAACGGCTGTGCGGTATTGGGATACCATTGGCTGCCACATCGTGGCCCCAGACAGGTCCAGCTGCTTGAAAGCAATGATGGCCCCAGGCTTCATATCAGTGTCCCTTGCATCTTTCAAAAAGGACATATCCTCCGGTAGAGCTGGAAGTTCATCTGAATCCGTGCCCATGTCATGTGAACTGGTTTCAACACCGGCCATCTCATAATTCAATTGGTCACCGACAGCTGCAGCCATAGCTTTCGTTGAGGTATGGTTCTCATCAAGCCCATTGGTTTTATAATCTAGCTCGATCTCATTTGAGGTACTTGGTTCCCCATTTCCCCACTCCTGACCATAATAGTCACCTTTGTGATTTTGAGTTTTTCGCTTCCTCTTCTTGCTATTACTTTGTTGATTTCCTTTACATTCACGGATTGCCGCTTGGGCATCTTTATCCCATCGCTGCACAAACGGGAAAGGGGGCGTAGAGAGCTTCACATTGTCGTAAATACATTCCGTAGCCTGGAGGATCAATCGATCTTTCCAGTTTTCAACCGAATCAGCCTCCTTTTTTGTGATTTTATCAACTTCTTCAGCTGACGCGGAGGCGGACCTTGATTTTTGCTTAGGAGTTTTCGAGAGCATCTCTCGTAACGCTTTTACATCCTCCTTCGATTTGGGACTCTTTACACCCAGTGAGCCAAATAAGAGTTGCCGTGAGTTTTTCACATCCAATTTTGACTGTCTTTTGGATGATTCTGTAGGTTTGGACATACCAATTCCTCCAACCATAGGGGTCTTCGATACAGGTTCAAGTGGATTCAATTTAATGGTCTCCTTCGTGAGTTGTGGGCTCTCATCCACTCCGCCGAATGCAATATCGCGTAAAAGCTCCGCTCGTTTCCTCTCAAATTCCGTCTGTTCATCATCAAAATTCTCCTGGGTGTTTGGAGACTCCTTATCCAGACCCCTTGGTAACGGCCCAGGATTGGCTTCGCACCATTTCCGCAAATCATCAAATTTGGCATCTTTAGGTAGAATTCGAAGTTCCTTCAATTTTTGAAGTTTTCGTCGCAGTTTGGCTCTCTTATTGGTGTTTTTCGTTCTCCGGGAACCAGCACCAGGTGGATGAACAGGTGGCCGTGGTCCAGTAGTGGTCTTTGGGGTAATTACCACTTGCTCTCCCACGACCTTTCTCTTTTTAATCGCATTGAGGACGCTGGGAGTTTCTGATCCTGAAGACGATGAACTACCAACAGAGCTTGAAGATGATTCCGAAGATGTTTCGCTGGAGCCTGAGTCACTGGAAGAAACGGAGCTTCTTTCGTCATTGTCACTCGACTCACCCGTATCAGAACTAGAGGCACTACCACTCTCCGATGTGCCTCCGGAAGATGCTGACATGTTGGAATGAAAACTCAGTCGATCCTGGAAGCTGACGCTGCGTTTGCGCTTTGGTGAAGCAGCCGGTGCACTTTGCTGTTTTCGATCTAAAATCCCCTGAAGTTTACGCTCTGTGGTGGGAGATTCCATTTGTTTTAGCTGGTTGGCTTTCTTCGCAGCTTGCCGTTTGTAGGCACGCGTATCGGGGGACATGTTCCCGGCTTTCGGCACGGGTTGCTCCTTGATTCGTTCTTTAGGCGCTATGGGAATCTCTTCTTCAGACGGGGGAGAATATTCTTCACTCGCACTTTCACCCTCATAATCGTCATCATCCTCGTCTTCATCAGCATCAGCAAGCACAAGTTCTTTCCCAATCCCGTCCCCATCCTCTTTCCAATCAGGATCATTCTCTTTATCGTCACAGTCTTCATCGATTATATCCTCCGCGACGGCATTATCAACCTGCCACCCGCCAAAGTTCAATCGTCTCTTCTTTCGTGGTGGAATTATGATAGGGGGTCTTGATGGTACCGCTTTCTGAATATAAGGCTTCCCAAAGGGAACACCATCAATTAAATGCCTTCCATCAGTAGAGATCTGATGACGACCCGTAAGCCTTCTGGCTATGAGATCATTAAGTTGTAAAGCACGTATTCTAGAACCCGCAGAAGCAAACGGTCCAAGTCAGTAACAGACCAGGCAAAACAATACATAAAGAGATGAAGATAAAACCAACAACTTACACAACCTCATCCCCATCCCTCAACAGTCCATCTACCTCCATAAAATGCAAGCACTCAAACCCAGCAACCTCCACTACGTAATCTTCCAATCCCCATTGGCCAACACCGCCACCGATACCACCACCGTTTCCAAACTCTTCTTCAACCTGTGTTTCAAGCGGGATAACCTCATTCACATCTTCCAGAAGCTGAGAAATTGACAACCCGCCACTCCCAGAAGCTGCCGCTGCCGCACCGGCTCCAAATCCTGCATTTGGGGCCCGTGTTGATGTTATCGTGGAAGATGAGACAGTCGCGAAGGAAGATACGGCAGAACTGGAAGGGGGAGAGAAATGCGAGGAGGTTGTCCAAAGGACACGGGTGGTGGGGAGGCAGTGCCGTTGTATAATGAGGTGGAGACGCATGGCTGGGGGGATGATATGGTTTGTGACTTATAGATCCAGAAAAGGGAAGGAAGTTAAGAGGATAGGATTAAGGCTTGTTGATGTTCTTTTGCACCCTAGTCCGTTTTGATATTCCATCGTCCGGTATTTGGGCTGGTCTTCTCAATCTAGATTTTGCATTTGAAGGCAACAGGTTGTCTGAATAGGGGCAACCGGGTTTAATATTGTATTGTTCCAAGGTAGTCGAGTTTGAGCAGATGAGAACGTGAGCGTGCGTAATGATAAGAGGCAGTACAATACAATGAATGATGCCACCAACGTCATTGATCATCATCCCATTGTCTTGCTCTACTACAATAAACGGCCCAGCGGTGCAGAATAAGTAACCTGCGTAGCCCACTACCTGCTTGGTCGTAGTGGTTAATTTGTCGTTGATGGCGGTTTTGACGCGTGAAGCAAAAAATTCGTGGTAGTTCGGCTGCCAAGACACCTCGCCTATTCTGGTCTAGCGGCGATAGGCTGCCAAGGTTGAATATCACTCCAGCAGTTGGTGAGATATGGTTGGTTGCTGTTGCAGATGTTCCTGTTTAACGATTGAGCAGACTCTTGCTTTATCAAATGAAAAGATCCCAGAGGTATAACTCATATTCCAAGTTTATGTTAAAGAGATTCACGATTACTCGGGCCAAAAGATGTTATTCCCGTATACAAACGCCATGTTCTCCAAAGCAACCAATGATTTTATGACCACCAGGCAAATCAAACAAGAAACATATACTTTTGTTATCCGAATCCATAAATCCTCGCTCTCATGATGTATCGTTATCGAGATCGAAAATAGAAGCCAAGCAAAATAAAATGAAAATAAAAGTGAAATAAAAAAGAAGGTCCAAAAATTAATGATGGCAAATAATGATGGCAAGTGAGACACGAGGCAAACAGTTGTATCCGCCGATATGTTCTCTTGTTCGTTCGAAATGCCCCCCAGATACCAAGGGCAAAGGCCGAGGATCATCCCTCCGCAATTCCAATTAACCATGTGTTAAGCGTACTTTTTAGACCCTGGCACTGGTTTCCTACTAGGGACCCCCATGAATGGCCTTGGTCTCCGTTGTGACTGTTCCTGCACTGGTTGCGATTGGGAGTTTTGGGAGTTCTCGAAAAGTTGGTTCTGCTGAGCTTGACCAGTCGAAGATGGTGATGAGACAGGCTGGTCTACCAAATTGCAATTACTGATATGTCCATCCACAGGCGTCGTGGAATGAGTATCGAAGAACGACTCCATTGAGGCGTTCATGAAACCGCTATTGGGGAAGAGCCGGTCGTCATCTTTGCTATTTGCTGAACCTTTTTGATCAGTTGTTGGCCATGACCCCGTGTCTGGAGGATTATACTCGCGCCGCGGGCCGTCCACTGGCCCAAGAGCTTCCGCCATGGCATCCTCGTAGCTTGGAGGAGCATCCCCAAAATCTTCCTGTGCAGCAGGAGGAAAGGTAGGGGCCGCCTGTGGCCGCGGAAGTTGGGCTGGAGGAACCTCGGACACATTGCTGTCTTTGCGTGGGGAGCGCCGGATGGCCTCTAAGAGGGCCTTGGGAGGAGCGATTCCAGAGTATACTTGAACAGCCATCCGAAGGGGAAGGACAACAAGCTCAGGCTAAAAAAAACAAAAACGAAAAGGTTATAAACATGTAACGACATTTAGTATGCTTCATGAGCCCTGGAGAGGGAAGGAGATGAGGACTGGATTCATGATGATAAAATTTGAACCAAAAAATTAAAATGTCATTAAGAGGCTATCAATGAACGCACCTTCATTGCTCCGGACAATCCATGCGTCAACCCAACACGCACGTCCAAATCATAGGTGCGCGAAATATTGCACGTATCGAACGACGGCGCCACAGAACTGGGCAACGGGATACGGTCCCACAAGCTGGAATCTACTTTCCACTCCTTCCCAGCAGGGACATTACCGTCGATTAGGGGTATGTTCATATTACTCAGGCTGATAATAACCCAGCTTCCACTCTCTGACCGGGTCAGATCATGAGCCCGGATGTGGGTGTATGCAATTAATTCGACCTGTATCATTTGCAAGAAGATAGTTTCTGAACTCTCGTTGAGTTTTTTCACCAATATTCGCAAGGGGAATGGTTCGTTGCAGGTTATTATTGGAGGACTAGGTAATCTGGCATCGACAGAAAATTTTGGAGGTTCTTCATCGAGATCGATCAGAGATGGTGGATTAGATTTCTGAAACAGACCTTTCTTTTCCGGTATACTGCTGACTTTGGAGAATTGTTGTTGGCGTCTAGCGTATGACTCCACACCCGTATCTGTTTGTCTCGGAGGTTCGATTGGCAGGAATTTGATATCAGCATACTATATCAATTTCAAATCAGCTTGTGCCCCAAGCACCAACTGCGCAAAGGTTTCATTATTTAAGACAAGACATCGGGTTCAATTTTCCACACTTTATCGACGGCAGAACTCGCAAAGCAGGTATCTGATGAATGCTCTTTAAAGAAAAAACATACCCCTCTATAATTCTCCTTGTAGAATTGTGGTCGTCCAACAGTTGCTTTCACATAGTATCTAATTTCCGCCTCCCCAGGGAACCCTGTCAGTGATGGAGGAAGGGCCTTTCGAACATGCTTATTCGTGTCGCGGGCAACCTCCAGCCTTAACCCACCCATGTTAAGGTTTGTGCTCATATGCTTGCTGCAGTCATTGTTGAAAGGAAACTATAAAGGTACGATAGAAGGAACCGTCAGCCTGTTTTCAAATCCTTCTGCATCCACCGATGTTCCGAATCACTCGTTCTTTTAGCCAACTCACTTTAAATTGAAAGGGATATTCGTGGTGACCGGGCGGAAGGGTATAGTATATGTTGTTTCCACCTGCAAGATCTGTCGCACTCTCCATTGGAAACAGTGTAAGGACTTTGTATAGAAGCTGTAAAAAAATCAAACCAAAAGTGATTAGCGAGATATCCACCACCCTGAAGCTGAAAACTTGCATGAACTCGAACCCGTTATCAAAACCACGGCACTTACCTTGTGAGATTCCACCTCCGTCCTCTTCTTTTCATTGCGGTCATTGTGCGGATATTTCGGAGCTGCAAGTCTCGTTCTGCTCTCGCCTTCGAGCTTTACGACGATGGAGGTGATGGGAGTGTCCGTAGTAAGCAGGAGGATGACTTTCCCCGTGATGAAGTCAAGATTCGTGAAATGCGCGTGCGGTCTGTCAAGGTGAATTCTAACAGACATGGCGACAAGAAATTATTAAGCTTATCAGCTTTCGGAGTTCATGTGCAAGGATATCTCGGATGAAACGGAGCCCAGCGTGGGGTATTTCGGATGGGAACAAGTATCCAAACAAACACAGGGCGGGAGGAAAAGGGGGAAATCGCGTATGAAAATCTAGAAGTGCAGGCCGTATGATCCAGGGAGGTCGATATCACCAGTATGAACCCTTTGGATTGTCATGAAGATCATCTGCAAGGTTGTTTGTTCTCTTGCAGTGGACATGAGGATCTACTATGTAAGCATGAATGACGTTTTTGCTCCCCTGTAGTTAACTCTCAGTCAAAATGTTGTCTAAGTTCCCACCAGAAGGCCAAGTCGGTTATTCCGATAGTGTTATGCCTATATTTATCCTTGCCTCGGGAGTCTGGCCTCGAGATCTTCGCCGGATATTTTTATATGCAATTGAATAATTAATTCATCCTCTCAGAGTCAGATTATGAAGTTCAAGTTTAAGGCAAAAATCAAAAAAATTCTGCTAGAAAGCTTTCGAAATCTTTGATCTAGAATATGGTCCTGGGAGTTACCACCCAATCTCACATTTGGCTGGGCCTCTTGCATCGCATAACCAACGAATTGCCCCCAGAGCCCTGATTAGTTAGTGGGCGCCAGCTCAAAATTTCTAAGCCACCTCTGCCCACAAGTCAGTCAAATATTGTGGGTTTAGTTAACTAGTTAGTTATACAAAATAATGCAATGTCATCATCAAGCTTTTAAGGAGAAAGTCTGCTTTAGTTCTTTAAGTACTTGATACAGTCAAATTTTACGTCTATGAGCTGCAACAAAGCTGTTTGACGTTTCTTTAGTTTACTCTTTTTAATTAAGTGCATTGACTAACTAACTAGTTAAGTAACTAATAGTTATACAGCATATATTATTCATCAAAGAACTAAAAACTCAGTTTTACAAAAAAGAGAGTGCTTTTATTCAGTGAATTTTTCTTATAAATGTATTTAAAAAACAGTCGCTTTTAATTGTAACTGTATAAATATAACTAATATTTAAAATATTTAAAAAAAAAAATGCATAGTTTTTCTAACCCTTTTTATAGCTCTCAGTTTTTCTAAATATTAGTTATATTTTATATAATATTATTTAATTACAATTTACAACGTAAGATTAAAAGTAGTTAACTAACTATGAGAGATTTTTCAAATATTATATAACTAATAGTTATACAGAGCTCTCTTAACTCAATAAATCAAACTTTAAATTAGCTGAGTAAGGGTTGTCAAATAATCATAAGACAATAGAATAACTTTTCTAAAGAGGAAAGTTAAGAAATTAAAAACAATAAATGAGAAGCAAGGAGATAAAGAGAGAAAGATGACATATATAGCTTGACGGGTTGTTTTGAGAGTTGAAGAGGAAACAGATTATATGAAGTATAAAAACAGAAAAGTGAAGTGATTGAGACTTCTGACTCTCAATCACAAAAAATGAGCAGCACCACAGGTTATAGGGTATTATTGAACATACTGCTCATATATGTTGAAAGCTTGTTTGTAAATAATTCTTGATGTCTGTTTATTTACATCGTTGTTGTTATATTTAGTTATAAACATGTAAAATGATTGTGGATTACGTTAGTTAAAATAACTTACTGTTTCTTGGGCGCAGAAGACATCAACAACCAAACAGGTCACAACCTGGTTTTTCAGCATAAGGTTTATCACTTCCAGCGCCAATTCGGTAACTTCCCAGGTTGTGGTTTAAATGGCGGCTGGAGGCTGGTTTAACCACTTTCACAGCCTCTTCCAAGCTTCGCTGAGGTTGCATCAAAGGAGATGCATGAAAGAAGGTACGAAGATTCCACCGTAAACAGGTTAGGGCGATTACATCCTGCAAAAATGCCTAACTACATCACGAACTATCTACAACGAAGAATATAATACAAACTGGTCTATTTGAACAACCCTGTGGTCAAACCCGCTGCATGTCTCTAAAAGCATGGGTCAATTCAGTATGCTTGTCATGTTGGAGCATCGTAGATTCGTGAGGAACAGGAACAGCTCCTTAGAGGCCCTCTTTTGCCAGCATATCTATATTCACCGGATTAAACCTGTGTCAGCTTTATCCCAAAACACCCCGGGGATATGCAACTGTCTTACCGGCAATGTCTAGATACAGGGCAAGCGCGTTGAACCTGGCCAAAGAAAAGAGAAACAAAAGTAAGTGCCTCTCTCGCAAGCGAAGTTCTGTAGTAACCAGAGAAAGACACCAATACAGAATACCCACTTCCTGGCATTTCCCGTCAACTCAGAGATTATCCACTTAAAACGATTGGTCCAGTTGATCAAGTCGAGGTGGCTGACACCAACAAGCGTGCCTTTGTAGCCCTCCTCACCTCCCCATTTGCTGCTCTGGACGCTGACCAGGCCATCATTCGGGCCTTCTTCCTGCTCGATAATCCGATGTGACTGGATAAACACAGACCACATACCGGGTGTTAACGATGCTCCGTATGAAAAGTACCTAAAGTATTTCCCAAGCCGTTAAACTTCTTCTCCCTATCACCTTTAGCTGAACCGGGGTATGTTTATACCCACCTAACATCGTCGATATCAGGAGTATTGGGATTGAATTCTTCCTGCATGTATTTTCGAGTAAGCTGACTCAATGCCCCTGACTCTATTTTAATGCGAGCCAGTGTGTTATATATCTGTGCAGCTCGATGTTCTATGCCTTGCGTAAGTGTTTGTTAAAAGATTCTCACGACTTCAAGGTGGTCAGACGAACCTCCAATCAGTCCAAAGACATAATCCGCAAACGCAGACCCTACAGCAGTTAGTCGAAAATTATGATAAAGAGCTTGGAGAGTGATTAACCTCGGTGAGGGGTGCCTATCGTAGTCAGAGACACAACCCGGAATTTCGTAGGTCGTAGTCTGCTGATCATGTAACGAGAATCTAGTCCACTGGTTTGGTTTGGATGAAGTCAGCCTGATATCCCACCGGTGTTGAGTGTATTTGGAAGTTCGAGATCGCATACCCCTGAATGAGTTGCAAAGTAAGCATGTGTTGAACAAAGGAGTTTGAGAGCGTCTTGCCAATATATATCATACCATACTATGTCTGCAGGAACAGTTAGTGACCATAATCAACTATTCTCCAGTTAACCAAGGGCAAATGATGTGAAAATACCCCCCCCCCCCCAAAAAAAAAAAAAAAAAAAAAAAAAAAAAGTCACAACTCACGCAATTATATTCACCTCTTTCCCCTGAATCTGGCTCTCAATTCCACACATGAGCTCTTTAGCCCGTTGCTCGATGGATCCCAACGGCAGGACAGGGACAGAAATGACCACCATCCTCTTTAGGGCGAATGCTTCTTTGACGCCGCGCCAATATTGTACGCCTGGGAGATACTTCCCTCCCAGTTTCAGCTCATCAAATCCCAATAGACCGTGTGCAAGCACAATTGGGTATTTCGGCCTGCCTGAACAAGCATAATGTCCCCGAAGTTACGTATATTGGATCAGCACTGCCTATAGCCAGAAATATTGCATGGATCCCTGGGATAAAGTAGATTTTCTTCTTCTTGAAGTTTACTGACAGTATGTATCCCGAATAGCGGAATATTTATCTTCAATAAGGGGACCCAGCTCCGAAAGTCGTGGATCTGCTGCGTGCGGTTTCGAGGCAGAAGGTGTGGTTGAGCTGAAATGTCGCACTCGTGAATTTGTGGTGTTAAATTGAGAAACGGGTTTACAAGCCCACCACGAAACCCTTGGGTTCCTGATTGAATGTTTCATTCTGACACTCCCTGTGGGCTGTGTATGGATACTTCACTTGCGCTGTTGATGGGCGCGCAAGGCGAGATTCAACTAAAATATATTCAAGTAGTTCCTTGAACAGATCTGGGTGAAATGACGCAACCGAAATTCCTAATCTCTGGAACCCATAATTTGAGTTTCCGTCATTTAACCCCCTGTTTATAGTTAATCATGTAGTACAAGTTTTAACAGTTATGGTCTCATTGTCTAGTTACCTCTGTATCTTTATAAAAACGTTAACTAGAAATCCCATTGTCCAGTGGATCAATACACCCGGAAAATATATGCTATTAGTTACGAAAAGTAATATGTGTAGTTATCTCTTCAAGAAGTCGAGCAAATTAATGATAACATGCTCTCACATAAGCCATTGCAATGTTGCAAAGTACCACTATTCTCTACTGCATTTTGCTGCAGTCTTGCCCAGTGTTTACAGAATTCAAGCATCTGTAAACACTCCAATTCGTTGCTGTTAAGGGACTCTTTAATCTCCCAGTTCCTGACTCCATTTCCTCCCCCTCAAGGAACAATCAAATAGCAGTGGATAATATGTATATAAAAACCCCTGCTAGTTAAAATCCAATTATGCCTTGAACAAGGGTGCATTGAATTAGCCATAAATAGAGCAGATTATGCCCCAAAGAAGTATTTAGTTTGGGAGCTGCTACAAAAATGAACCACGAAACAAAGGATGCTCTGAACAGCTCACATTTCACAGAATAGATAATTGCAATGATGGCAAATTCAATTTCACCATCAGAGACACACTGTGGCATGGTATATATGAAAACAGAAAAGAAAACCAAACCCCAAAATACACACATATCTGAAAAAGAATAGGTTTTACAACAAAAAATGTGAGAGACAGAAACACCAACGACTGAGAAAGAAAGGGAAAAAAGAATAAAAGTCATAACGCCCTGATCCCAATATATATTGAATAGCATATCCCGCGCTTCCGAATAGTTCGAATAAGGGATAAAATAAAGCCACTTTTCGCATATAATTAAACTCACGCAATCCCCACGATTTTCCCCGGTGTTTGCGGCTGAACATCAATGACAGCTTGGATCAGATCCTCAACGACCTGGCTACCCTTTTGCTTGCCAATGTCTCTGATCTGTTGGACCTTCGCCTCGGCTTCCTTGTTCGCTTCATCTTCGGCTACTTTGTTACCGCTTGAGTGCTGAAAGAGATGAAATAATAACAGAGGAGTTGTTCGAGTTAGTCATCCAATTGCCATTGCATACCTAAAATATATGTGATTTTTGGTGCGGAAGAATAAACATTGATCTCCAGCCTGACATAGCTAGGAGGTAAATATTAAGTCATTTTTTCTCACCTCAGCTTCAAACTTCTTGAATTCCTCTTCTTTTTTCTGTCTATATTCCTCAATCTCCTTTTGTGCCTCGGCTCTTGCGTCCTTTACACGCTTCGTGCGGTCTGTAGATAATATCGATAAGTTTCGAGTAATAAGACAAAGCAAGGAAGATTCGTATTCCTTTGGATAATATATGTAATAGAGGGAACTGTTACGAACATTCTCGGGCTGAAATATCAAATAAGCCAGATCAGCTAAAATGTTCTTCAAATATCAAAGTGTCGGGAGTCCTGAGGAGGATGTGAATACCATTCTGAACAATCTTCTGCGCCTCTCTCTCAGCCTATTCGTCCATGAAACCCTTGTCAGCTGTCTGGAGCCATATTTGTAGAGATTCGAGTGCCAGCTGATCGGAGATATGTGATTGGGATGCAATATACATCAAGCAGTGTCTGGATGCCTGCGGAGTTTTGGGCAGACTGCGGAGAAGACCGTTAGCAAGATCCTCCTAAAAAGTAAAAAATTTAATCACGGAATTTATCGATAAACTAACCATTTTTCTTTTTTGCTTTCTTTCGAATAAAATATTACGGTGGGATTTGCTTTGCGATGCAGAATGTGCGGAGGTTGGATTGCTGGGTGCTATCACTGAGGTCATCGACTCGAAAGTTGTTCAGGTGGAAGGGTTCATTGGACGACGCTTCTGCCGCTGCACACCGCTTCCAGACAATCTTCAATTTGCCAGATCCAGGCAAAAGACCTTGGAACTTGAACTTGGATAATTCCACAGCAACCCTTAAATAATATAAAAGGCTATAATTTTACGAAAGGTTGAACTAGAGAGGGCTTCTTCCAACCCTGGAAATATTTGAGAAGTCCATCCATTCGAAACCCGCGTCCTAGGAACTAGAAAACGAAAATTACGGGTTAAGCAAACATGTCACGGGCATCAAAACTTACCTTGGCCGGTACTACGTTGATTACCGCCGGCATTGTCTATTTCGTCCATTGGTCGCAGGAATCTGAGAAAGCTGTATGTTTTCCCCATTCATTCAATTATCAATTGAATCAATTTAATTCACCCGCTATACTGCACCGGGAGTATATATACCGTTTAGTTTTTACCCGATTGCTGACAATTTGTTAGGCGATGCATGCAGGTGTCGAACGAGATCTCGAAATCCAACGGATCAAACAAGAACGAAAAGCAGATTTTGAGATGCAGCGGGCACTGGAAGCTGAATACAGGAAAATCCAAACAGTTTCTGACAGCGGGAATGGGGGGGGTTTAAGTAGCGATGTTGGAACCGGGGTTAGACCAGGAGCTACATAGTCGTCGATATCCGCCTAATTCTTCGCCGCGCACCTTTGGCTTTTGGTCGGCAATTGGAGCAGAGAACAAGGGCAAGTCCTCTGGTTCCTTTTTGCGACGGAGCAGCAAGAGAATTCTGTTCTGTCTTGGGGGAAAATTATGTTGTCGACGTGATTAGGAGCAGGGATATCTCAAACAAGGGCAACTGAGATAACACCGACAAAGGGAAAATTCATGGACCTAACAAATGCGATTACGAAACGAATTACCGATGCAGTGCTGGTAGCACTTTGTACGATATATGTATATATACAAGAAATGATAGAATTCGAGTTTTGGGGGGGGGGGGGGGGGGGGCATTGATTAGAAGAACTACGTTGGACCATATGCAGTATATGCCCAGAATTCAAACTGTCTTCATTCATACATGCAGATATCGATTGAATAAGATTCTGACAGTGGAAAATCCGGGCTGCTGAACACACAAATTAACAGCTGATAAAGTTGGGCATTGGGTTGGGGCACAAGTCGAAATTCCACTTTTGAACAGTGAATCACTTTGGATGGTTTGTTGCCATTTTGCTGGATGTAGACTCGCGATCCATCTGGTATAGTTACAAGTTGAGAAGGAGAGGAGAAACACACGGCGACTTGAAAGAGCTAGCTAGAACTTTGCAGGGGTTCCGTTTGAACGGGAGTTATACCTCGCGGGGTAGTTATTTTAATTATACTCCACCCGAGTGGAGGGTGGCACAAGACTCCCGTACACTCGACGCCGTAGTTTTGGGTATTTCGTGCAGATGTTTCTATTCATAAACTCTTTTGACAGGAGATGGTTATTACAGCGAGTAATGAACACACGCTCATTACTTATTTCTTCCTGGTCTGGAATAAAATAACTAGGTAAACTAGTTAACTAAATAAAATAAATGGCAACTTATGTAATGGCTTTTGTTAAATAATCATCCAGCTTCCATGTTTTGAAGTCCTCGAGTTCCAGCCAACTGCTCGCGTCACAGACATTCCTTTTCAACAAATAAATACCTCGCCCTAGTGCAAAACAGATTCTACCCTGCCAGCCACCTGGCTCTCTTTCAACTCACTCTTCATCAGTTGAGGTTTAAACAGTCATTCCGCATTCGCTTCTGAACTGTTTCCACGTCGTTCGTGGCAGAGCTGGGTTCGTACATGGCCGCTCTAGGGCCCGCCGAAAAATGGTCTACGTGCCCTGGCCTGCAGATAAAGCCCTCTCCTAATGGACCACATATTTCCTTCGTTGCAGGATGCAAGTCGGCCCAGCACCACCCCGCGCAGCCATTATTCGACTTCCCTGAAATGCTGTTGTGGGAGATCAGAATGCGCTTATCTTCAACATAACAACGCTGCACTGGCGGATCTAGAAAAGGACGTTGAAACTGCCGCCCAGTTAGGCCAGGTGTGTATAGTTATTTGAATTGTTTTCATCCCCTGTCCATCTTCTTCCCTGTGTGTTACATTTGTTATTCTAAAAGAGCTGGCTCTGTGCATTGTTTAATGGGTAATTTACTGATTCTCCCTAACATTATTTTTCGTGGCTTAGGCTTTGCTACAGCGTCATGAGGCTTATATAACAGATGCAGAAGGAGATCGGAGCAGACTGCTTTTGGAAATGGAAAATCTCGAGAGAGATAAACGTGAGGCGCAAGCCGAAAACGCACGAATTATCGAAGAAAATCGTGAGCTCTTGGAACAGTTGGAGGAAATGAACAAGGCGATCGCTGAATCGGATGCTCAGATCAAGTCTCTTACAATGACCCTGGAAAGTTCGCAGTTGCAAGTTAAACAACTGTCGGTTTCGGCGTCGCGAGTATCGCAGCTCGAGTCTCAAATTGATGTGATGGAGAAGGAACAGGAAGAGCTGCAGGTCAAACTTATCGTTACTGAAGAAGATGAGAAATCCGCAGTCCAGCGGTGGAGACAGGCTGAGTGCACTTTGCGAGACCTTGAAGGTCAACTGGAGAGAATAGAGAGGAAATCGAGGGAGGAGCAGGAGAAACATGCGGAGCTACTTAGGCGAATGGAGTTGCATAGGACGGTTAAAGAAGAATTGGATACCGCTGCAGGTCGACTTAAAGGTGCTTCAGCAACATCGCCAATTGGTCAGAGGAAGCCAGGAGTGGTTACCAGTTTCGTGCGCGACATTCTACAGGATAATGCGAACCTGCAAATGGGCATCGTCGAGCTCAGAGAGATGCTTCAGGCCTCAAATGAGGAGGTAGAGAACTTGAGAGAACTGATTCTCCTACATCAACCATTGGCATTGGAGACAGATGACCGAATACCTCAACATAAGAAAATCTCGCTTCGTGATGAACTGGATGCGAAATTGCCTCCAGCAGCTTCTCAGGAGTTCCATGTCCATCATCACTACCACTCACCAACCCAAAGCTTACCCCAGCGTAAGGAAAAGGCGCAAACTCCCTTACACCGTCACCAAAGGAAAAGGAGACCCCTGATATCCTCGCCAATCCTCGAATCTCAGTCTCGGCCCTCTTCGCGCCTATCCCGAATCTCACATAGTGCACATGGTTCTGTTTCATCACCATCCACCATACTTTCACAAACTTCGGTCTCCATCCCTTCAGCCTCTAGCAACCGCCACTGTTCCATTCAATCCTCATCCGTAGTGCCAGCGTCGATCTGCTCATCAATACCTAGTTCCCCACAATCCGTCTATAGAACTTCGTCCATATTCGATCGTGTGGATCATGGTTTTGATTCTTCTCGACCCACTAGTCCCGAGAGCAATGGGTTCGCATCTCCCAGTATCAGGCCATATCATCACCGCAAAGGATTGTCCGATATGCCGATACGACCTATATCAGTTCCCCCTGAATTGCAAAATATGTCTGCAGGTTTATCGGGAGGTATAAACCAAGGACGCGATGATACCGTTGAATCTACATATTATTCTGCTGATGAAAGAATACCCCCATACTTCCAACCTCCCATCCCGGAAGAGAGGGAAACTCCAACTGAGGAAATCACGAATGAACAAGGGATGCAATACACAGCTTTCCCTGTTCCTGTCGAAGAACCAGATCCATTCTCTCCACTGTTATATAACACAGTGAAACGCGCATCTTCACACGAAAGCCTCCTCTCCATTTCAGGGATGGACATCCATACACTCCGCTCCCGCCCATCCCAAATGCTCAGCCCCTATTCAGCCCTCCCTATTAGAGCACCAAGCCACCTCACTTCCGCTTGTACGGAATTGTCCTTCACTCCCCCCGTCATATCTCCAATGAACATTATCGCCCCTAGAGTGTCACTTAGAGACGGGAATAAAGGCCCTGACTCTCGATCGCTGCTCTCGTCATTCGTCGCCGCGCCGGCGGAAGGGAACTCCAACGCAACACCATCTGGAGCCCTACCAAATAACATCCCATACCTCCGCCATGCAGACCGTTTCAGCAAGCGGGTTGGCGGATGGGTCTTTGGCAGATGGGGTATGGCCCCGATCGCATCTCCGCGAACTGGGGACCTGAGTTCACCCAGATCATCGTTTGCATCCCCATCGCGCCCTCCAAATGCACCATCAGTCTCAGCAGCGTCGTCTGCGTCGACATTAGCCTCCGCTCCGTCTGTTCCCTCACCGAGAACTTCATCAACAGCGAGGGCGTCAGCGGCGGTAGTATTCAGACCACCCGGGGTAAACCAAATTGGGACAATCTTAGGCTTGCGCCCTCCAGGAAAGCCGCCTATGGATGTACAACCCATGGTCATTAATGAAGATTTACTGCAGGAAAGTTTGCTTGAGTAGCTCTTTTGGCTACCTTCTCAGTGTTTGTGCGTGCGCGCACCTATTGCGTTTCCGGTTTTTTTTTTTTTTTTTTTGGAATTTTATTTTTACGTCCCCATCGTCCTTCACTATTTTGACTTTTCCTTTGGCACTTGGATTTCTTTTACACGACACCGCCTACATGTCTCATATGTACAACACATACCTAACTAGCATATTCCGCACTTATATCTTGCCCTTTTCCTTTCTATTTCTTTTAATATTAATACACTTCATTTCCTTCAACTCCCTCTTCCCAAGCCAAAGTCTGGCATCACCTTTTCATAGATATATACATGTACATGCAATATTCACACAATTTATAAAGTTGATAGGTGATGCCACTTTCTCATTTTTCTTAGTTTACATCTCACACAGAATGGAATCTGGCTGTCGTCAACATCTATTACTTGTTACGCACATCTCTTATTACTGCAAATATTGCATCTATGTATGTACAGCAAAATACATACATACCTTAGGTAGATGTATACACATCTATCTGTGTATCCGTATCTGGGTATAATGCACTATATGCATGCGATCTGACCGTGTCAGCCAGAATTCTAACAAATCCAGATTGAGGGATAATATAATATGTTATCACTCTTATATTGTGCACACACATATATATATATATATAGGCAATCACGAAGAGCAGAAAAAGCAAAGCAGCACACATACCGAATACATACCACACATCATTTGCATTCTCCTACTATGTGCTCTGCTTTGTACCGTGAATTTTATATCTCAAGGCCACTTTTGTCGAGGGCTATCCGCGTACGATCTTTTTGCTAATAGGGGCATGTATGAATATATCTTTAAAAACATAGAAATAGGTACCACTTTTTTTTTTTGACGGCGGATTGGATATGTCTAATAACTGTGCATATTGCAATCTAAACAGGAATACTGCTTGTGCTCCGAACTGTATGTGTGCACAGTACTTAGTTGTACATATGTGATTTGATACAACGAGAAAGCTCCAGCCATTATTGAGGGAACGAAGGGGTACCTACATACATACACGCAAATACATGCCTAGGCTCAGGAGAACGGGTAGGTACAGTGAGGCTTTCTGTGATGTAGTTAAATGGTAAATCTCCTTTTGAAAGAACATTACATGATGCGAGAAGCGAGGGTCCTGTGCTCTGAGAAAGATTGTAGAAATAGAAAAGTGGATTGGATCAAATGAAGTATATTTTGAGAGAAAATCATCTCTCAACACTGAACCAACCTTCCGCAGCTTAGTATAATCAGGTCGCATAACTATATGTAATCCGTCTCAAAAAAATTCCCAAATGACCTATCACCAACCCGGTGTAGGCGCTTCTGAAACATCATATTACACCTACAGATATAGATGCACATATACCAGGATAACAAGCTACAAAAACTCAACTGAGCTCTGATTTGCGCCCGCTTTCCTATCCAACTACCCGCCCAATCTCCAATATCGGCTCCCCTTCGACCGTTGGGGATGGATGACACGATAGGGGGCACATGCCCTGCACGCAAACAGTGGCGCACAGTAGCACAGATAGGAAGAGCACTCCGTGCGAATGACGGGAGGGATGAAGGTGATACATGGTATGCCTTAGGGGGTTTGGGGGTGTGCACGATATGCATGCTTTACAATGTGGCATGCTAAGGCAACCGTTATATTCCCTATATCCGCTATGGAGCTGTTGGAGGGATCTGCAAATGGAATGGATCAAGAGAGAGACATTGTGCGATACAGCGCGTTGCAGGACTAGAGCTAGGATTGGAAGGTATAATGAGATTGTTTGACTGCATGAGGCTAGGTCCAGATTGTAGGGGATTGGATTGGGTCGAAATGGGGATTGGAGTGGACATGCGGGTATGTTACGCATAGGATATGTCTTGCACGTGTGTATATACTGGCCGGACGTCTGGAACATACAGTGAATATTTTGTTCAAGGAAAGTCTTGGGAAAGTCTTGACCGTGGGGAAGGTGGAAGATAATGCTTCCTGAGTTATTTATGTTTCTCAATTCTTTGAACAATATCGTACGGAGAAATCAATGCTGAGAGCATCCCCCCTTTTCCTTCATTATCTTTGTTTCCCCATTTGTTTTCCCTGTCCGCTTCTGGTAACTTTCAGAGACGATTGGTGGTGGATATATATATAGCTCAGGTCGTTTTTGTGTAGCACCTCACGTATACTATTTTTTATTCGCTTTGCAAATCAGGGAACAGAAGTCTGTGCGACAAAGAACCATTTCAAAATGATGTCCAGGGAAGGGGCCTGTATGTATAATTGAAAGACGAAAATGCAAATGCGGGGGCATAAAAGGAGAACCGAGGTATACCAAGAGTATATTTTAAATATTATAACTGTACAAAGTTCAAAATGAATTCCAACCCTTCTCACAGAAGTAAGGAGGCTGAGGCTGAGATCCTATAGGTCTGGATGGGGACATCAGTGCTGTGGAAAAATCCATTCTGGGATTGTCGGGGTGGGGATTTGAAATTTATCTTGCAAGCGTTCAATTTGTTCGCCTCTGGTCAAAAGAGGATTTTTTAGTACACAAGTAACGTTTCACATGGAGGGCTTGCAATGTTATTATTATAATAAAGCAATGTAGGAAGAGGAAAAAGAAAAGTTGTTGCACACCGCATGTGTTAAGAAAAGCATTAAATGTCTCCGAGTTTCGAAGTGTGGAAGAGAGAATAAACTCCTTGATTCCGTGCTTGTCGAATAGTTCTCGTAACGTTGATGATAAAAGAGGTATAAGCTCCCGATCATATATCTGCACATTTCAAACAAGGCCACCGCATAAATGCGTCGTCCTCGTTCATCAGTCACCTTGGAAAATATTGGAGATATGATATGTGGATGTGCTCTATGCATACCAGATCGGCTCCAAGTGCAACATCAAATGATTGATACGATTTTCCTGAAGATGATAGCCGGTGAGGTTGGAATGGATTACCCCACTCCCAAATATCTGCATGTATTCTGCTGCTATCGAGGCTGTTCCTCATTACACAGTCCTGGATGCTGGATATCAATGCAGGGTCTCTGTCCGTAGCTGTCACACTCCGAGCACCAAGACACTTGAGACAATACATGGAGAGAAATCCGGTCCCGCTTCCCAGTTCGATGATATTCTTCCCCGCAATAAGTGCTCTGCCTTCCGGCGTTGAAAGGTATGTGCCCAGGTGCAAAGCCGCCTCCCACGTGCGGAATCCGGTAGTTCCCGATGAAAGTATGAGCCCGCGGTTTTCTGAAGTTATCACGAATTGGCTATCATGACTTTCCTTTGAACCTATGTCCCTGGGAGCTGTATAGCGGATATATGACAATTTCTGGGCTTCTTCAAGGGGTGACTGGCGCGGAAGTGTGATCAGATTGCCATAGCTGCTCACGAGATCATCTAAGATCTCCTAAGAAAAAAAGAACAATTATAGTCAGGATGGATAGCTGAGGATATGTAAAGAATCGTATTGAAAAAAGAAAATAATAATCAATCATATTCGTAGGCTATGATTTAAGAGCCTAGAACTAGGCAAAAAAATAGAGTGAGGGAGCCATACATCCTCTTCTGGGTCGGAAATTGACTCCTCCAATCTAGAGATAAGAATTCTAAGGACCCGGATACGATAGTTTGGCGGCGGAATAGGCCAAATTTGTGTTTCATTGAACATTGTCTGGTATATCAGCTGCTGGACTGCTGGTTTGATAAGAACATTAGTCGGTGGAAAAGAGAGGTGTTGTGGCTCCAGGAGCTGAAGATACTGAGCCACGAGCAGGTCGACCAGGGCCTCTTCTTCATAGTCGACAGGTGGGTGCACCATCATAATGATACCTGGTATTTTGCGCCGTATTGTTGCTATTGTTAATGATGATGATAATGTGTTTGTTGGTTGTCAGGTAGGTATTTTGGAGATGGTTAAAAATGGCAGTAAGAAACGAAATAAACTTTGGGAAACATGCGGCTCAAGCGCCGGCACTGGGATTGCAGTATTGGGACTAGCGCGGAATGCTGTAGTTGGCCCTAGCCGAGAACCCACATCCAAGCATAATCACAAAATACTTAGACATTGGATTTCTCGAACGACAGCGACAACCGACAAACCCAGCAGCCAACCATCCTCCTCCCGCTTCATCAAAGCAGACTTTTCGAACGCCTGTGGTTCACTTCTCGAAAATTCTGCAATCATGGCTGACGCTCCGGTGACCCTGCGGACGCGCAAGTTTATCCGCAACCCTCTTTTGGCCAGAAAGCAGATCGTCGTGTAAGTCATCTTTCGAGTGTGGGATCAGGGATTGGGATATCGTGGTCGATACTGGGAATTGAAGATTGAGGGACAACTACTCTGATTTTTTATTAGGGGATGAACGATATGGTTTTTGTGTTTTTTTTTTTTTTTTTTTTTTTTTTGGGAGGAGAGGGGATACATAGATTCTGACCGGGTACTCTCACAGTGATATCCTCCATCCCAACCGCGCCAACATCTCCAAGGATGAGCTCCGTGGAAAGCTCTCCGAGCTCTACAAATCCAACAAGGAACAAGTCTCCGTATTTGGTCTTCGCACTCACTATGGTGGTGGTAAGACCACTGGCTTCGCACTCATCTACGACTCGACCGAAGCCCTGAAGAAGTTTGAGCCGCGCTACCGCCTCGTCCGCATTGGAGCCGCTGAGAAGGTTGAAAAAGCTAGCAGACAGCAACGTACGTTTCGCAGATGCTCCTATCTTGCTCCAGTCTTGCGGTACTGTATGCTACATGTTGGGATTGACTAACGATGGGAACTTCATTTTACCCCCATTTATAGGCAAACAAAGAAAGAACCGATCAAAGAAATTCCGGGGTACGGAAAAGACCACGGGACCAAAGAAGGACAAGAAGAAATAAAGGAGAGATCTGGGTTGCTTTGCGTATTTTTATGTTATTTTATGGTGCTGGGTGGAAACGTAACGACATGGATTTTGATTTTGCTTAAAAAGGGTCCCCAAACGCGCTGGATGAAATATTTTTCTTTATCAACCTACATCGATGATGTACTTTAGCTGAAAATCAAGCCATGTGGTGAAATTACACCTTTTCTTCGTCTACGTCGCGGTTACGAGTGTTCTTTCTTTCTTTTTTTTTTTTCGTTTCTCTTTTTCTTCGGTCCATTATCCCTCTGCATGTTGTTCTTCATGTGCAGCGATCCTGAAAACAGCCTTGATCTTTTCAATTTTTATGCTATGCTAATCCATCGCAATGGGATTGAGGATAGCGACTGTTCCATGTCTTCAATTTGATAATATGGAAACCCCCTCTCGATTTCACAAAGAACCGCCCCCACCAACAATGCCTGCCACCCACACCTTATGTGTCTTTTTATGTCTTGGAGACCCGAAAATGTTAACCGATAGTTAGGCGTATTTTGAGATCACAAGCAGAGGGAATAGAAAAAAAGTAAAATAAAAATAAAAAACTTGGAGAAATAATACACGGTAGGGACGGGTTTAGGTATTTTGTCAATAAGCCAGAATGAACACATTAGGGTTACTTAGCTGCTTGGAAAGAGGAACATAAAAAGACGTCACTCTAGCAACATACACGCCTCTATCGACGATCCACAAGGGAAAAAAAGTGTATTACGCGACTCCGCATGTAATGCACGGTAAAATACTCAGCCATTATTTTGACGTAGGAGAGACAAATCTTGCCATATATCCAGACATAGGAGACCCGTGTAGGAGCCAATAAGAAAACCCGCACCTCCAACCAATCCCAGTATATTTGGTATTCGAGACATACGCGCAGACGGAAATGCAGAGTCAATAAGATTCGTTAGGATGTCATTGAGATGGATTAGATGGTATGAAATCCAAAAGTAGAGGTAAATAATAAAAAATAAATAAATAAAAATAAATAAAAAATGCAAACGAAACCAGGAAACACACGCAAACAAACGAGCAAACGAGCAAACGAAAAACAATAAAGAAACTTGTGATTACCCCGACCCTAAAAGCCATCAACTTTGCTAACTGCGAGACTGGATATCGGCTTCACTGACGGTTCACAACATCTAGACACTGTTGACTGGTAAGGGGGAAGACGAGTGTAGCTCCTCCCGTTTGTCAAATTACTCGACGAGCCACTACTGGTGCACTGCTTGGGTAGTTCCGTGCTATGACCATAGGCCTGCGCTTGTTGATGCAGTTCATTGTAGCGGTGGGATGCTCCATCCAGTGCATGCTCTGCGGGAAGATGAAATCCCTCAACCGATTCCGTTGTTGGAAACGGTGTTGAAGGCATGGTAGTTGATGGTGAGTTGTTGGATATTACATACCCGAATGTCATATCGGTAGCACCTGTATGGGACTTGACAGCACTAGATGAACTCGCACCGTCGGACATGGTGGAGGTAGCCGTTGTCCTCATTGAGCTCTGCTGGTTGTTGGAAGGCAAGCCATCCATGGAAAATTGGTTTGCGGATCTGGCACTAAGTACTTGGCCAGTCCCATAAGAAGGAGGAAGTGAAGATTCTGTTGAAGATGTGCTGGAAGTCTGTATCGTAATCCCACTTTCGCGACCGTTTTTATTTACTATGGGATTTGGCAATGTCCGATCAGACCCTGATGATGAGGACATTGAGCTGAGAAGGGGTAACGTTGGAGGCAGGTCCGACGATATGGATACTGGAGAGTGTGTTTGTGTCATGCAGTTGTAATTGGATACAAGGGTTGAATGGCCGTCTTGGTCAGGAGAAAGCTTGCCTTTCGAGATTTTGCTCATTTGGGAACCCCGTGGGCTCAGTGGGTAAGAACAGTAGTTGGGGCTCCCCGACGAATCAGTGCTGGGGAGCATATATGGCGGGGATGACATGTTGTATGAAGAGGCGGAATCACCATCGTAGTTGATCTGGCATACGGACATGTACGGGTTTCTTGAAAGTGTGGAAAATTGAGCTGCATGTTCATAGGCACATTGGGATTTCGAATATAGTGGAAAAGCTGGTGTCATCGAGTGGATTAACGTTGAATTAAATCTTGAAGTTGCCTGCGATTCATAGCCAGCCGTGCTGGCGTAGGGTGGACCCAAGGGGCTCGCAGGTGGATACGGCCAGGAGTTACTGTATCCTCCTTTGGCTTGAGTTGCGAATGAATTGACCTAAAGATCATTAGACTCAACCCAGATTCCCAGATGTAGAGCTGCTATCAGTAAAGAGTCAACATACTCGCAAAAACAGGCAATTGGACGTCCCTGCATTTCGACAATTGGTGCATTGACCATTACCGCTATCCCCACTGCATTTGATTTTCCGTCTTCGACATCGACCGCACTTCACGAGGAAAAAAAAAATAAAAAATAAGGGGTAAGCTAGGGGCAAACACAGGTATAGGTTTCGTTCTCATGGCGAACATACCGCAACCTGTATACGTCGTCGAGTGAGTGGACCACTGCTTTTCGCGTCCGGTTCCGGGGTCGAGCCAATTCGACCACCGTATCCACTCGACAGCTCCTGTTGAGCATCCCCACGTATTGGCTGAGAAACTGGATAGCTCATCCCCCGGGAAGATTGCCTATAGAACTGCAAGTCTTCCTGATGATCGTAGAAAGTTCGAGCCATGATCTATCTGTCCGCTCCTTTGCAAACAAGGAGGCAGAGATCAGAAGATATGGCCGTTTCTATTGTCCCGAACTCAACATGTGTGTAACAAAAATAAAACTTCAGGGAAACAACTGACGGCTAAATTTAGAAGGCAAGTAGTCGTTGTGAAGGGCAGAATAATATTAGGTATCTTTTAATATTTTCCAAAGATAGAAGGGGGGAAAGGTAAAGTAATTTTTGGGGCAATGTATCAGGGCATGGTGTGGGTTTTAAGGGCTCTGTGCAGGTATATCAACCGATAGAACGAAATTGTCTGGTTAGAAAAGCCCTGCCTTACATCAGGACATAAGCCAGCCTGTGGAGGCGAGGGAATTATCCAGAGTTTGCCTGGATTATCTATTATGTCCAATATTCCTTGTTTGATGGAACATACTTCTTTATCATGTTCCACTGCTGGTCCTATACACCTGCTATGATCCGTACGCTGTAGAACGTCCTTGACGCAGGGTTCTTGGTCGAAGGAAGTGGTGCAGCTTGATGAAAAACCAGGCTGCTACGTCTGGCTGCTCGGTCTGAGGTCCAGTGCCACGTAACGTGTCCTACACGGTATTTCTCACTCTAAACGCCATCCTTAAGGTGGGTGGTAAAGGTGATACCATCAACTGTAGAGAGCATCATTGAGAAAAAACGGTAAAAGGCAAAAAAGAAAAGAAAAGAAAAGAGAAAAGAAAAGAAAGAAAAGAGAAAAAAGAAAATATAAAAAAATTGAAAAAGAAGAAGACGACGAAGATGAAGAAAGAATATAGGCTATCCAAACACCGGATGAAGGAAAAGATTTGGAGAACAAAATTATATTCAGCCCAGAAAACAAAATCCTTATTTGCAGACTTCGTGAACTGAGGTCAAACAAAGACAGATGAGAAGGAGAAAAGAAAATAATAAGTTGAGAAGGTTTGCAGAGAAAACTCTGATTCGAGCAGGCATCCGAAAAAGCGTTTGCCATTAATGAGAATGCAGATGTTGATTGAGTTGTTTGCTTCCTGCTGCTGATCTCACTTCAGGATGCATGGAAGCAAACATCTCACCCTACCATCTCCAGACGGCAAAATCCACTTGAATCACAAACATGATTAATCAAAAATGCCTCAAATCGACGTACCTTATAGGGACATAGTATCTTCAACTAGAAATGAATGGCAGGACATCCCCGACATTCAAACAAGATGCTCCTACACTAGGAACTTGGCAATGTCTGAGATCTGAGGAGCAAAAAGCTTGTTCAATGTTTATGTTGTACTTGGTCTTCTACCTCCCCATCCCTGTCAATTTGGCATAATTTAGACCTTCAATGACTCGCAATAATAATTTTCCAAAAAAAAAAAAATAAAATAAAATAAAATAAAATAAAATAAAATAAAATAAGAAAATAAGAAAAATAAAGTTAAAAAAAAGGAAAGAAAGAAAAAAAAAGGAAAAGAAAAGAAAGACAGATCTTAGTCTTTTTTCAGGGTCCGCATGGTTTGGTTGACGATATGTATATGTTAATGCGTTGTTCTATTCTGATTGGAAGGGTGAAGCCATATCCAGAACAAAGGACAGCGGAGGACGCCAAGGAGGCAAAAAAGGGCTTCCAGTTCCCAGGATTTGCTGTGAAGAATTAAGACAAGTGAATATGTGTGTTTCATGCATCTCTGAGTCGTAGGCAAGGCGAAACCGTGGGACAGCCGGGGTAAATAGACGCGGGGCTTATGAGAATTTACGCTTACCGAGAAAGCATTGAGTTGACTACTCACTAAAACAAGGAGAAAGTTCAATCCTTCAATGGCACATATATAATGGGGTTTGAGGTGTCACATCCGAGAAGGAAAACCCCCCCTCTTATCCCGTAGCGATATGCAGATAGGGAGGTGAAGGGGTAGGTGGAAACTTGAAATCATAGGGTTTTCCAGAGACTTTCGGGAAGCGGGATCTCACCCCTGGATCATATTAGTACATATACAGTTTTGTGCATGAAAAGGATTTGAATGTTATGCTTGAAGGACCCATCAACAGGGTTGCTGTCTTGCAGCCACCATGGATGGCCCGATCCGTCTCCACGTGTGTACGCAGGAATTGCAAAAAACACCCCCCAGAAGAGCTGGTAAAATTGGTGTCAGACAAAGCTAAGAAAACATTATGTGAGGGAACGGGATTTTCAACGGTCCTTCTTGTTTCCGTGAAACGGTTGGGGGCAAAGAGGGGGCGGGGGAACTGCCGAACTGGTGAGGCGATCCAGAAATGGCAGCATTGGGGTTCTGTGTAAGTAGAGAATAATTGGTAGTCTAGGGAATTTTAAGTTTGGCTTCGCATCAGATCTCCTCGGGCGATTGAAATTTGAGGAGTGCTGAAGAACGTTTGGCATTTGGTTGAGGTTGACGTTGGGCTAACCGCTGTCAGCTTCAGTTCCAGAAACACCTTCTTTGAGGAGGTGGGTGACAAACAAATGAGAATCATCCACATTAAAATAGTCCGTCTGTTATTCTCCGTAAATGAAACCGGAATGCTTTCTTAACATACATAACTAGTTATGTATATAACTTATATAAGGTTGATCGGAGACCCTTATCTGTTAAAGATTTGCCAGAGGAGTTCACAAGCCCTGGTTAGGTAGGTCATTAACTAGACAAAAAAAATGATTAATAGACACAAATCATCATAACATCAATATATTATCATATCATATCATTTGCCACTGCTTCGGGAAGACCTGAAGGGGAGGTTGAACATTGGATGATCAGAACAGGCATGACTGTCTCTGTGAGTCTGTCTGTGTGGTGTGCGAGGCGTCAGTCACGACAGCAGAAACTCGACGCAGCCAACGGGCTCTCATTGGCCTAACCAAAAACGGCACAGTTCTGCCAAGCCAAAAGGTTCCTCTGTCGATCCCTCCAACATTCCAAAAGATCTCCAACTCAAGCCTCACTTCCTTGGCTACTTTTGCAGCTACAATATCTCATAACTGCCTTTCGCAGTATCAACCAACCTGCGTAGCCATCGTATGCTGCATATACATATCCATTATTTGACGGATATTCTCCCACGCATACTTCCACAATTAATGCTCCCCCCCCGGTTTCATCCCTCCCGGTGCCTCACTTTAGTCCCTTGTTGGGTCAACATTCTTTGCCCTCATGAGTGTCATCTTGGAGACCTCGTTGGGTGATGTGGTTATTGATCTTTTAGTCGACGCGACCCCCAAAGCTTGCGAGAAGTACGTCTGTTAATTTTTCCCGTACCCCGCTTTTCTCTCGTTCGTTCGTTGGTTCGTCCGTTCGTTATCTCTACGTATTCCCTATTTCCCCCCCTTTACCCCTCCAACAAGTTGTACAAATGTGAAGTGGCTGAAGGGTGAAAACTAAGATTTCCAAACCGTTGCAATCCAGTTTTCTGAAGCTATGCAAGGTCAAGTATTACAATTTTTCTCCGGTATACAACGTCCAGAAGAATTTCTCCTTCCAGACCGGCGACCCCATAGGTCCCGACTCTAAGGACAGCGATGGAGGGTCTTCCATATGGGGTCTCCTCAACGGACCCTCACGAAGGACATTTCCGATCAAGTTCCCACCGAAAATGAAGCACACAGAGCGTGGCACGGTTAGTATGGCTACGGTCCCTTCCACAAAAGACCTCGACGAGCGCCTGGCGGGAAGCCAGTTCATTATAACCCTTGGTGATAATCTGGACTACCTGGATGGGAAAGCGGCTATTTTCGGGAAAGTGGTGGAAGGATTCGATGTCCTGGAGAAAGTAAACGATGCGTTTATCGATGATAAGGGACGTCCACTTAAAGATATTCGAATTCGGCATACCGTGATTCTAGATGATCCTTTCGACGATCCACCGGGGCTGGTGGTACCCCCAGAAAGTCCACTGCCTTCGAAAGCGCAGTTGGCAACAGTAATGATTGCAGACGATGAAGAGTTAGACGAAAATATCGACGAGGTGGCGGTAGAAAAGTTACGACGCGAGCGCGAGGCTCGGGCACAGGCTTTGACCCTGGAAATGGTTGGGGATTTGCCGTTTGCTGAGGTCAAGCCACCAGAAAACGTCCTTTTCGTGTGTAAACTTAATCCTGTAACTCAAGGTGTGTAATCACACCTTTCTTCCGTGATTCAACCTACATACTGAACTAACCAAATCAGATGAGGATCTTCATCTTATTTTTAGTCGGTTTGGGCCGATATTGTCCTGTGAAGTGATACGAGACAAGCGAACTGGTGACAGCCTGCAGTATGCGTTCATCGAATTTGAGAACCAGAAAGACTGCGAACAAGCTTATTTTAAAATGCAAGGTGTTTTGATCGATGATCATCGAATTCATGTTGACTTTTCTCAAAGTGTGAGTGTCATTCTTGTTCTTATACCTATCCTTCAGCTGTAACTTGCTAACGTCTATTTTTAGGTTTCGAAATTATCGGACACTTGGCGGAACGCAACAAATTCCAAAAGAGCTAGCCAACGAGGCGGGTTTGGAGGAATATCTACTTTAGAGAAGAGGCGCCAATACAGAGCCTCAGAGGCGCTTCGACGAGATTCATATGGAATGGTATTTGACAAGGAGGATATGCGCAGAAAAGGCGATTTTAAATCTTACAGACATTCTCGGAGTCGGAGTCGAAGCCCACCTAGAGGATCCAGACATAGAAGTAGGTCACCCTCGCGTCACCATTATGACGATGGTGATAATAGGCAATACAGAGGGAGCAACAACTCATCAAGGCATGGATACGGAAGTGATAGGCGTAGGCGATGATCAAAGGCATAGATCTCTTAATTAAAATACCCAGTGCAAAGTAGCTATATAGTTATTTCTCTGTAACCATATCAATTTGAAAACAACAAATTCTCAAACTACAGGTCCCTTTTTCTTTGTTTTCCACAACCCCTGAAAGAATCATTCAATATCCTCTGGATAAAACAACCCCCAGATAGTTGTGGCTGCCAAGAGACGTAGACCTTATCCGCAGTGGTTCCCATCCATGTCTTAAAGCCTAATGGTTGAACCCCTTGCCCTGTCAAAATGAAAACAAGATTCTCCAAACAATAGCGTTTTTCTCCTGGCGGTAATTGACGACCTTTGACCCACTTAGAAGTTGATAATTTTGGCAGGATTGGGGCAGTTTTTGACTGTACAGCTAAAAATACAATCTTTGGTGGGGCATCATCATCTAATTAGTTCCAGGCTTTGCTTAAAATCAACGTCCTCCCCTCTCTTCTAGTTCTTAAAAAGGTAAAGCAAACGAAAGTAGTCAGAATTCTACGTACTTTCTTTTCTTTTCTTCATCTTTTCATCTAACCCAATCACATATTATTGCTGCGGCAATGTCGTTGGTCTCAAATATCATGGACTGCCTTCCAATTGGTGAGAGTGAGAGGGAGGCAGCTCAACCCCGCGAACCGTCGCAGGAGGAGATCAATACGCTGAAACGTAAATATGAAGAGGCAGGACAGGGACATGTGTTTACCTTCTTCGAGGAGCTCAAATCAACCGAAAAGGCTCGTCTCTTCGACCAGCTCTCCAACTTTGATCCAAACCGCATCAATGAGCTTGCCAACACTGCCCTCAATCCCCCCGCCGCCACGCAAGGTGCTCAAAAAACCACCGTCGAGCCCTTGCCGGAATCCTCCACGGCATCCATGATTGACTCAGATAGTGACTCTTTACAAAAATTCTATAATACCGGTCTTGAACTGATCGCTGCCAACAAAGTGGCTGTGGTATTGATGGCTGGCGGCCAGGGGACTCGGTTAGGTAGCTCCGCACCAAAGGGTTGCTTTGATATTGGCCTTCCAAGCAAGAAATCACTTTTCCAGATACAGGCAGAGAGAATTATAAAGCTGCAGCAATTGGCTCAAGCGTCATCGGACAAGGACAAGGTTGTTATCCCTTGGTATGTAATGACCAGCGGCCCAACGCGGCAGCCCACACAGACGTTCTTTGAAAAGCATAACTTTTTTGGCTTGGAGAAGGAGAATGTTGTAATATTTGAGCAAGGGGTATTGCCATGCATATCCAACGAGGGGAAAATTTTAATGGAGAACAAATCAAAAGTATGTATTTTTCTTCATTTCTTTTTATCCTACAAGGTACCTAGGTTCTCCCGCTTACATACAATTATTTAAAACATAGGTGGCAGTGGCACCTGATGGCAATGGCGGCATATACCAAGCGCTTTTAACATCTGGAGTTCGAACAGACATGAGGAACAGGGGAATCAAGCATATCCACGCCTACTGCGTTGACAACTGTCTCGTGAAGGTTGCTGATCCCGTCTTCATCGGTTTTGCAGCCTTCAAAAATGTCGATATTGCTACAAAAGTCGTACGCAAGCGGAATGCCACCGAGTCCGTCGGTCTCATTCTGCTGAAGAACGGGAAACCAGATGTCGTGGAATACTCCGAGATAGACAAGGAAACCGCTGAGGCCAAGGATCCCAAGCACCCTGACGTTCTCAAGTTCCGCGCAGCGAACATCGTGAACCATTACTACTCATTCAGCTTCCTTGAGTCCATTGAAGTCTGGGCCTCAAAATTGCCACACCATGTAGCCCGCAAGAAGATTCCTTGCGTCAACTTGGGGACGGGGGAGATCGTCAAAGTTGAGAGACCCAACGGGATTAAGCTCGAACAGTTTGTTTTCGATGTGTTTCCATTGCTGCCGCTTGACAAATTTGCCTCGATTGAAGTCAAGCGGGAAGACGAGTTTTCACCATTGAAAAATGCCCGTGGCACGGGGGAGGATGACCCTGACACTAGCAAGAGAGACATCATGCGACAAGGGGAGCGATGGGTCCGCGCTGCTGGGGGTTTAGTGGAGAGTGAATCGGAGGACGCTGCTGGCGTTGAAGTTTCTCCGTTGATAAGCTATGTGAGTATTACGTCTACACAACATGGATTCCCGTTATACATTTGAACCTGGTTCAGACAAAAAATACTGATTATGATTTCACGTAGGCTGGAGAGGGGTTGGGGTTCTTGAAGGGTCGAGTCATCAAAGCACCAGCGGTAATTGAAAGCGAGAAAGCAAATGCTTGAATCCAAATGAGATTGTTAGCAGGGCCCTCTGCAGTGTAGTTGTCGTGGGGATAGCATTTGATGGGTTAGATTTCTTCTCAATCAGCAGAACATGCTGAGGCAACACAATTCAAGAGACATTCAGTAGTCGCCTTGAATAAATCGCTCTGGCCATTTTCAAAATGGCTATGAAAACAGATATCTATAGGTCACTGTTTGCATTAGTAATAGCACAACATGGTAACTATTTAGTTATCTCGAAATGAACTTCCTTCTCTGCTATAACCCGCTGCATAAAATAACTTCAAGAACAATGATAATACAATGCATTTCACCGTTTTCTTTGTATTCGAAAACGGTGTGGCGCTAGCCTCTTTTCGGCTAGGCGGTCAAGCTTCTCAAAATCTTTTTCTCTTTTCTGCTTAAACGCCCGACGACCATCATTTTGTTTCAGACCTGCAATTCATATCAACATCACGCCGTTTCTTCACACCCTGAAAGGATTGTTTTTGTGGCTTGGTGGGATTGGAGAGAAGAAGCAGAAGCAGAAGTGAAGGGTTTAGTTAGATCGGTGTGCCGAGTTTGTTGTAAGTTCTTACCTTGCCCCTTGAACTTTGTGTGAGAATGCATCACCCGTCCTCTGCGGTTTCTTCCATACGTTTCCTGTCCACCCATTATGGATAGCTTGAGAGACGGTACTGTCCATGTTCGTTAAGCTAACAAGAATAGGTCATCAAGAGAAGTTGGGAAAAGTTGCCTCAACCGAGTAATTTTAATTGTTTTAACCGATATAACTTGCCAGTTGTGAGTTCGCCCCGATGTGTTGCGAAGACTGTTCCATGTATACCGAAACTGCGGGTTGTTTTCTCAACCTCCCAACCTGTTAGCTACTATCTCCTATCCGACCCTTCCATCCCGTTAAACTAGCATACATTTTACACCAACCCTATCTGCCCCAGAACATCTGCTACCTGCCCTTATCCGTTTCTCGCATACCCTTTGTATTCTTGTCTTGGAATGTTATTTCACATAAATTATGAACTTGCATCCGGAGACGATTTGAGAACTGACAGTGGAGACACGACTAGCAATATAAGGAGATGATGGCCTCACGCCGTGCATGCTACAAATGTGGCAACATTGGTCATTATGCTGGTTAGTGAAAAAATATGCCATCAGAAGATTTTTTCAATCGAGTTGAGGAGCCCTGGCTGATTGAAACAGAGGTGTGCTCGTCCGCGGAGCGCTTATGCTATAACTGTGAGTTCTCTATTTTCGCAATTGCCCTCTTCTCTTCACATTTAGGGGAGTCAAGACTAATCAAAGCTCGCACAGGCAAGCAACCCGGTAAGACTCAAGATGCGAAAAATGGACTAATGTCGAAATTATTTCCAGTCAAACTAATGATCAATTAGGACACGAGTCGAATGGCTGCCCGCGTCCTCGCACAACAGAAAGTAAGGAGAGTTTTCTTCAACCCCAGGTTTACTAATGCGGAGATATATTAACAGTTCTCTTTTTCCCACAGCGAAACAATGCTACCATTGTCAGGGCCTAGGACATGTGCAAGCTGACTGCCCAACCTTGCGCTTGAACGGGGGTGCCACGAGCGGCCGTTGCTACAACTGCAATATCCTTGGCCATCTGGCTGTAAGAGTTTTCATTGATTTGTCTATTTAAATATAAAGTTTTATTCTGCCTAGCATCCAAAGACGTTTTCACTGACCCTAGTTCACAGCGGAATTGCCCATCTACCGGCATGCAAGGTGCCGGAAGAGGTGTTCCATCAGCCCGTGGGGTTTTCAACTCTCCCTTCCGTGGTGCATTCGCCGGATATGCCAGAACTGCTACGTGCTATAAATGTGGTGGTCCAAACCATTTCGCGCGGGATTGCCAGGCTCAGTCTATGAAATGCTATGCATGTGGCAAATTGGTTAGTTATCCCAAACTATATATCAAGGGGAAATAAATGACCCCGAGAACTCCATTTCCATTGTCTAACAAATAGATGCAGGGTCATATCTCCCGTGATTGCACTGCTCCCAATGGTGGACCGTTGAGCTCCGTAGGCAAAGTCTGCTATAAATGCTCCCAGGCAGGCCATATCTCTCGCGATTGTCCGACTAACACCACCGAAGCCGTTGCTTCGACCGCTGCGGAGCCCGCTGCCGAGACCGCTGCCGTGACGGATGCTAACGTTGCCCCCGTTGCTGCAGCGCCCACTCCGGCAGTCGCTTAAAGTCGATATCTCAATCAACGTCCACACCCAACAATCCGTTAGGACTCTGATGGAGCTCTACTACGATCCATATATATACGTTTCTTTTCCTTTGTGTATTTGGTGTAAACCCCGTTCGGCCCTTTATTGTTAATCGTGTTCATTTTTATTTTCTTCATTTTTCCTCATTTTTTTTTCCTGGAAAGGGTTTGCACATATTATGTCCCGTGTCAGATTCTCAAGAATCGAGGTCTTTTTATGTATACGAAATGCCAAATAAAGAAACAGGAAGTTAATCATGACGAAAAGGAAAACAAATCAAAGCAAAAAATCAATGACCTGGAATCCGGCAACGGGCTGAATAAGCCTCATGAAATGGCGTCAATTTGGCTGACAAAAAAGTTTGGGGAATAAAGTAAGGGAGAGGAAAAGTTTCAAATTCACCTTCTTTGAGGAAGATATCAAAAATTGAATTTTAACTTCAACAGCAAGGCCTAATGATGGAGGAAGAAAATGTGAGATTTTCGAAACTTTCTATATATTGCATTCATCAAAATTAATTATGGACTGTGGATTGTGAAATAGAAGTTGTCGGTGCTGGAATGAACACACATATTCACATACTGCCTGTTAATATCTTTTTACATCCTTTGTCCATCCAGGTTTTGCCCTCTCTCAACATTCTCCTCCTATGAGGTATGGTGTGGTTATTTATTTTATATTTATCCTTTTCTCAACATCAAATTTTGGATCTTCTCTCGCCCCATTTTTCCTTTTTCCTCTCTCTCGTCCTAGGGATTGGGAAGGGCTGGCTGGTATTTTTCTTTTGTACCTTTCACTGGGCGTCAATTTGTTGGTGATGCGCACAACACGACATGCTGTGTATTTTCATATAAGTCTCGTCAAGTTCTATTTTGAAAGGAATGGCCTCTCCATCTACCTACATGAATACTGAAATGGCTCTGCTCGCAACATCATACTTGTCATTACATTTTTGTTTTTGCTATCTCTTTCTCCCCACGTCCTTTCGTCATGTAGTAGGAGATCCTGATGGGTCTGCGTGTGTCCTCTGAGGCTGGATGAGGCTCTGCCCGTCCTCTCCTGATCGGGAAATACCCGTGACCCACCCCCCACCCCGACCTCCCACTTCTTCAGAGAAGAATAACCTCATTTGTTTCAAGGACCATCAAGTCCAGTCATCTATCTGATCTGTTCGTCTGTAACCTCACCATCTAGCTATTCCTAATCTCATTACATCTTCACCTGAAGTTATAACTCACCCCTTACCTACCCGAGTTGTTAGTGGTGATAGCAGAGCTGAGCCGGCAACAAGATGCCCGCATCAAATGCCAGTGACGAGTTCGATGATGTGAGAACCAAAAGAGGCTCCCCTTCCCTCTCCCATTTCCGTTTTCCCTTCTCTTCCGAAAGATGTAATCGACTGTGCACTCAAATTGACCGATTTATTTTGTTCTAAAGGATATTTTCATCGTCGATATAGACGGCATCCAGGCTCATGGTGAGAGTTCTTCACATCTCAAGACTTCAAATAAGTAACTCAGCTAAAGGGGTTATCGTGTAGGTGTTGGAGCAGCTGATATTACGAAACTGAAGGCGAACGGATTTTATACAGTTGCTGTATGATATTTGACCCCGGAATCTTTGTTCAACTACACCAGCTTGAGCACCCCACTTGCTTTAAAGGGGAACATTTCAAAGGTACTAGACTCAGTCCAAGACTAACATTAGGCCAATGGGAATCGTTGGACATCCTGTAGTCTGTACACGGAGCCACGAGAAAGACGCTTCTGAAGATCAAGGGTTTTAGTGAAGTCAAAGTCGAGAAGATTAAGGAGGCTGTTCAAAAATGCCAGGTATATATGGCTCTGCCAACATCCTTATTCTGAAGTCCACTAAACCCTTCTTACCCGTGGTTCAACGTAACTGACGGGTATCCATGCAGCCTTCAGCTTCTGGATTCATAACTGCAATGGAACTAGGCCACCAGCGGAAACGGGTCGTGAAGATTTCCACTGGGAGTAAACAATTTGACTCCATCCTTGCAGGGTCCGTTGATAACATGTCCTAGTTGATTTTTATCTAAAAGGTATTAATTGTATTAAGCAGTGGATTTCAGAGCATGAGCATCAGTGAGGTGTACGGCGAGTTTCGCTGTGGCAAGACACAGCTCTCGCACACCATGTCAGTTGTGGCGCAGCTTCCCAAGGATATGGGCGGCGCAGAGGGGAAAGTAGCCTATATAGATACTGAGGGCACCTTCCGACCAGAAAGAATTGCCCAGATTGCGGAACGCTTTGGTGTTGACCCAGACTCCGCATTGGAGAACATCGCTTATGCAAGAGCACTCAATAGCGAGCACCAGCTGGAGCTCCTCAATACCCTGTCAAAGGAGTTTGCAGGCAGTGAGTATCGATTGTTGATAATTGACAGTATCATGAACTGTTTCCGTGTCGACTACTGTGGTCGTGGAGAATTGGCGGATCGGCAGCAGAAGTTAAACCAGTTCCTGATGAAATTGGCGCATATGGCGGAAGGTGCGTGAATAATTCATAGCCCACTCATCCACTTATCCCCTTTCCAACACCCCAGACTCAGAAGCTCACAGTTCCCGCGACAGAATTCAACGTCTGCGTTTTAATGGTAGGTTTCTCGAGAATGAGAGAAAGCTTCAGCTGGTTCCCAAGCTTACCCCAACCTACAGACCAACCAGGTACAAAGTGATCCTGGTGCAAGTGCCCTGTTTGCAGGTGCAGATGGTCGTAAACCGGTTGGAGGGCATATCTTAGCTCACGCTTCGACCACTCGAGTCTTGCTTCGGAAAGGTCGAGGTGAAGAAAGAGTTGCAAAGATCCAGGATTCTCCAGGTAAATAGTTACTCCTTTTCAAACCACCCCCAACAAAAACAATAAATAAAAATCAAAAAATCAAAATAAAGACAAAGGACATTCACCATGCTGTTTTAACTAGATTGCCCGGAGCGCGAAGCCACTTATGTGATCACGAATGGCGGTATCAATGATCCAGACAAGGTCTAGATTCTATATCATGAAGGGCTAACAGCGTACAAGAAAGTTTATAATGTTGTGTACTGTGTCGCGAGAAATTGTTGCATTTTTGTTCTATAGTTAACAGTTTATTCTATCTTTGAAGTTATGATGTTTGAAGTGCTCTGATGTCGAGCGGGAAGGATTAGCCGCAGTGCCAAGCCCTGATTTTCGTGTAAAATATCCTTATCTAAATTCTACTGTTAGCTTAAACATCAAAAAAAATATATGCAGAATCATAAATTCAAACTAGACAGGAGTCAAACTATTTCAACAATGGCGCCTAAAACACCCTTTCCGCTGAGTATATCCGGCTACTCAGTCCTACCAGTCGAGTTTCCCCCAGTTCCTTCATTCCCAAACCCTGCGACGCATTACCTCTACCTTCATCCTCACGAACCACGAGTTCCCGACCCAGACTCCGCCCGCTCTCTTTTCATCGTAAATATCCCAGTAACGAGCACAGAAACGCATTTCCGACATTTATTTGGCGCTCAATTAGCCTCTGGTCGTGTTGAACGAGTTGAATTCCACGACTCAATTGCTAAAGACTCTTCAACAGTTTCACCCCAACCGCCCACGATTAGCACTACCACCAGCAACAGCAAGAAACGAAAACGAGACACTGTCCAAGACCTGCAAATCAAGCACGATAAAATGGAGCTCCCATGCACATGGAACCGTGAACTCCACACCAGCGGCGCACATGCAGTTGTAGTCTTCTTCGATCGGCCCAGCATGGAAGCCAGTCTCAAAGCTGCGAAAAGGGCCGCGAAAAACCGCACAAAGATAATATGGGGTGAAGGGATCGAGAAGGACCGTTTACCAGCCCTCGGAATCCAGAGATACAAAACACATAACAAACTACGGTACCCGGCACGCACCGATCTGTTGCGCACAGTGAACGACTACATGGCCATCTTTGGCCAGTTTGAGGAGGCTCGAGCACATGAAGCGGCTGCAGCCGCTGACGAGCCTGATGAGGATGGCTTTGTGACCGTTACGCGGAAGGGGAAGATTAATAATGTTGGGCGCGAGGAGGAGATGAAGGAGTTGTTAGAGAAGCATAAGGAGAAGAGTAAGGGGCTTGAAGACTTTTATCGATTCCAGCTGCGGGAGAGGAAAAAGGAGAGGCAGACGGAGTTGCTGAGGAAATTTGAGGAGGATAAGAGGAAGGTTGAGGAGATGAGGAGGAGGAGGGGGAAGGTTAGGGTATGTTTATTTTCTATTTTGTATTATCCCCTTTTCTCTCTCTTTTGTTTTGTTTCTTCTCTCCCCTTTTCGCCCGCAGGATGGTTATATTGGTGTAAATTGGTGGTACTCCTCGATATGGGCTCCTTTCCTACTTTCATTCTTTAATACTAACTTATTTACCCCTACAGCCTGAATAAAAAAAATTCCTAAAACGCGGGGATTTGAGAAATTATGGATAATGTGCTGCAGATGTCGGTCCGTATCGACAACCTTGCAAATTTCGCGTGCACGCGCCTCTCCAGGAGGAACAGCACACTCAAACACACATGTTCATTGATGATATCGGTTATTTAATAAGGAGACAGACACCTAGCGCTTTGCTTGCTGGAATAAGTCTCAATTACAATAATTTCTTCCAGGATCCTCAACTCCAGCTCCCTTTAAATGCTGTGGTGAGGTCTATTGCGCTCAGATGTATTTCCTAGAACACTGCGACACGGACCACAATGGAATGAGAAATATCACACACAGAATCCATACCCGCTGCAACCTTTCTCCACTTCCAACCGAGCATCCCCATGTTGCTGTGTGCTTCGGGGGCTAAGGGCCATGGAATATCCATTTGAATTATCGGTCTGTATTAGCGCCTGACAGGGGATTTTTCCTAAAAGTACCGTAGCTATAAATTCTCAAGAATGCTGTGAAAGTTGTCATTGCATCTACGATACAAATAGCAATGTAATACAAGGTTAGATATCGATGTCATCTTGGAAAACTAAATCTCTGCGACGACGTCATAGGCTTGGCATTTGTCAGGTTATCACCTTCGGCTGCCTAGCTGTAAAAGTCGCAAGGTCAACCTGTGAAATGAGCTTTACGACGGTTGCGATTGTCGAATTTAAATACAGCTATTTGAAAACATATATACGGAGACGCTTTTGACAGGATTGGGGTCAAAAATTATATACTCTGCTCCCGAATTCTGTCCTTCCCACAACCCCGCATCGTCCTGTGTGAGGACGATCTCTAGCAGATATCAACATCCACATTTATACCAGAAACTACCCTATATATATTGCCTTGACGAGTCCACACTCCTTCACTTCCCTCACTTTAACAGTTTCCAGCGCCTCAACCCGTTGCCGCTTGTTTTAAAGCCTTATCGGCCGTCTCATAATTGTACTTTAAGATACCAATTGGTCCCCAATACCCATCCTGAACGAGAGTCCACCAAGCCCGTCTGGATCAGCAGGAGAAGGAGGATTCATGCCTCGCTCACTGCCCTCCCCACCTCCATCATCTGCATACTCAACCTCCGCAATCGCGACAAATCTCCCTCGACAGAGAAGGCTGTCTCTAAGACCAGGTTGCGCCAAGGAAACTGCAGTCATAAACTTCGTCGACAGCCACATCCTCGCCATAAACCGGCGCCACGCGAAGAAATTCAGCAGCGCATTTACGGACAAAGGTGAGACAGAGGCGGAGCGTGGATATGAGAATTTCCGCGAGGTCGCGAAGGATATAGAGGCGATTGTTGACGTGCTTTGGGTTAGCGCTACTCGTAAGTTTTGTGTTTTTGTGTTATCCTCGATCCCGCTGTTATCTATTCTCTCTATTATTCTACCTTCTATGGTTGTATACATTATCCATTAACAACTCACGGACACGAACAGCCTCCCTCCAAATACCATACCTCATCACCCTAGCAGGCCTGTTAAATACCTACCTCCCAGACTTCCCCTTCTCCGCACGCGCCACATTTAAACTAATAAGGAAATTCGATGCTATCTTCGCCTCACTGCTTCTGGGGGAAGATCTGCAGACTGGGGCCCCCTTACCTGGTTTCGAAGGCAAGCATGGCGTTGTTTCAATGACCGAGAAGGTGAGAATCAAGAGTATTGCGGAGAGCGCGCGGATTATCGTCGTGGGTGCGCAGGAGAATGGGGATGATGAACAATATGGTGATGACGACGAGGATGACGATGGTATTGACGGAGACGGGGACGGAAGAGGAGGGGAGTCATGGGGCACGGAGGATTTTGGGGATGGCCTTGGGAGGTGGGACTTGGAGTCTGGAAGGGTATATCAGAGGACAATTCAGATTCTGGGTGATGAGCTGGGGAAGCAAGATGGGTAGTGAGGTGGGAGAAGTTTATATTTCATAAAATGGCAGGTTCCAAGGTTATGAAGGAATGAATTGATGACCGCTACAAGATATATAGGATATGAATATACATGATATCTATGCCCGGAATTTTCATTGAGCTTTTTTTTTTTTTTGTGGAAGTGGCGTCAGCTAGTTAACTACATACATGGTGATGAAGATTGTGGCAGCCCAGTCAATTTTTGCATCCCACGCTTCCTTGCAGATCTCCGATGCATGGCGTTGCGCTATGCCGAATGTGGCTGTTGATTTGTGATATGCTCAGCTCCAGAAATAGGTAATAACAGTGCCTGGCTTGCCTCAACTATCCTCAGGAATGCAGAAGAGGTTCAGCAAATCTATGGCAACCACCTTACCTTACCCCGCCACCAGCGAAAGCGCTGTTCATTGGCTTCTCTGGATAATTCCAACCAGAACCTTCAACGGCAATGGAAGGCGAGCATACAATCAATGAAGACGCGCCGATCTCTCCTATCAAGCTAAGTGGAGTAGCAGACGGGCTTCCTCAGATTGAGTTTCGGAGCTTAGGATATTTGTCATGGGAGTGCTTAGCTAGCATCCGAATGTCTAGCTAGCTAACTTTTTCGCGAGTCTGGTTTACTGAGTCGTGACACGGCGGGTGCTGAATATCAACCTACATAACTCCGTACAACCTTGGGATCGACAATCAGCGTGTGCAGAATCCTGATAACCTGGAGCAGGGCGATTTGCCTTGCGGACATAGAACATCACCATCGACACCACCATAGCGGCCATCACTGGTTCACCATAAAGGCTCTTCTAAAACGGCTGTTGGGCAGTTTAAGAATTGTTATGAGTGGCGGGCCCGGGGCTGCAAGAGCAACTGAATCGATTTAAAATGATTTCCCCCTGTAGCCAAGAGGATCAGTATCAATGTGGACAGGAGCTCGCGAGTCCGCTCGTTGGTATCGATGAGGAGCGTACCCATGAAGACTGAAAGCTTTGTATGTTCTTAAAAAACATGAAGCAGGGGAAAATAAAGGAAAATCATCATGGGCTTCTAGGCTGACGTCGTAACTAGATATCATGTCAGACGATTCACCATAAGAGTATTCGTCTGCCAGACATACCCCTAATCCTCCTAAACTTGATGTACTCGATCTGGCAACTTCTGTCAGTGGGAAGAAAGCATCTAGTATATCCCGTAGCAGACGGACTCGTCTCTGCGCGATTGATGTGCCCTATGCGCTGCTGGATTGCGTTGGGAGAGAAGGGAGCTGCCGCGTCTACCGAATCATCGCTGAAAATAATGATGTCTTCACGCTGAAGAGAGCGAATTTGAGAGATGTTAACGAAGCTACGGTCAGAAGGAATAGAAGCGAAATTGACCAGCTCAAGAAACTCGCCAAGGTCGATCGATCGAGTTGTCAACCTGCGGGACTGGGGGCTTGATAGAGAAAGGCAGACACTTAACACAAGTGCATATCATCATCATCATCATCATATCTCCACTCAAAAATCTGTTTTGTGCTGGTTATTAAAGTAGATCTAGTTCAGGTGATAGAATTCGGTCATTTGGATTTTTGACTCGGCTCACAAGCGCTAGATCAACTCTACAGACGCCCAATTCGACATTATGTTCAAACGACATTACTGGAAAGAGATGTTTGAATGTCTCACTGCGGTACACGCTTACAACATTGTACACTCCGACCTCATTCAAGCGTGCCAAATTTGTTCTCGTCCGAGGGCGCTTGGAGATCATTATTGTCTTCAGCATCGCGAACCTAATTGGCGACGACACCGTGAATGTACGTCGCGACCACCAAATAGCTACACCCAACTATATGGTCCCAGAAAGCTCTGCTCGACAACTGCTCCAGAAGGGACAATTCTTTAGGCACCGGTGAGATGTTGATCAAGGTCGGAAAACCCAGCGATATCTGGAGCTTGGGCTGCATATTATATCAAATAACATACGGGAGGGCTCCGCTCGGCCATATACCAAATCATCTGCACAGTGCCATGCCCATTATCAATCCAATCATACCATTGACTACCCTGCCCTCGGGATTAGCGGAGTCAAGCTTCCAGCTGGCCATCATCCAAGCCTTGCAAGCATGCTTGAGGCGGGGGCAAAGGCTGCGTCTGACCACAGACGATCGTTCTCTCCCCGTCCGACGTATTCCTATCGCCCGATAAACCGTCAGATCCTGGGAGAGTCAAGAGCAGATAGACGTAATCCTCCTGAAATGTTGTGCGGCTCTGCCGTTTAAGTGAGCCGCCTACAGATGATAGAGCTGTCAATTGGTCGAAGATATTCTCTGATAAATTTGTGCTGGCTGACGAACCGCCGCGCCGCTGTAAGCTTTTGCATTGTGCATGTAGTGATTCTTCAAATGTATTGCTATACCCATCTTCCACTTTTATTTAATTGCGTTATTATATTAAGGGTTGAACCTTTATGATTTTCTCCCGCCTTTGAATCCTGCTTATTGTTTGCAGTGCTGGCCATATTGCCTCGAACTGGATACGTCGTTGCGTTGACATCTACTCTAGATGCCATTTTCTATATTTTGATTTGGTCTCTTAGCGCTGCATGATTGATCGGCCTGGATGCAATCATTGCATGGATTTATGTTAGCGCTAGAAGACTGATAAACGGATGGGAACACAGCAGCTGAATCAACTAACGTTCAAGTTGATCACGTACACGTATTTATTATATACCTTAATCAATCTCCTCTCGCGAAAACGGTCCTTCATCGGCAGGGATTGTAAAGGAAGAAAAGAAGAAGAAGAAACAAAACACTTTTTGAAAACGTTTTCAATCTTCCTCTCTTCAACCATCGAAATTACTTTTCAATCCTCAAACCCTCCAACCGCTAATAATAAACACATAACATGCAGCCATTACCCTTCTCCGTCCCCAGCCCCAGATACCTGACGATAGCAAATATTGCTGCTCCTCTTTCCGCTCCTTTGATCCAGAGTAAGAAAACCAAGATATTAGAAACCATTGAACATTGAAACAATGGCTCCCAACGGGGACCAAAGCCATCATCCAGTTTCGGTCCTTATCCCATGACTCAGTGGGTTTCCTAGGTATGGCAATAAAAATAGCAGCCCCGGTGCTCCCGTGCAGATGGCGTTGTGAAAGGTGTTGTTTCACGCGATGCGACTTGGGTGTTTTTTTTTTGTGCATAAGCTGTAACTAAAGGGACGGGGTCTGATCGGGGAAGGAAAAAAAAAAAACCCCTGCCGGCCTTTTCTCTCTTCTTCCCTTTTTCTTAAATCTCCTCAATTGATCATGATGAGTTTGTACGGAATAGCTACTGTACTGTTCATTGGGACCAATCTTGTCAAAGCCTTATTTATTAGAGGCATGGTTGGTTGCGACCCAGGATGTCGTCCCTCTTTCTTTCAGTCTCTCGAAACAAGCGATTCCTTTTTTCCTTCCTTTGTAAGTTTATTTATTCTCACTTCCTCTCGAGTCAGCAAAGCGATCTGGCAAAATGCCGTTGTTTCTTGGTTAGGGGAGTAAAGCAAGGATGCGCCGGAAGCAGAATAATCATCATCATGTCGTGCAGTCAGCTTCAGCGCACTATAAAATTAATAGAGGATGTCCGGATCTTTCCTTCTCCTCCTCTGATCATTTCTGCCTGTCAATGCCTTTGGTGGCTTGTCTGTCTGCTCCGCTGTAGATGCATATAATTTGTAGTGTTATGGATGTTGCTGCTATCCATGACGTTTATATCGAAAGATGGAGTACAAAAATAGCCCGTATTATCGTCAGTAGGGAGCGCCGCAAGAACGAATTTTTCTCTCTCTGCATGAAATGGCTAACTATAAATAAATGAAACAAAAACTTGTGAGAAGAACCCTTTAGTGCAAGTAATAGATGACTTTTCCATCCGCAGCTAATTAGTTAACTAGTGAGTTAATCCATCCGCTAACCAAGGTTCTATTTCCACGGTTCCGTGCGAGACAGCCTCGTTTAACCACGAAAGGAACAGCTAACCAAAACGACTGCAAGTTAATCCATCCTAAAAAGGTTTGCACCCTATCTAAACTTACAGGGAGTTCTACCTAAACTAAACTACCTAGTTAGCCGGACCAGGATGCATAATGACAACATCGCGCCACGCATCCAAACGAACGCACAACAACAGGAAGCGAGTGATAATCGTTCTCCGCAAACTAAAAATATAAACCAACCTCCGTTCCTTCATTGGCATTTTGAACCTAGGGATCTTGCTTTCTTAAACGGGGTTTTTGGTTTTTCGTTTTTCCTCTTAGTCTCTTTCATATCAACAGGGAGGAAAAGGGGGTGGTGGTGGGGGGTTTGTTTGATCTATTCAAATTATATGTCTGTCCTTTAATTTTTTTTTTCCCCTCCCACCCCGCTGCTCTCTGCTATATCCTTTATTCAGCACCTGCGATCAATATGGGTATGTATATTGTTTTAGGCCTCAAGTCTGGCCTTAAAAGGCGTGGACGAGAAGTGTGGTCCGTTGCTTTTCGTTAAAGTGGAAAACCGGATTTTAACTTCGAGAGGTTTTGTCTCTGTCTCTCATATACCTAGGATATGCTCATTTTGGCCCTATGTCCACTCGCTACCGAAGGCTAGAGATGCGTAGGGTTGCGCTGAAGGAGATAGAGATCATGTTCAACTTCAATAGTATTTACTTTTTGATAGCTGGTGACTGCTGAGCACTGGTAGATACAACGATTGCTCAAGAGCTGTTCTCCGTAAATCAAAGTAAAAATAATAAAAATGTCAAAGTAAATTTTATTTTTCTTTAAAAAAAAAAATAAATTAAAAAAATAAGAGTGGATTCACTTATGAACTTCCCCTCCTGACGTTTTTGTTTCTCGTGTGTCCCTTGCAGCCGTTCTGTTTTCCCACTTTTTCTTCAGTGTTTCTGTGGCCTGAAATAAACTTTAGACCTTGTCGGGTGAGTCGCTTCTGGCATTTCGCCCCCCCCCCCCCCCCTCCCCCTTCTTCGTCCTCCCCGTCGTTTGTTCGTCATTTCGTTCCTCTTCTTCTCCTCACTTTCCTGAATCTTCTTTTTTCTCTCTTCCTGCCTCTTCCTCTTCTTCTTTTGCTTCTTTTCTCTTCCATCCTCTTTCTTCTGTCTGTTCTAGTAGTTAATCCTTTTGTGGTTAGTTGTGCCTTTTTTTATTTTATTTTATTTTTTATTTTTATATATTTTTTATATTTTTTATTTTAATTTTCCTCCCCCCTTCCTAATAATCCAATCTCTCTGCCTGGCCCTATCCCCGTCTTCCCTTACCTCCTCTCCCCCTCCCCTCTCTCCCACCCCTTAGTTCCTTTATTCTCTTGATTCCCCCGGTTCCCCCCCCTCTTCCCTCCCCCCCACCACGTTTAAGGAAGTCGAGTTTTTGAGTTGATAATTCACCGATTTAGTATTCCCCTCTTCTTTTCATTCTTCCATTTTATAACAGGAAAATCCGCGCGAATAAGAAAAGGAACGCACGTGGAAGACGAGAAAAAGTTGTTCTCTGTATTTCCATATTTTGCCGTTCTGCGGGTGCAAAGGAGTTATTTTTTTTTTGCCCTTCCGTTGCGTTGCCCTTTTTGATTTGCAAGCACAAGCAAAAAAAAAAAAAAAAAAAAAAAACCCCTAATCCCCCGCCCTCGTTTTGTCATCATTTGAATCCGTCGACTGCCTTCCACTACCGAACTACCACATAATTTACTCTCTCCCCAGTCCACCCACCAAATCTCGAATCATATTTTCCTATCCTCCATCCCAATCATCCCTCCATCCCTCCATCTCTCCATCCATCCACCAACCGACCAACCACATCACACACCCCATCTCTTTCCCGGAGGATTTCTGCCCTCTTGAATTTTATATTTGGTAAAAGCAGCATTGAGCGTCCGCCTTGCCCGTTTTTCTAACTTGTCAAAAAGCCTTGCCTCTTTTCCTTTTTGGTGCAGCCGGAGTTTGTCATTCGAGAATAAAACTTGTGGTGAGTAACGTTGTTTTCCCACACCCTTTTACACTGTAGTTTCAGCGCACAGTCGTAGTGGTCCCCTATCTATCATCAGCATCAGCATCAAGCATCAGCGTCATTCCCCATCGTCAGAACCCCGATGCGATTTCGCATTTGCCATCCCCCAAATGCCCCTTTTTCTATGACCCATTCGTCTTCCCTGGGATAGCCCCTCGTGGTATCGATGGATGGGAGCTTTGAGAGGTCGGGTGTGATGAGGAGTGGTGGTGGTGGTGGTGAAGAATCGTCGTTGCCTGCGCATTCTTCAACCACCGCCACCAACCACTCTTCAGCCTCATCCCTCATGTCCGTCATCCATATCGTTCAACGAACTACTCCACTTCATCTTTCTTTTCCCTCCTCTCAACTCCACCCACCAGCATCCTCACATACACTCTGGAAATATCTTGACGCTGCTGCCACGTCTGAAGAGAGCCACTTGCCGCATTCTTCATTCTTTGACCCTGATTGCAAGTGAAAGATGAGGTAAAATTTGAGGAGATCTGATGGCTGAGCACCCCCACCCGCCTACACACACACACACACACACACACACACGTGTCTACACTCTGCATTCTCGCAATAAATAATTTAAAGAGAGGATTAAGAGAGCCAAAAAGACATCATTGCCATGGTGACGAGAGGATGAGGACTATGGCCTCGTAGCAATGGTTGTGTTGCTCATTCTATTTCCCCCTCCCAAAGAATTCATCATCACAACAAGTCTTGAATCTGATCCCACTGTTCCCGGCAACCAATAACCCCATCTACCCATTCCATTCAACATCCCGTTACTGTTAAGCTTAATAGTTTTGAACCCTGCTATCTGTCTTCTTCTCTTCCTCTTATCTTCTTTTCTTCCTCTCTTCCTTTCACTGCTCTTCTCCACTACAATAAAAACACCCTAGCAAATCTCAACGGTTCATCGAGTGACCCTTGGCGTTTTTTTTCTTGCGTCTTTTTCCTCGTCTTGCCTCTGTGTGATTTTTTTCTTCCTTTTTTTCTTCCCGCCTTTTCTTTTCTCCCCGCACATCCGCTCTGCCAACCTCTCTCATATCCACACCTCATCTTCACTTCTTCATCGTCTTCACTTCTTGCTTCCCTTTATCTCCCATCATCTCTCACACCTCATCGCCCGCGTGTGTTACCTGTTCATTGTCATTTTCTGCCTCTCTTCCGTGTTTTTCCCCTGCCTGATATTCCTCTCGTCTCCTGTCGCTTTCAACGCGCGCGGTTCATTCCTTCGTCTATCTTTGTTCTATACTACTTCTGTCGCCGGTCAATTCATTCCTCCTTCCTCTTAACTCCATCAATTGTCTTCATTCCATTCCATCCTTAACTTCATCCGATATCCTCATTCTCTTCCCATCTCTTCCAGCCGATTCGTCTGCTAACCATAGCCTCTCCAATCCTTCGTTTACAGAAACGTGAATTATTCTTCCTTGTCGATCCTAGACTTGTTTTAAACCAGGTGTTCATCGCTTGTCTCTCCTTAACGACCCTCCTACGAGTTCAAGTCGCAACGGCCGTCTTCGGAGAATACCACGCATTACAAAGGTTTATTTGGGCGCAAGGTGTGTGTGTTTCCTAGCATCAATTTTTTCTGTCGCTACGGAATTCCTGCCCTTGACGCGATAGGCCGATTTTATAAGCTCATTTTTTCCCTGAGACGATCGACTTTGAGTGCTCGACTTTTTAACTCTTAATGGGGGATGCTTGGTTGTCGCGGGAACGGAAAAGCTGGACAAATTTTCATTAGCAAATCCGAACAATCTTGCTGACTATCATTTTTCACCCAACTTCAGGTTCTTAAGCACATCTTCGTTTCTCACATTTTCTTCGATTTCATTCGATTTCACCCAAGTCCTATCCTCTGCATCATTTCGCTGGTGTCGCATAATTCGCATCTTGCCAAACCTTTTCGATCCCTGTGTCGATATCGAACCATGTCCTTCCAAAACTTCGAGTCTTTCCAAAACCAGCACGGTGCTGCTGATTCTGCCACTGCCGGATCTGGTGCTCCTGCCACCGCTGATTCTGCCATGGCTGGACAGTCGGATCCTTCCCCTGCTCCTTTCCAGGGCCCTGCCTCTGGTGAGGCTGCTTCCGGGTCTGCTCAGCAAGGTGGCGATGCCAAAACCACTCTCTGGTACGTCTATTGATCCATCGATCGCGACATGCACGTGCTACAACGTCGTCGCACAAATTTATCTTGCAAACAGTGCGTAATTGGAATTTCACTTTGTGGCTGATTTTTGTGTGACTTTAGGATGGGTGAGCTGGAACCCTGGATTGATGAGAACTTCATTCGCAACCTTTGGTTCCAGATGGGTGAACAGGTCAACGTCAAGATGATTCGTGACAAATTCTCTGGGTACGTGGCGCTCAATCGTCCTCCTACTTCTCCTGTCCCCGACTTCCATTTGGGTTGTTTTATCCCTCACATTCCGTTCTATTTTGGCGTAAAGGAAAAAAAAAAAAAATAAAAATAAAAATTGCGCTCTAACGTTGATGCCCCTAGAAGTAACGCCGGGTATTGCTTCGTTGATTTTTCCAGCCCTGCTGCTGCTGCAAAAGCTCTGACACTCAGTGGCACCCCGATTCCTAATACTTCCCGTACCTTCAAGCTAAACTGGGCTTCCGGTGGTGGTCTGGCCGATCGCAGGTATGTATAACAGGTGATTGCGCAAACCTAGCACCACAATGCGCACTGCTGACTAGCTTCTTGTTAATATAGCCGAGAGGAGCGTGGCCCAGAATTTTCCATCTTCGTTGGTGATCTTGGTCCCGAGGTTAACGAATACGTTCTTGTTTCTCTCTTCCAGAGTCGCTTCCCTTCTTGCAAGTCAGCCAAGATCATGACGGATCCCATCAGTGGCATGTCTCGTGGATATGGATTCGTCCGCTTCTCTGATGAGACTGATCAGCAACGCGCTCTTACCGAAATGCAAGGAGTTTACTGTGGCAACCGTCCCATGCGCATATCTACCGCTACTCCCAAGAACAAGGGCCCTGGCGCGGGACCTGGTGGCGCGATGGGCATGCCTGGAGCCGGACCCGCTGGTATGTACCCTCCCATGGGTGGCCCTCCCATGGGCTACTACGGTGCTCCCCAGCCAATGAACCAATTCACAGATCCCAACAATACCACCGTGTTTGTTGGAGGGCTATCCGGCTACGTCACCGAGGATGAGCTACGTTCTTTCTTCCAGGGCTTCGGCGAGATCACCTACGTCAAGATCCCGCCTGGAAAGGGGTGTGGGTTTGTCCAATTTGTGCAGCGTCATGCTGCGGAGATGGCTATTAATCAGATGCAAGGATATCCTATTGGGAATTCGAGGGTTAGGCTTAGCTGGGGTCGTTCGCAGAATAATTCGGGACCTGCTGGGACGCCGTATCGTCCTGCGCCGCCACCACCCATGTATCCCACCATGGGTATGCCACCTTCCCATTCGTACGGTGGTGGTTTTGCACCGATGAAGGTATGTTTCTGATCTGTTTCTTGCTATATATTTCCTTCCCCGACTACACCTCGTCCTTCCATTCCAGTCTTTTGAAATTCAGTGACCGCAAAACATCTAACCAACCATGTCTTCATTTTAAATCGTGCTAGCAGTAAATGCATCCCTACACTTTAGCGTGGAAAGCGCCAGCAGGAGTTTTTGTGTTGCCCTATTCTCAAACCAAAAAAGATGGGTTCCTTGGGTCTTGGTCTAGCGAGTATCAAAAAGAAAAACCGTGTCAAGCTTTGTAAATTTTTTTCCTCTTCAAACTTGTCCCCTTTTTTCAAATTCTTATTTCCAAAGACTCGTACATCTATCTTATCTACTCTTTAGCTCTTGATGAGTGGTATTCTCCTTCCCTTTCGCCTCTTCCAAATCTGTTTCCTACTGCGAAGTGCCAGGCACCTCCTTATTGACTTTTTTTTCCTTCTCCCCCAAATAACGAGTGGTTTTATGTCTTGACTTCCATTTTTTTCTCAGCTTGTTGTGTTTGTTCTTGCCAACGTTCCTTTTTTTTGTTTTGCTTTTTAACAGTTTGTCTTCGCCAAAAACTTGTTTTTTTTTTATTCGCTTTTCAAATTGAGAAAATCCCTGTTTTTGTTAACTAGCCTGTTCCCAAACCACTTTCATGAGAGAAGAATTTCCCCTTTATTGTTGTTTATTTACGTAACGCAACCCAGTTTTCCTTTACTGAAATTTCAAACTTTTCTCTTTTCTTCCTCTTCTCCTTTTCCTTACTACCCCTTTTTCTCCTTCAATATGGTCTCTTTCGCTTACTTTCTGCTATGTGTGATTGATTGATTGATTTTAGTTTTAAAAAACGGCTGCTTTTATTTTACTTTTCCTCCTCAAATGTTCCTGTTTTCATTTCCCTCCCCCTTCCTTCCGCTCCCACTCCAAAATCTTTACTTGACCAACGAATCTTTTCCAGCTTAAGCTCCATGTTACCGGGAATGACTTTACGCATGCCCGTGATAAATTACGTTAATATCCATGTTTTGATGATGGTGGGACACACACCCTGCAAAGCCCAAAGCGATTTGGGGAAAGTCTTATAGCATGTATTAATATTTTTTTTTTTCCTTTCTCAGATGAGGCGAGCGGGGTTTTGCTGTATGTATGTGCTCTTTTGTCCTGCTTGCCTGGAATTCTTTTCCTGCTTGGGTGCCTGCGACTTGACTTTTAAAATTTGTGCCGAAGGGTTGGTTCTTTACCTCCTTACCTTTCTCGTGGGTGTCTCTTCATGGGTTCGGTATCTGTATGTGGTGGATTGAGATGGTGTATGTACAACACTATGCTGGCTGACCTTGTCTTGCATTTTAGAATATTGCTCGTTTGGTTTGGTTCTGGGTTGGGTTTTTTTAAAAAAGGAATTGGGGTAAGAGAAGGATTGGCTTGAGTTGCTCTTTTTTTTTTAATGTATACACGGACAGGTTATGTTGGTTTTGGTGGTCTTTTGTGTTTGTTTTCTTCCTTCCCTTTCGCTACCGTTCTTTTTCTTCCGGTCTTATTTATCCTCCTCGAGAATGCGAATTTCCGAAAACCTCTGCTGCTGGTGATTTCTTCGTTTCCTTGCCTGGGCTTTTCAGCGGAGGAATTATCTTCTCTTCTCTTTCTTTTTCTCCTTTTCACATTTCTCACCCCTGCCAGATCAGTTTAGAAATTGATTTCTTGACTTGGAGGGCCTACCTGTGTCTTATATAACGCTAAACTGGGTTATTTCAAGGTTGTGTCTGTTCAAAATGGCTCTGGTCTTGGTCTGGCAATTTACAATTTCTGTGATTGTATACAACAGGTCTCTTTTTCCCTGTTAGGTAACTAACTAATGTTTTAGATGCAAACGGATAAAAGATTGACCATTCTTCTATTCTCTACTTGTGTTGAAGTTTTTTGTCTTATGAGGTATGCATGTCAGTCAGAACCTAGGTATATACTACTATCATTCCAATTGCTAAGAACTTGATTATATAATCCACCAGTTTCCGTTGAACGTTCCACTCCCATGTAAGTTCCGCTCTGCTGGATCCTACCTGCGCGGCTACAGACGATGGTTACCCCTTCTTTCTCGAAGCTGATGTATGAGAACCTTTATCTAGGGAAAGGCATGCGGGGTTTTTATCTGTTGCTTTTTAAGGCAGGCCCAAAGAATGTATGTTCGGTTCCATCCGTTTAGTTAAAAAACTCATTTGGCCCTAGTAGTCAGTCAGTGCTAATGTACATGACCCTTCAGCAGACGGGTAACTACGGGGCTATGCATGCTTGAGATAGAACTGCTGGCAACGACGGCCAGTGGTTACTTAACGCAGGATCTCTTAGTTAACGATTGCAGCTGCCAGTGCAAAGGTGATTCTTACCTATTTCCAAGTCCTTTGATGGGTGGAGGAGGGCCCAATGCCCGGGGAAGGAAGAGCCAGATCCGCACTCCAACTTGAGCGAGAGTGCCTTCCTGGAGCCAGTCCCAGAGGGACTTCCCCATAGAATATAAGAATGACTCCATTTTCCTCTGTTTGTTGTGTTTCTCTCTCTCTCATCCACATCCTCATATCATCATCCTATCATCGCTGGCAATACATGAGCATCACGGTGATAGGGTTGGGGAGTGTGTTGAAGACTCTCGTTCTTTGCTCCTTTGCTTACAGTCTGGTCTGATATGCCCTACGGCTGCTACATTACCACTGACTATCGGTTTTCCCTCTGTAGTAACCCCATCCTCCTAAAAGAGAGAGGGTTACAGACTGTGCGCTTCAAGAACTAGTAGCCATGCGGTTCGAGAACTGGGACGTTCTCCTTTTTCCCGAAGGGTCAAAGGTGCCCATTCAAGAGTTCAAGACACAATGCTTCGTGACCAGGGATACTGGTTAGTGTAGTCTCTTATTTGCTCTCTATTTATACCACTGTCTGGCAGACCAAATGCTGAGGAGTTGTCTGCCCAATCTTTCCGTAGAATCTCCCTATATGCACATTGAACCTTTAATCCATCCACAGGCACATTACGCACAGGGAGCAGTTGGCTACACCCCCATCCTGACGACTTTTATCCCGAGCATGCCTCGCAACAGCCCATTTAGGGTATCTGTTCATAGCTGGCAAAAACCGATTCCTACAAAGATGATGGAGAGTCTGATGCATCCAGAGGACTCTGTCGTGTTTGAGATTCGAGCTTTTATTGATGGAGACTTTGTTGCGTATGTAACCTCATGAAGCAGGGTTTTCCACGGCGTATATGTGTCTTACTAACTGTTGTACGTGTGAAGCGGAAGTCTTGCCTACCAGAGGACTAGTTGGCCTCTAGTCATCGGTATGTTGCTTCCTCTTTGCTTCAGAGATTATTGGGAGTTGCTTTTGGATTACAGTTTCCCATGTGCTAACAATAAATTCTAGACTCGAGTTCTCGTAAGCCGACTAATGCAATGAGAGGTAGTTTCTAGAGCCTACTAATAACTTAGTGATTCGCGTACAAGATTTTGACAAAAATGGTGACCCGGACACCTTACGCTTTCCCGCGTTCCATGAAGAGATGTTACAACAGTCTCACTGGGAAGCTGGGGAAGAGTTTGGCCGCATCAAAATTGTCATCGCAGAAGGCTATTCTCGGCCAAATCGAAATCCACCCTTCGAGAGAGTTAGGGATCTCATCTTCCTTTCCTTTCAACATGCTCCATTGAGTAAGTCACCACCACGATCAATGTGCATACCAACTTCATAATAGCTCATTAAACTGTCATAGATATTTTAGAATATTCGAACTTAGCCTGGCCAAACCCGGGAATGTGGCAACCAGCCTCACGTCCCAGCCTGAGGTACAATTTGGGTGTGGACTATGGTAACAGTAGAGAAGATGACGATGCTCATTCCCATTCTCCAACCCGCCCAGAACCCCGTGGAATCGGCATCCCAGACACTAGCCGCTCTTTGCAACATCCTGTGTGGCATCAGCGTCTTTACCCTACCTCGCAGATGCAGTGGCCGCGGAGCACTTTTCCTGAAAGGGAGTCCAGATGGCCTTTGCAACCTGTAATCCACGATCCATTCGTTGACCCCTTCAGGGCTCCAGGATTCAGTAGACACGCCCGTTCAAGTTTGGACGATGTGCCCATGCCAGACTACGTTGGATCAAGCACAAATAGCAGTCGAGCAATATCTGGTATGACAGGCATTAGTTTTGGACAGCAAAATAAGCAATCTGCTGCTGTTGCATCGATCAACGATGAGCAGTATAACAAATTGATCGAAGCCCTCAGCCCCAGTAAGCTAACAAGCGGCACTAACGCACCCACCAATACTCCAGCTTCCGTTCCTCCCGTAGCCTCCAAGCACTCTGTAGCGCCAGAGACTCGAGCTATGTCACATTCCAGACACCCAAGTCGCCCTGGAGCTCTAAAGGAACTGCCACAGCCAGGAGTGCGAGCTGTCTCGGGTTCAAGCGCCCGATCGGATAGCGATGAAGATTTCGGAAGCGAAAATGCACCTCTTCCAATCAGCCTTCTCAGCCCAAGCCCACGAACGAAAGGGCAAAAGGAAGGGACTGGGAGTGATGCAGACTCTCCACTTCATAGCTCTGGCAAGAAAAACGCGAATAGTGTGAAAGTGTTCAGAAGATCGAAAAACAGTCTTACGGCATCCACCGAGTCCAAACGTAAAAGGTCCGGTACATCAGACCACCTAGAAATTCCAGAAGACAATGACCATAGAAGTCCTTCACCGGTAAAGAAAACATCTCGCAGTGGCACAGAAGAAGCCATTCCCAAAGGTACCTCTGAAGAAATGGTTGAGCCAAAGACAAAGCTCATTACCCCAGGAAAAGAAGTGGAAGGAACAGCATAAACGCCCACAATTCTTCATCTATAATTATCGTCCAACGCGTCTAGTGTTATCCTAGTCGAATACGCAATCAGTGATGGGAGACTGGTGGAATATATTGGTTCATGATACATCACCATACCCACTGCTTGATATAGATGACATCCTTTAACAAGGCCACAGCCCTTTGTGTGGAAGCGATGGTAATGTGCAAAATTTCATTATTCTCTGTTTATTCCTCCCTCGCTGCTTTGTTGTGCCTTTAGCCCAAGTTTAGCCATATTTTTCTGTTTGTTACCTGGGATTAAAATACTGAAGCGGGGACACATTTCATTGAAGGATGAAAACGACAGGGTGGGGATACAGCTGGCCAGATTATAGCACCTTCGGAGATTTTAATGTGGACGGTGTTTCCCCATGCTTTCTAAAATCAGTTCATCTGTTATTCTATCCGGATTCTGGTTATAGATATACTTCTATATATGAAGGAGACTTCTAGTTTATGCGATACTTGTTCCTTGTGTGTTCTGTGACTCTGTCTCCTTTTTCTTTAAATTTCGTTCTGTTCTCTTACAGGAGAGGGATATGAGAAATGCTCAGTGTGTTGATTTTCCTTTCTGTATATAAAATTATTTGATATTCGGTTGGCATTTCCTGGGGCCTCTAGAATTCCACTGGAATGTTTCATCATTTGGCATCCCATTTATTTATTTATTTATATTTTTATTTATATTTTATTTTATTTTTTTTGTTCCTAAGTTGATGGAATATTCTGCCTAGGTCATCTCTACTTTCGCGTCAACAAGTAACCCTGACAGTGAATAGTTAATATTTCTCTTTGTATTCTCTCGGAAATTCACTACATTAACATTCAACTTAATATTTTTGATTTGATGTATTGTGTTGTTTTCTTATCATATCTTCATCTTTTTCACGATGCACTGCCGACTCCCGTATTGAACTTTTACTTCCAGTATGGCTTTCCAGAGCGCCTTTCAAAGCAGTCCTGCTGATTCTCAGAAAAGATATTCCTCTGCTGTTGTTGATGACGACCGTAATGTCAACAGTGGGATGGGGTTTTCCAGAATCACAATGGATTTGTTTCAGGGGCCAGTGATCAAACTCAGTCTGGAAATCAGAATTCAATCATGAATGGATGGATTTCAATACCCCCTTTCTTCGCTTCAGGGTCCCTACCCATCTCAAAAAACAACTAATCGAACCCTATCCCTCTGAACTCCACCGCGTCAAACCAACGATTTCAACTGCAGCGACCCCTGGAATTTTAGGGTTGGAGTCACCCGGGAAATTTCGCGTCTCCGGCACAATCCTCGCTCATCCAGTTTGGGTTTTCTGGTTTCCAAATGCATTTGGCGGATGTGGGGACCAGAGTTCGATGCAGGCACATTTCATGGCCAGCACAACTTCTTTTGGAAACAGTGAAGGTGTAGGTGAATTCACTACCACTGCACAGACGATGCCGCTGAAACCCCTGCCTCAAAAGAACTCCAAGACCATAAACCGGTTGGAGGACTATTTGACACCTGTACTTCCAGTTCCAGAAAATCCATTGATGAAATAATAGCTGTTGCAGCAGCAGTGGCTAGCTCAGAGAAGCCACAGAGCAAGAAATTTGGAGACCTGGACATAAAGTACATTAGCCACCTTGAGGCGGTCTTCTACTTTGGCATTATTTCCCTTGTGGCTGGGCTTTGTTCAGAATCAAGTTACAAGACAAGTGGAAGGGGAAATTGGACAGCAACGATCACATACCGTGGCGAGAGGGCTTCTGCGCACATCCCGTTTCGAGATAAATTCATTGCTAGAGCTGAGACTTGCCACATTGCGCTGAGAGGGTTGGAGATGGATTCTAATTTAAATGTGCCTGAGCTTCCAGGGCATGCGGTGGGGTTGACTCCGTGGGTTTGGTCGGTGTTGCTTGAGGGTATGCTATATTATCTCTGCTTTTCTTGGGATCATTTTATTTTTTCTTTAATTTCTCTTAAAGAAGAGCTTCCTTGTGCCCTTGCCTTCGCTGAATAGATTAAAACAAACTAACAAAATTGTGTTCTCATATAGACTATGTCAGTGTTATCGGCTGGCTCCCCCGGATTTCACAAGATATGTCAATGGTGACGGGTTTCGGTATAAAGTCGATGTCGGAGGGACATCATATTTTGGCGCTCATAAGTTCTACAAGACCGCAACGGAGGCTATCCACGGATCCGCACATGCTGCCCTTCGTAGCCTTTTGATTACCGAACCCGAAAACACGTCGTTGTTTCGAGGGATTGGCTTTGGACGAGGGATTCCTGCGACAACTCCCAAGGAAAAAGAAACTGCACGAGCGGAGAACCCACCAGCCCAGTCGCAGGTAGTAACATCAAGATCGCTCATAACCTGATATATATATACATTGAGCACCTTTATTAGCCCCGAAACAACAGGTTACTGAAGCAGTTCAGAGATGACGGTCAGCCAGACTCCAAGCTTTGGCTGGTGACGCCGGTGCGTCTACGGGAATCACTGTCCAGACCTGTTGTGACAAGACTACCGCGGAATAGACCTACTAGAAGAGCTAAACGGAAGGCGAGGTCGGAGGGACAAATCTCAACCGCAGAAACCCCGTCGTCGTCGGAACCGAACGCCCCGGAAATACCATCTTCAGAAATTGATATGGTGCTGAGACGAAGCATTGTTAATTCGCTTAAGAGGGCTGGATGTGGTATTCTAGCTCGTAGTATTCCCTTTCGCCCTCGAAGGCCTTCTTAATCAATTTTTGTGAGGAACAAGGTGTAAATGTCCTCTGCTAATATCTATTTTGCAATGTATCTATCACTATTCCGTTTTCCTGGGCACTTAAAGGAAGAGCTTGTGGTTTTGTTGGCTTTTTTGTGGCGCTGTTCACAATGACCGGAACACCACATTGACAAGAATGAAGAACCCATTTTTCATTGCAGCAAGCTCAATAACCGAATGATCTATCTCTTGCAAACGTTGGCAATATTCAACGTTTTAAGTTTCTCGTTGACTCTATGAATGTGGATAGGGGGCAGTGCACCACAGTCAACACGATCTGTTATCTGGCTGAGATGTTCGAGAAGGATAAATAGTGGAGGGGATAGTTATGCTGCTGCTACCGCCATAACTGTTTACTGTTTTTTTTTTTTTCGGCGGTTGGAGTTGGGATCAAACGCGATGGTAACTAATTGATCTCTTTGTTTTCTATAATTTAATAAATGTCCCTCACATATCCCATAGGAACAAGCCAGTGTGGTTTAAAGATGGGGAATGATAATGACATGATGAGAAGTGAATACAAAAGTGAATTCATATTTAATGATTGATTATGATAATTATGTCAAAGACTAAAGAGGTTTCTACCTTCTTCTCTTTCTCTTTCTGTTTTTGCAAGATTTTTTCTTCTATGTTGATTAGTAATAGAGTATTTTCATCTCTTAATTAACTTTAATTTTATACTTTTATATTATTATGCATATTAACTATAATTATATTAAACATTAAAATTATAGATAAAAAAAGTAGAAAGTAATAATAATTATTAATTTATCTAAATATGCAAATATATACTTTTAGAGTTATTTTTATAATATTTATTAATTTTTACTGATATTTTAATAATCTCAAATATAAAATTGTATAGAAAAAAGAAGTCATAGTTAGTTAATAGTTAATTTATATAAAATAAAGTAAATTTTTTTTTTAAAAAAAAAAACAACTCTATTTTAAATACAAATGAAATTTTGATATCAAGAACAGATTGATTATCAATTATATAGTTAATCTCTTTATTAAATATCATAGTAAGTAGTTAACTAGTGAGTTGAAGTTAGGTAAGACTTAGTAACAGAGTTTTATTTTCTTTTCAATATTTAAAGTATCTTTTTCTTCATTTATTCTCACTTTTTGTTTTTGGAATTTATTGATTAATATAATGTGATTATCACAAATGCATCATGATATTGAAATTAATGAAAATATAAACTGCTGCTCTCTTCTTCTCTCTTTTAAGTAGTTATATCAGACATGATTTGTTAGGGCGTGAATGTGAGCTGCATAAGAAGGAACTCTCTGCGTTGCTAACTGTTATATAACAAAATACTATGCTTGATAGGATGAAAGGGGGTGCTGCTGGGGCCTGCCCAGGTTATAATGTGTCCTGCATGGTCACGTGAAGAGGGTTAGGCCTAATTGGGCGCCGAGTCTAATCTGACGCTGAGTCTAGTAAGGCGCCGAGTCTAATCGGGCGCCGGGCCCGGTCAGGCTCGCTCAATCGGGCGCTGAGCCTAACATGGTTAAATCATTGAGATACACGTAACTATGTACATTTTGTCACTTTGTCAAAACAAGGAGTGAAGTGAGTAATCAGTTTATGATGTGGACAAAGTGGCATTCACTGATAAAAAAATACAAGAAGAAGAAATTGAAGCAAGAGAGAAAGATGTAAGTTATGATAGCAGAAGATCTTCTTTCAAAATAAAAATCAATGTTAAATTTTAATCAATGAAATAAATAAATCTATTCATTCATACACAGCAAGAAGGGGGAAAAACAGTATTCTTAAAGAGATATAATAAGATGTAGTTACATATACATATAGTTAAAAAAATTAGATAGTTCATAATTAGAACAAGTCAAATGCACTTCAGTTATCCTCTTAACATTTTCAATATCAATCTCAATTCTAATATTAAGTCCAAGTTCATCACACGGCATATTGCAAATATACTCATCTCTTCATGCTCATCATTTCTTCAAGAAAATTTCAATCTCACTCTTCTCTGCTAGTGTGTGTTTCTCAAAATCATTCTGATTCTAAATGTCATTTCCATTCTCTGTCGTAAAATATTTCAACTTAGTACTATGACAGTGAAACAGTAATTAAAATGTAGACAGAAAATATAAAATTAAGATAAGTTATAATCATATTAATGAAAGAAACAGAAGGGATGACATATGTAAAAAAAGTGAAAAAAAGAATTTTGTAAGAAAGTGAGAGAGAGAAAGAAAAATTGATTGATTAATATTTTATAATCTTGAGAGAATATGAAATGATGAAAAAATTTCAATATCATATCATGTTAACAAATATTAAACAAATGAGAATGAAAAAGTTTACTATTTTGAGACAAGAAGAAAAGATTGAAATAGTAGACAGATCAGAAGAGAAGAAGTAGCAGCAGCAGCAGTAATGATAATAAGAGTAATATCAATCTTTTTCATTTTTCTTTTATTTTCATAATTGATAGATTGACTGATATTCTTCATCAGCAAAATATGAAGTAGTTTGAGAAAAAGAAAACTTTTGAAAAGTAAAAGAAGTATTTTTCTAAATCAGAGAGTTAAAGCCATTTCATCTATGATTTAACAGAATGTACATATTCAAAAGAATTCAAGAATAAACAATTTGTTGTTTAAATGATTGAGAAAAGGAAATAAGAATACTAAGTTAAAGAAAATGAAAATGAATCAAAGTAAATACTGCTTATAAGAAAACAAGACAGAAAGAGAAAAAAAAAAATCAACGTCAAAATAGAAAGAAGTCAATAATTAAACAGGTAAAAAATAAGCATAATTCAATAGACAGAAAGGAAAAAATATCAAATCACAGAAGTGTTGTTCTTGCTCTTGTTCTTGATATAGATATTGAAAACACGTACATAGCTATTATAAGTAAGTTTGTGAAGAAAGAGATAATATATCAAAAAAAGCATGCGGGAAAGAGAGATGAAGAGAAGTTGATAAGGCAAAAAGGGGGGAAAGATTTCATATATAAGCCAAAGGAAGAAAAGAGACGAAAAAAACTTAAAAAGTGTAACTTTAAAGAAAATTGGTTAGATAGTATGGCTGGCCCGTACGAGAAAAAAGCGGTTAGGATCAAGGATAAATATAGCAAACCAAAAGGAAAAGAAAATAAAGCCGGGGTATGTGAAATTAATTGTAAAACAAATAAAAAACAAATAAAAAATAAGGAGGAAAAAAGGAGAAGTCGATGCGGGAAATAGTGTAAAAAGGGGGGGGAAAGCATAGAGCAAGAAATAGGCAAAAATTCTTTTCCACATTTCAACATCAAAAAAGTTCAAGAAACAAAACAGGCAAATAATCGATCATACTCATGTTCCCTCGATTTTCCCATTATTATTTTCATTTATTCTCTTGAAATTTTTACCTTTTTTTAAAAAAATATGAATGGGAGGGGAACAAGTCAAGAGCAGAAAGAATATTAGTAAGGAAAAGGGCGAAGGAAAACGAAAATGAAAGGAACCGGAAGAATAAACCAAAGAAAAAGAAACACCAAGAATAGATAAGACAAGCCAAAATAAAAATAAAAAGAATAATAAGAACAATTTACAAGTTCTCCCCCGCACCCGCTTCAACCCCATCGGGATACGGCATGCTCGGGTCAAACGCAAATCCATTCGGATCATCCGTGTTAAGGAATGAATCGAAGTCGAAATTCTCTAGGATGTCAGGGTTATCCAAGGTTGTGAAGTCGAGATTGAAGTTGTTGGCCTGGAATTTTAATTTTTTAATCGTTAGCTGGATATAAATTAGAGGTAGGGATTGTAGGTAGGTGAAAAGCTTACATCAGGTAAATTCATATCCCCAAAAGTCTGACCCGGGTCTTGCTGCTGTTGTTGTTGAGCTTGCTGCTGCTGAGCCTGCTGTTGTTGCTGTTGAGCTTGCTGCTGCTGAACAAGATTTTGTTGCTGCTGCGCAGCGTTGGGTGCAGACGTTGGTTGTGGGCCGTTTACATTCGTATTTGCATTCGCATTATTAGCGGCTGCATTGTTTGCGGCGTTGTTCTTGTTAAACGAGCTCGGATGAACAGGAGTTATGGGAGTTGGTGGGGTCGGGGTAGGTGGGGGGTCAACTTCTGAGGAGGGGGTTGCGGCGGTATTTGAGGCATTAGCTGTTGAAGGTTTCTTTGGTGGACGCTTTTTTTTTTCAGAAGGGGATATGTTAGTTGAATGGTCATTTGCCTTTGCGGAATTTTGGTATGATATATGTTTGCTTACCTTTCTTGGGTTCTCCTTTGGATCCTTCTTCCCTTTGGGTGCCGGCTTGTTAGACTGCTGCGGAGTCGGGGGTGCAGCGCCCGCTTGCGGGGAAGAAGGTTGCGTCCGGCCTGTACCAGCGACGCCAGCAGGGGGCGCTTGGGGTGGTGGCATCGCGTTGCGCTCCTGCGGAGTTCCTGCCGGCTGGGGTTGTTGCTGACCCACCTGTTGCTGCTGTGGAACCATGGGTTGACCCGGAGGCCCCTGGCCTTGCCAGTTGCCGCCTGGCATCCTATTACCACCGGGACCGCCAGGCCCCTGTGGGCGCGACATGGCATCCATGGGCTGAGTCATTTGGGGACCGCTGAAGGCAGGATTGGAGCTGGGAGGTCTCATGCCATTCTGGACGACACCGTCTTGCAAAC